GCAAAGATACTCTGCTTAAAAGTATTCTGTTTTAATAATTCAACACAGCAATAATACACCAGTACAAAAATACAGGGGTAGAGACACACAGGACTATACTAATACACTCCTTCAATAACGCTACAATAATACAGCAAGTCCACAATACGGTAAAGGTAGCCTCAATTTAAAACTTCCTTCTGATTATCAATTCTGAATTAAATGATTATGCACCTTACCAAAACGTGTTCAGTAGAGGTAAAATGAAATGAGCTTTATCGTCGCGTTCAAGATTAGAACACTTATATTGTGTGTTCAGCAAACACCAGTGCATACTTTCTGCCTATACCCGAGTACTTTTCATAGTGGATGTAATTCAAGCTGAGGCACAGAGCAGAGGTTGGGTAACCATCCCTCTCTGACAGTGGCCAAGATTCAGTTGCCAGAGACTATTCACCCGATTTTGAAACGCCATATCTCCTCCACAAAGAAATGTCGTGTCACGCTCTATGTAACTTAGCTTGCTTAATGGTAATTAGGTTAATGGTCATCACTACAAAATATGTGGTACAATGGTCACACTATGTGGCAACAGTAGTAAACAATATGATGACATAGGCCTTAATGATAAAGTCATCGCACTCACGAATGCACACTTAAATAGTTTGAAATCAAGCACGGGGTCAGACTTGAAGCAGTATGATGGAAACGGGTGGAAATGTCAGTGTTTTCCGATAGGTTTCCGGTGTGATGTGACTCGAAACGCCGTCGTCTCTCATAATATATAGATACAGTCTCCATAGGCTTCTACCGCCAACATTGTTTCTGTGTCTGAAATAATGTATCCATGTAACGCTTCCAGATTGTTCCGACCTGTGAAGATCCCGGGTAGAATAGGTCCTCAGCTACCCATGCTTGCGTGAAAGGCGACTAGGTGACTAACGGGATCGGATGGTCAGGCTCGCAGATTTGGTTGATGCATGTCATCGTATCCCATTTGCCCGGATCGATGCTCACGATATCAATCACTGGATTAGTCCAGACTCCTCGATGTTTTACAGACCGACGTCACATAGCTGGAATATTGCTGATTGCAGCAACAAACAAACAAATTCCAGATTGTTCTATTGCCAACAATGATATAGAAAGTGACGAGATATATTTTATGACAGCTTCACTCGGCAAACACTTTCTGTGTGGTAACAGTATTTGAGCTGCCGTGGCGTTGGGATGTCAACATTGATGCAACATTATTATCAGAAAAACACCCACAGTAGACACAGATCTATAACAATAAGAAACGTATATAACCAGTTCTGTTTGGTTGTTATCACTTCTAATTTGAAAGATACTATGTTGAAATTTCAAGATACTATGTTGAAATTTCCAGATGTCATGTTGAAATGTCGAAGTTAGTAAGTTGAAATTTCAAGATAATGATTTTGAAATTTCAAGATAATAAGCTGAAATTTCAAGATGTTATGTTGAAACTTAAAGATGTTGGCCATCTTCCCGAGGCAAGAGAGTTAACTGATTTTAAAAGTCCAGTTTCCAACCTTGCCGAACCAGGCTGGAATTCCTGGGCTCGATCGTAGGGCCACCAGTGGTTATTATGAGTTATGTCCCTTCTGAGCCTTCTCCTTTGGACCAATCCAATGCCATCACTTGCATTTGTTTCACACAAAATGGCGGGACCCAGTCAAGACGATCTGATCGATAATCAAGATCTATTTTGTGATAAAACGGCTCTTACATCGCGAAGTGCATCAAATCACGTGAGCACCTTGATTAAAAACATGAAAGGGTTTCGAAAATATCTGTTGACAACGAGTTGGCGGTGCACATGCTTTGCAAATCCTGAAATCGACCGAAATCTGCACGACAGTTTACGAACCGGATTTCGATTTCGGTTCGCGATTTTGATTGGACTATGCATAGACTCGTTAGTCCAGCCAAAATGTAACTCCATAATAGCAGCCTAGTTCGACAAGGTTGGAAACTGGACTTTTATGAGTTGCTCAGGAGGATTGATTCAATACCCCAGATTTCACTATTATGTAGGATTACAGGCTCGATTAATGTTTTGAATATTTTACAAGCAAGAGCTATAAGTAAACTGAAAATATAAATTTCAGACAAAGTATAAAAACAATTTCGGTGAAGTCTATCTAAAACACATAACCTAAATACAACAATAGTGTATGCAGAAAATGTTAATCGTCTGTTACATGTTTGCGAGATAACACGCGAAAAAGTAAAACACGTGCACCACGGACAACTGCAAATGCACGTGCGGGTAAGGGTATAACACGATTGCAACGGCAAGTCAGACATCCACAGTGATAAAAAAACACAAAAGAAATGCCACGACTCACAGTCGAACAACGTGAACGAGCCTTGGGTATGATACAGATTGGAGCCACCCACGCCCATATTGCACAAACCTTCGGTTGCTCCCGTGTTGCCGTTACCAACTTGATGCAACGTTACAGACGGACAGGGCGGACCGCTGACAGGCCAAGAACAGGCAGACCCGGGGTGACCACGCCCCATGATGACCGGTACTTGCGTACCTTGCACCTCCGAAATCGCTTCCTGACGGTGACGTCATCGGCGACAAATGCCTTAGGTCACAGGGTTAGTCGACAGACAGTGGCCAGGAGACTCAGGGCTAATGGAATCAGGGCTTTTAGACCATACAGAGGACAGCTATTGACAGCGCAACATCGTCGTCTGCGATTGAGATGGGCCCGGACTGTACGACGTTGGCAACGACGTGACTGGCAGAGGGTTGTCTTCACTGACGAAAGTCGATTCTGTATGTTTAGGGCTGATGGAAGACAACGTGTTTACCGCCGAAGGGGTGAACGAACGGCGGCATGTTGCGTGCAGGAGGTCGTACCATATGGTGGAGGGAGTGTCATGGTGTGGGGAGGGATCTGTGGGCAGGAGAGGACACAGCTAGTCATTGACGGAAACTTGACAGCTCAGCGTTACATGGATAACATTCTTCGTCCAGTTGTCCTACCATTTCTCCAACAGCAGCCACGTGGTGTCATTTATCAGCATGACAACGCTAGAGCCGATACAGCCAGAATTGTCACTAACTTCCTCGCAGCCAACAACGTCAACGTCCTGCCGTGGCCTGCACGCTCACCCGACATGTACCCCATAGAACACCTCTGGGACTTGATGGATCGTCGTGTTCGACAACGACCACACTCTCCAGCCAACCGGCAAGAACTGATCTTTGCCCTCCAAGAAGAATGGGGTCAAATCCCACGTGACCTCATCAGACGACTGACTTTTTCTGTGCGTCGAAGAGTTTTTGCGTGTATTGAGGCATTTGGTGGTCACACACGCTACTTATGACTCGTTATTGAACGTGAGCGATTGTTTATGTACTCTGGCTTTTGTCCATGATTCTGAAAGCTCGAGTTTTGTACCGCACCCAACTTTAGGGGGTTCTGACGTCATTCTCGATCGCGGTATGATTGTCATTTTCAGTGTTGATTATGTTGATATATTGATCTTCTCAATACACGTTACTTCATGCATGTATGTTTTGTTGTTTTTGAGCAAGAGTGATTTCAAACTCTGGTAGAGTTTCTTTTGGACGACAGTTTATATCTTGGTTGAAATGGTAGGCTGAATTCGAAGCCTTTTTCAGGAGAGGTTTAGCACAATTTTAAAGTTTAGCATTTGCTTCAAATGTAATTCCTAAGAAGTAATATCTGTCCCTCACTAGTTCTCTTGTATCACCCACGGTCCAAATATTCTTTTCTTCCATTTTACTTAATTTGCCAAACACCACAACATTTGTTTCGTCACCATTAATCGTTCAGTTATTTGTTGCACAAAATACACTCAGGCCATCAAGTAACACATGTAGGCATTTGGGGATCGGCCAATAGTTCTAAGTCATTGGCAAGCAACAAATGACAAATGTACAAACCATTAAGTGTTACATTATTACGAACAGATTTGACATAATATGTTAGATCATTGAAGAATAGAAATAATGTTGGAGACAACATGCATCCTTGTCATACCCCGATGCTGTATTTAAAGAATTGTGAAATGCACTCGTCAGTTTTACCCTTAACAAGAGATATCATATAGCGATCCTATTACGTTTAATACATGTCCTGAGATTTTATTTGATAAAAGCTGTGTTGAGAGTAGTGATCTATCAACTGAATCAAAGGCCTTTTGAAAGTCTACAAAGCAAGCGGATAGTATGTTGTAGTGTTATTTATGTTAAAATAACAAATACCTCATCTGATGTTCGGTAGCCGTTCTAAATCCAGACTGACAGTGGTCTTGTAAAAGAGCTTTTACCACGTATTCCATTATTCTTTTACGTATAAACTTGCAAAATAGTTTCTTCATTACCTTATCTTCGCCTGGACTTCTGTTTGTTTTAAATTGTTTTATAAAAGTGAGAATTTCATGAGCTGTTATTGGTTTATTAAGACTGCCACACATATCTCTTTGTTTTAGTGTCGAGAATATCTCGGGAGTCAGTATACTGTGTCTGAGTGGGGTATTCATGTTAAACTGCGGCATGGTATCTCATTGTGCTAGCACTATATATCGGCATTAGTCCGGACTAGTACAAGCAGCCACACACACGTGCGTGCACGTCGCTACATAAGTGTAATAATCTTGGAAGCGACGTAAAACCCCTTTTCACCTCACCACATATTCTTTCTAGCATCACTGACATAATGTTATACGTCCTCGTTATCCTCGTTATAACGCTACTGATGGGGTTGTCGCGTCCCCCATAGTTGACTATTCGTTCAATAGCACATCATATTGATATACGAACGTAATCCTGTTTTACCATACATTAATTGGATTGTCTCTTTTTCAAATGTTAACGAACGCCTTATGATGGGGACTAGCGCTCGTTTGTAGCAAGAGGAAATTCTGTATTGCGCATTTAAAGATGAACTATGGCTTTTCCAGGAAAGCCATTTTTAGCGTACCGTCATCCGGGCGGAATAATAGGGGCGCCAGACGCCTGGCGGCTGCAGTATCGTAAACCCCATTTTCGCTTCATGACACTGCGTCAAACAAAGCATCGAGTGACTGTTTAAAGATTTGGGTATTCCTTCTCCAAAACTCAAAGAATCGTCTCACTCAAATCAGCGGTTGACATTTACACGGGTTCCTTGCCCCTGTTAATATGACTCAGGCGTCAGAAGTTGTGTCATACCATCACATGATCACAGCAAGGGACAAATGATATCATTCGGAAAGATCAAGGACCTGGAATAAAAGTCAAAGGGTAGAGTTCAGCTTACTTCGTCGCCTTACGTCGGTAATGGGCAGTCACGTGGTATAAACACACAGTCGACATTTTGAGGGTTGCCAGCGTGACTGCGTTTGTGGTGAATGTATAACCTTCCTCGGTGTAAGTATTGTCTGCATTCATATTGATGGCTATGATTATGTACATAACTATATTAGTTAAAGACACGGTGGTGTTCAATATAATGGTCACACATCGAGGGGATTGTGTACCCGACTGTGTGGACAGTTGCCTTGTCATACAGCTAGTGTATTAAACGCTCTGCCAGTTGTATGACATCATCTATGGCCAGGGAACAAAACACGCCTAATGACTATATAGAAAGTCCTACATGAATTACCTTACTGTAATAGACCTGTGAAGATCCCGGTTAGAATTTGTCTTCAGCAACCCATTCCTGCTTGACGTAAGAGGCGACTAACGGGATCGGGTGGTCAGGCTCCCTGACTTGGTTGATGCATCTGATCGTATGTCATTGCGTACATAGACGCTCATGTGAATCACTGGATTGTCTGGTTCAGACGCAATTATTTTCAAACTGCAGTCATATAGCTGGAATATTGCAAATTGCGGCACACACTTTCGAAATAGTGAGAGAGTTGTGTTTTACCCCACCTTTAGCAATATTCCAGCAATATCACGGCGGGGGACACCAGAAATGGGCTTCACACATTGTACCTATGTCGGGAATCGAACCCATCTTCGTCGTGACGAGCGAACGCTTTAACCACCCGACCGCCCCCACTTTCGGAAAAAAGACTGGCATGTGTAACTCGGGAAACACGCACGCCCCACGCCACAAACGCCTCCATTACAATTAACAATGTTTACACACGCATAAGTCTACAACGGATAACAGAAATACCAGCTGGTGTCATATTGCGCCTACGAGGATAGAGTACTCTGAGCCTTGGGGGAACCTAAAGCCTGTGCCCAAATAATTCTTGAATGATTTGAGCCGAGGATTGGATTGGGTCTCCTCCACCGGCCAGTCGTTGTTTTGTTTGTTTGTTTGTTTGTTGTTTAACGCCGCGCTCAGCAATATTCCAGCTTTATTACCGCGGTCTGTAAATAATCGAGTCTGGGTCAGACAATCCAGTGATTGACATCATGAGCATTCGAATACGACTACATGCATCAACCAAGTCAGCGAGCCTGACCACCCGATCCCGTTAGCAGCCTTTTACGACAAGCATAGTCGCCTTTTACAGCAAGCATGGGTTGCTGAAGACCTATTCTACCCCGGATCTTCACGGGTCCAGTCGTTGCTGAAGCCACTTAATGCCGAGTGCCAGGAAGGATACACCGGTAATTCATCTGAATTTGTCACACTCAGCTTAACACAAGGGTCTTATCCTGTTGAAAGTCGTCATTGAGGTCAAGTGTTGTGTAATTATGTCTCAATGCACCAACCGTATACCACAGAGTCATCGAGATCTAGAATTAAACAGACGCCTGGCTGTTGGTTTGAGTGGCAGGTGATGAGTGGTGTATGCTATCCGTGGAACTCGAGGAGTTTGCCTCTCAGAACGATGTGGATGAAAATACAGCCCCAAGACTGTAACTCCATCTTCACTGGTGGTGTTAGACTAACATTTAGTCTCTGAAATCTTATATTACACAATATCCTTCTTGACTCTAAAAATAAAAAAAAATCTCTATGCTGATTTCAGATGTGGAATAGAGCTAGCTTGAGATGGCTAGACTTGCTTTTGTATGCATTTCTAGATTATTATTTTTTCATAAAATAAATATATTCCACGGTCATGGTGCAGGACTATGGTGGTGTTCATAAGGGAAGCAATTGCAGTTGCTATGTACCACCTAAATTAACGTCCGCATGATACTATATACCTTACCAGATGTACTGGGTCCTAATTTTCTGTTTGATTTATCGCGTCCCGTTTTCATGCTTAATGTTTGCACTGGGTAACAGTCCAGGTGTGTGATTGTGTGTAGGGTTGAAAGCCGCCAGGGCACCTTCAAAACATGTTTCGAAACATATTCCATTAAAAGTAACCTTGAAAACATGCCAAACACACAGCAAACTCATACCGTGTAGAACGTCAACACCGGAGAAACATCTACATCATCTGCCGGAACACAGTCCATTTGGGTCAAATGCAAACTGAAAAGTATATGACTGGAAAATCAGTGATGACACCAGGTGTTGGCGGAATGGGTACGCTTGTCCCGCTCACCAGGCAGAACCCGCCACACACACACGTTCCATAAAAAGTAAGTGGATGCTGCCTCACCGCGCACATCCGTACTCCTGCCCGGCGAGCGGCCTGCAAACCAAATAATCATGTGACACGATATCGCGTTTACTCCTCGTATTGAAACTAAAGACGATGTAATAATTTGCATTTACGTCTGCATACAAAAGACGTTTTAGTAGTATCAGTCGGGGTATATTAGGCTAACATCTAGTACTCTGCAATGAACATATCTCTACAGAAAAAAACGTTGTTAGGTTATCTTAATAAAAAATATAAGAAAAGGGAGCGCAGAGACTCCTCAATTCCCGATACTGCAGTAATCTAGACTTGCCAAACATTATAGACTTGCATGGGCTGATTAGATATATTTGTATCAGGGTTTGTATGACAGACTAAATGTATGTTAACTTATAATATATAATATAATATACATAATATGATGAGTAGTAACTAGCCGCTCTACGCTGTGATTGCCAGGATAAGTTATGAATTTAGACCCTGGGAGAAACCCCGTACTATAAATAGAACAGCCCCAAGCGGTGGCATGTGGTCCTTTGCACACGGGCTTATGCTTCTATAAGCAGAATGTGAAGCCAGGCCGCGTAGTTGGAGTAGGCCGCGTAGTTGGAGTAGAGGTAAGGCAGGCTGTTGGTTCTCCTTTATAATTATGTGTTGAACAGACTTTGAAGTATGCTGATGGTATAACTACATGCATGTCAGCGGTGCTATGCTGTAACTAGGGCAGCTGATGGACGGAGTGGTATTTGTCCAAAACACCCATTCCCCTTTTCTGGACCGACTAAACTCTTTAACATTGTCCAAAATAAGGAGAAATTTGATGTTGCGCAAGACGCCAACGCGCTTCAGAGAGGCATTTGGGGTGTGGGCTCAAGCGTAACAGAGCTGTACATCATTTTATCATGACTACCTCCCATGAACAGACTTAAAAAACAATATTTTGTCAAGTGAGGTGAGGTGAAATGGGGTTTAACGTCGCGTCCAAGATTATTGCACTTATATAGCGACGTGCATGTACGTGTGTGTGTGTGTGTTTGGCTGCTTGTACTAGTCCGGACTGATGCCGATTTTTAGGGCTAGCTCACTGAGATACCATGCCGCAGTTTAACATGAATACCCCACTCAGACACAGTATACTGACTCCGAGCTGACCAGTCCTTGTATTAGCCCCGTAATGCCGAGCGCCAGACAGGGTAACAACAAGTACCATTTTTTAACGTCTTTTGGCATGACGCGGCCGGGCATCGAACCCCGGACCTTCCGCTCTCCGGGCGGACGCTCTACCATTAGATCACGGAGGCGGTCATTTTCCCAAGTGACAACACTGGCCTAAGAATACGCGGATAAAGGCTTCTGATCATTCTTTATTATGGCCATCTCGCAAGCGGCGGCTTATATTTCCCCTCTGGATTAACACTGACCGGAAGTGTGCAAGAACGAACATTTAGACAACTTCTTGCGTGGATCGATGATGGCAAACATATTAGTCCAGATTATTTACAGGTCACTGTCATACGTGCAGCGTTAAACAACATGCATCACTGCAAGTACCTGGTGTATACTGGTAGAACGGGTTTATGATCGACAACTCGACACCATTTTACTGTGTCACTCAGAGCTTTACGGCATGTTCGTGAGGTTTGTTTGTTTGTTTGTTTGTTGTTTAACGCCCCACTCAGCAATATTCCAGCTACATGACGGCGGTCTGTACATAATCGAGTCTGGATCAGACAATCCAGTGATTGACATCATAAGCATCGATCCGCGCAATTCGGATACGATGACATGCATCAAGCAAGTCAGCGAGCCTGACCACCCGATCCTGTTAGTATCCTTTTACGACAAGCATAGTCGCCTTTTACGGCAAGCATAGTCGCCTTTTACGGTTAGCATGGGTTGTTGAAGACCTATTCTACCCCGGATATACACGGGTGACATTACGATTTGATGTCAGGCTGGTGGAGTATGCCTGACACATGAAACATGAGACATTACAATTGGACATTACAACTGGACATTACAGCTGGACATTACAACTGGACATTACAGCTGGACATTACAGCTGGACATTACAACTGGACATTACAGCTGGACATTACAGCTGGACATTACAACTGGACATTACAACTGGACATTACAACTGGACATTACAGCTGGACATTACAACTGGACATTACAACTGGACATTACAGCTGGACATTACAACTGGACATTACAACTGGACATTACAACTGGACATTACAGCTGGACATTACAACTGGACATTACAACTGGACATTACAGCTGGACATTACAGCTGGTCATTACAACTGGACATTACAACTGGACATTACAACTGGACATTACAGCTGGACATTACAGCTGGACATTACAACTGGACATTACAACTGGACATTACAGCTGGACATTACAACTGGACATTACAACTGGACATTACAGCTTGACATTACAACTGGACATTACAGCTTGACATTACAACTGGACATTACAGCTTGACATTACAACCGGACATTACAACTGGACATTACAACTGGACATTACAGCTGGACATTACAGCTGGTCATTACAACTGGACATTACAGCTGGACATTACAGCTGGTCATTACAACTGGACATTACAACTGGACATTACAACTGGACATTACAGCTGGACATTACAGCTGGTCATTACAACTGGACATTACAACTGGACATTACAACTGGACATTACAACTGGACATTACAACTGGGCATTACAACTGGACATTACAGCTGGTCATTACAACTGGACATTACAACTGGACATTACAACTGGACATTACACCTCGATATTATAATGTCCCTGGTATATGCGACAAACATATGTCAATTAAATGTCAATTGTACAAGTCATAAGTTCAATTCACTGCTGACGAAACATGACTTGTTAGATATAATATCAAATGCCATTATCAGGAATAATCTGTAAAAGGGTCAGCAAATAATATCAAGGAGAAGAATTAACACAGTTCATAGATGATTTTCTTTTCAAATCCTTACATGCTACCAGGGTCTGGTGGTAGAGCGTCCGCCCGGAGAACGGAAAGTCGTGGGTTCGATCCCCGGCTGCGTCATACAAAAGGATGTTAAAAGATAGTACTTGTTGTTACCCTGTCAAGCGTATCACATTAAGGGGCTTAAACAAGAATTGGTCGAATCTAAGTCAGTATCGTATGCCTGAGAGGGGTATTCATGTTAATCTGCGGCATGGTATCTAAGTAGGCTAGCACTATAAATCGGCATCAGTCCGGACTAAGTACAAGCAGCCACAGACACACGGGCATGCACGTCGCTATAAAAGTGCAATAATCTTGGACGCGACGTTAAACCCCATTTTACCTTTCACTTCACTTTACGTGCTAACAGGAACGTACATGTGCATGGTCTGTTTATAAACCTTTTTTGTCATTATGTTTACAGGATAAGCTTTCCAAGACACCAAATCTGTGGACCAGATTGAAAGTGATGACGTGATTTCGGATCAGGCCTCTACAATGGATGTTACAAAGGACGAGAGCCCGCCCAGCGTGATAGCTGTTAGCCATCATGATACTGATGATGTTCAGGGTGCTTCTGGAGGTGGGGAGACGGGGGAGACTCCCCATGACTTACACAGCAATCCGTCTGGTGCTTCCAGGTTCAGTGTGTCACATTCCGGAGAATCGCGGGAGAATTCTGAGACTGGAAACAAAAGGGACCTGAGTGTCTGCAGCAAATGGAAAGTAACCGAAAGGCTTAATGAGAAAATGCTTGCCTCTCGCAAACCTTCATTACTGGCACCAATCGCTAAGTGGATTTGGACATTACTTCTTGGACTGTTGCTTCTCGCATGCCTGTCAGCCAGCAAGTTGTCTGTCGTTGGTCTAGCAGAGAGATTAAACAACTCTACAAGAGGAGCCATATCTGCGAGCACCAGAGACGGGAGAATAGAAGCTATTCGTGTATTTCTGATGATAGCCATGATTCTACTCGTGCCGTACTGTTTCAATCTTCTCAGAGCTTTGTTCCTGGCGACCTTCAGGAACGACATGCCGTGGCCAAGCAGCAAGTCTTTAATAATAGTCAGTATATTCAGGAACGACATGCCGTGGCCAAGCAGCAAGTCTTTAATAATAGTGAGTATATTCAGGAACGACATGCCGTGGCCAAGCAGCAAGTCTTTAATAATAGTGAGTATATTCAGGAACGACATGCCGTGGCCAAGCAGCAAGTCTTTAATAATAGTCAGTATATTCAGGAACGACAAGCCGTGGCCAAGCAGCAAGTCTTTAATAATAGTCAATATATTCAGGAACGACATGCCGTGGCCAAGCAGCAAGTCTTTAATAATAGTGAGTATATTCAGGAACGACATGCCGTGGCCAAGCAGCAAGTCTTTAATAATAGTCAGTATATTCAGGAACGACATGCCGTGGCCAAGCAGCAAGTCTTTAATAATAGTCAGTATATTCAGGAACGACATGCCGTGGCCAAGCAGCAAGTCTTTAATAATAGTCAGTATATTCAGGAACGACATGCCGTGGCCAAGCAGCAAGTCTTTAATAATAGTCAGTATATTCAGGAACGACATGCCGTGGCCAAGCAGCAAGTCTTTAATAATAGTCAGTATATTCAGGAACGACATGCCGTGGCCAAGCAGCAAGTCTTTAATAATAGTGAGTATATTCAGGAACGACAAGCCGTGGCCAAGCAGCAAGTCTTTAATAATAGTCAGTATATTCAGGAACGACATGCCGTGGCCAAGCAGCAAGTCTTTAATAATAGTGAGTATATTCAGGAACGACATGCCGTGGCCAAGCAGCAAGTCTTTAATAATAGTCAGTATATTCAGGAACGACATGCCGTGGCCAAGCAGCAAGTCTTTAATAATAGTGAGTATATTCAGGAACGACATGCCGTGGCCAAGCAGCAAGTCTTTAATAATAGTGAGTATATTCAGGAACGACAAGCCGTGGCCAAGCAGCAAGTCTTTAATAATAGTCAGTATATTCAGGAACGACATGCCGTGGCCAAGCAGCAAGTCTTTAATAATAGTCAGTATATTCAGGAACGACATGCCGTGGCCAAGCAGCAAGTCTTTAATAATAGTCAGTATATTCAGGAACGACATGCCGTGGCCAAGCAGCAAGTCTTTAATAATAGTCAGTATATTCAGGAACGACATGCCGTGGCCAAGCAGCAAGTCTTTAATAATAGTGAGTATATTCAGGAACGACAAGCCGTGGCCAAGCAGCAAGTCTTTAATAATAGTCAGTATATTCAGGAACGACATGCCGTGGCCAAGCAGCAAGTCTTTAATAATAGTCAGTATATTCAGGAACGACATGCCGTGGCCAAGCAGCAAGTCTTTAATAATAGTCAGTATATTCAGGAACGACATGCCGTGGCCAAGCAGCAAGTCTTTAATAATAGTCAGTATATTCAGGAACGACATGCCGTGGCCAAGCAGCAAGTCTTTAATAATAGTCAGTATATTCAGGAACGACATGCCGTGGCCAAGCAGCAAGTCTTTAATAATAGTCAGTATATTCAGGAACGACATGCCGTGGTCAAGCAGCAAGTCTTTAATAATAGTCAGTATATTCAGGAACGACATGCCGTGGCCAAGCAGCAAGTCTTTAATAATAGTCAGTATATTCAGGAACGACATGCCGTGGCCACGCAGCAAGTCTTTAATAATAGTCAGTATATTCAGGAACGACATGCCGTGGCCAAGCAGCAAGTCTTTAATATTAGTCAGTATATTCAGGAACGACATGCCGTGGCCAAGCAGCAAGTCTTTAATAATAGTCAGTATATTCAGGAACGACAAGCCGTGGCCAAGCAGCAAGTCTTTAATAATAGTGAGTATATTCAGGAACGACATGCCGTGGCCAAGCAGCAAGTCTTTAATAATAGTCAGTATATTCAGGAACGACATGCCGTGGCCAAGCAGCAAGTCTTTAATAATAGTCAGTATATTCAGGAACGACATGCCGTGGCCAAGCAGCAAGTCTTTAATAATAGTCAGTATATTCAGGAACGACATGCCGTGGCCACGCAGCAAGTCTTTAATAATAGTCAGTATATTCAGGAACGACATGCCGTGGCCACGCAGCAAGTCTTTAATAATAGTCAGTATATTCAGGAACGACATGCCGTGGCCAAGCAGCAAGTCTTTAATAATAGTCAGTATATTCAGGAACGACATGCCGTGGCCAAGCAGCAAGTCTTTAATAATAGTCAGTATATTCAGGAACGACATGCCGTGGCCAAGCAGCAAGTCTTTAATAATAGTCAGTATATTCAGGAACGACATGCCGTGGCCAAGCAGCAAGTCTTTAATAATAGTCAGTATATTCAGGAACGACATGCCGTGGCCAAGCAGCAAGTCTTTAATAATAGTCAGTATATTCAGGAACGACATGCCGTGGCCACGCAGCAAGTCTTTAATAATAGTCAGTATATTCAGGAACGACATGCCGTGGCCAAGCAGCAAGTCTTTAATAATAGTCAGTATATTCAGGAACGACATGCCGTGGCCAAGCAGCAAGTCTTTGATAATAGTCAGTATATTCAGGAACGACATGCCGTGGCCAAGCAGCAAGTCTTTGATAATAGTCAGTATATTCAGGAACGACATGCCGTGGCCAAGCAGCAAGTCTTTGATAATAGTCAGTATATTCAGGAACGACATGCCGTGGCCAAGCAGCAAGTCTTTAATAATAGTCAGTATATTCAGGAACGACATGCCGTGGCCAAGCAGCAAGTCTTTAATAATAGTCAGTATATTCAGGAACGACATGCCGTGGCCAAGCAGCAAGTCTTTAATAATAGTCAGTATTTTCAGGAACGACATGCCGTGGCCAAGCAGCAAGTCTTTAATAATAGTCAGTATATTCAGGAACGACATGCCGTGGCCAAGCAGCAAGTCTTTAATAATAGTCAGTATATTCAGGAACGACATGCCGTGGCCAAGCAGCAAGTCTTTAATAATAGTCAGTATATTCAGGAACGACATGCCGTGGCCAAGCAGCAAGTCTTTAATAATAGTCAGTATATTCAGGAACGACATGCCGTGGCCAAGCAGCAAGTCTTTAATAATAGTCAGTATATTCAGGAACGACATGCCGTGGCCAAGCAGCAAGTCTTTAATAATAGTCAGTATATTCAGGAACGACATGCCGTGGCCAAGCAGCAAGTCTTTAATAATAGTCAGTATATTCAGGAACGACATGCCGTGGCCAAGCAGCAAGTCTTTAATAATAGTCAGTATATTCAGGAACGACATGCCATGGCCAAGCAGCAAGTCTTTAATAATAGTCAGTATATTCAGGAACGACAAGCCGTGGCCAAGCAGCAAGTCTTTAATTATAGTCAGTATATTCAGGAACGACATGCCGTGGCCAAGCAGCAAGTCTTTAATAATAGTCAGTATATTCAGGAACGACATGCCGTGGCCAAGCAGCAAGTCTTTATTAATAGTCAGAATATTCAGGAACGACATGCCGTGGCCAAGCAGCAAGTCTTTAATAATAGTCAGTATATTCAGGAACGACATGCCGTGGCCAAGCAGCAAGTCTTTAATAATAGTCAGTATATTCAGGAACGACATGCCGTGGCCAAGCAGCAACTCTTTGATAATAGTCAGTATATTCAGGAACGACATGCCGTGGCCAAGCAGCAAGTCTTTGATAATAGTCAGTATATTCAGGAACGACATGCCGTGGCCAAGCAGCAAGTCTTTAATAATAGTCAGTTTATTCAGGAACGACATGCCGTGGCCAAGCAGCAAGTCTTTAATAATAGTCAGTATATTCAGGAACGACATGCCGTGGCCAAGCAGCAAGTCTTTAATAATAGTCAGTATATTCAGGAACGACATGCCGTGGCCAAGCAGCAAGTCTTTAATAATAGTCAGTATATTCAGGAACGACATGCCGTGGCCAAGCAGCAAGTCTTTAATAATAGTCAGTATATTCAGGAATGAGACATGCCATGGCCAAGCAGCAAGTCTTTAATAATAGTGAGTATATTCAGGAACGACATGCCGTGGCCAAGCAGCAAGTCTTTAATAATAGTCAGTATATTCAGGAACGACATGCCGTGGCCAAGCAGCAAGTCTTTAATAATAGTCAGTATATTCAGGAACGACATGCCGTGGCCAAGCAGCAAGTCTTTAATAATAGTCAGTATATTCAGGAACGACATGCCGTGGCCAAGCAGCAAGTCTTTAATAATAGTCAGTATATTCAGGAACGACATGCCGTGGCCAAGCAGCAAGTCTTTAATAATAGTCAGTATATTCAGGAACGACATGCCGTGGCCAAGCAGCAAGTCTTTAATAATAGTCAGTATATTCAGGAACGACATGCCGTGGCCAAGCAGCAAGTCTTTAATAATAGTCAGTATATTCAGGAACGACATGCCGTGGCCAAGCAGCAAGTCTTTAATAATAGTCAGTATATTCAGGAACGACATGCCGTGGCCAAGCAGCAAGTCTTTAATAATAGTCAGTATATTCAGGAACGACATGCCGTGGCCAAGCAGCAAGTCTTTAATAATAGTCAGTATATTCAGGAACGACATGCCATGGCCAAGCAGCAAGTCTTTAATAATAGTCAGTATATTCAGGAACGACAAGCCGTGGCCAAGCAGCAAGTCTTTAATAATAGTCAGTATATTCAGGAACGACATGCCGTGGCCAAGCAGCAAGTCTTTAATAATAGTCAGTATATTCAGGAACGACATGCCGTGGCCAAGCAGCAAGTCTTTATTAATAGTCAGAATATTCAGGAACGACATGCCGTGGCCAAGCAGCAAGTCTTTAATAATAGTCAGTATATTCAGGAACGACATGCCGTGGCCAAGCAGCAAGTCTTTAATAATAGTCAGTATATTCAGGAACGACATGCCGTGGCCAAGCAGCAAGTCTTTAATAATAGTGAGTATATTCAGGAACGACATGCCGTGGCCAAGCAGCAAGTCTTTAATAATAGTCAGTATATTCAGGAACGACATGCCGTGGCCAAGCAGCAAGTCTTTAATAATAGTCAGTATATTCAGGAACGACATGCCGTGGCCAAGCAGCAAGTCTTTAATAATAGTCAGTATATTCAGGAACGACATGCCGTGGCCAAGCAGCAAGTCTTTAATAATAGTCAGTATATTCAGGAACGACATGCCGTGGCCAAGCAGCAAGTCTTTAATAATAGTCAGTATATTCAGGAACGACATGCCGTGGCCAAGCAGCAAGTCTTTAATAATAGTCAGTATATTCAGGATTTTGTTCCACAACGCCTCTTGTGTTCTACTGCGTTTACAATAAAATGTGATTCAGAATTCAAAAGTGTTTTTATCGACCCTCCACTAGCAATTCTAAATGCATAATTGCAGGATTTAAACAAGAACAAGTGCCTTAATGGCACACTTACAAATCGCATTTGTTAAAAAAATACCTTGTGACATTTTCTCTTATGAGAGACCACTGATATATACACTTCGGGACAGGGAACATAAACACAATTTGATGAAAATTATATCAAATTCTATCAATAATAAAATATAATATTCAACGTCCAACAGAAGATGACCATCAGTCTCGATCATCTGCCAACTCCTTTGGGGGTAATACGTAAATATCGAGAAACATGTTTGCCCTGATAGTATTTGAATGTGGGCATCAATTCTCGAGGAAAGGGTTGTTCAATCATCACAATGTTTCAGAAGTGGGTCCAAATCCTATTATCTTCCGTCCAAATGCCAGATCCGCCATGGTATTTATTCTTGTTTGACATGCCGTAAACCAAGCTCACTCACTCACTCACTCTTACACTCAAACACTCACTCATTCATACACTCACTCACTCACTGAAATGCTAAATTTATGTTTTTCAGGGAGTTGCTGTTGCCGTAATGGAGGCATTTGGACTGTGTTTGTTTGCATTGAAAGTGTTGGTCAAACACAAAGGCTACCTTGCCATACTTCTCATGAATGCTGTGTTTGTCGTACCATTCCTTGTCAAAACAGTCTTCTACGCAACAAATCGACGACAACATCGAAGAGGCAAATGGATCTTTGATCATGTGCTTGGGGGCATCTTTCAGATCACTGGTTTTGGCTTGGTTGTGTTCCTTGTTTCAGAACAAGACAGTGGTGATATATGGCATGTGTTCGTTGCCCTTGTCTGTCTCACTGTAGCCTGGGTCCCACACATACAACAACTGACCGTAAATCCGACACGGAGACCTGACGAGACATCTGACGGGACTGGAAATGGTGTAGAAGACACTGAAACCAGCGTTGCTGGAGGCGGTGGACAATCAACCAATCCAACTACCCAAGTCGTCATTACTACATGGAAGATGGCAATGATTTCCAACTTTGTTAAAGTTGTCAGTGTGCTTATTTTCAGCTATATATTGTTTTTTATTGATGGCAACGTCTACACTACTGATACTTCTGAAGAATTCCTTGAGGCATGGAGGTTTATCGTCAACAGTGATTTTAATTACTTTCTCACAAATATAATTACAGTACTGGTTGGATACTTTGTGTCGGTACTTGCCTGCCAGACTGGCTTACAGAAATGGGCCTTCGCTGTCCCTATCTGTGTGACCGGTCCTCTCTTCCTGGTGGTGATGTTGGTGAAAGACTGGTGTACTTTTGTCATGCCATTCTCTCCGGGGGCGTGTGTAGACGACTACAGTAAGGTATGGGCAATGATAGCAGCCACAGCGTGTTTCTTCCTGGCTCATCTTCTGTCTGCAACATTGCCGATTTTCAGAAGCAAGTCCACCATTCTCCAGAAGGAATCATCAGTAAGTATTCTGGTTTTATCTGGTATAACCAATGAAGTTAAGGGATGTAATATGGCATACAACGTACACTATTTCTTTCAAGTCTACGTTGTTTGTTTGTTATCCCCCCCCCCCCCCCCCCGGCATATAATGCGGGGGGATATAGTGATCAGCCAGTCTGTCTGTCCGTCCGTCTGTCCGTCCGTAATCATTTCCTTTTCCGGGGCAGAATTCGAAAACCATTCAGTGTATTTGATCGAAACTTAGCAAATCTATCAGGCACATACTGAAGTGGTGCCTTTTGATATTTTGGGATTTTTCTCATTTTATTTTTTTTTAATTTTTATGGAATGAAGTTGGACATAGACTCAATTAGGGATGGGGTCCGTTTCCGGGGCAGAATTCGAAAACCATTCAGTGTATTTGATCGAAACTTGGCAAATCTATCAGGCACATACTGAAGTGGAGCCTTTTGATATTTTGGGATTTTTCTAATTTTTATTTTTTTAAATGTTTATGGAATGAAGTTCGACATAGACTCAATTGGGGATGGGGTTCGTTTCCGGGGCAGAATTCGAAAACCATTCAGTGGGTAAACAATGTATGCTTCTAAAAGAACATTCAACTGTAGACTCATTACATACAGAATTGCACATTTACTAGTGGTTACTTTACAGACAGCTGCCGGGGAGATATGTCATCTTTCTGATGACTCTTGTTTGTTGTTTATTGCCGAACTCAGCAATATTCCAGCTATATGACGGCGGTCTGTAAATAATCGAGTCTTGACCAGATAATCCAGTGGTTGACATCATGAACATCGACCAATGCAATTGGGATACTATGACATACATCAACCAAGTCAGCGAGCCTGACCACCCGATCACCGGACCCCCTTTGCTTGGCAGAGTAAGCTTACTGTAGGTCCCGAACAGGATTTCTTGAATATTCATGTCCGGGAATGAGAAGGGTTGTATGACATAAGGCCATTGTGGCTATATTGCACTTTACGGGTGAGTCAGACAGCTGTGGGACGTTGCTCATAATATCAATCATCGGTTTGTCTGGTACTCGATTATTTACAGTGAAGTCATGAAGACTGTTTGATCGGATGTGTGCATTGTCCTACATGATATTGTGATTGGAGCACCTTTAAGTTCTTGTTCTTTTCAAGTTTCCCTGGCTTTCAGTTGGGTTTTAAGAGGTGTGGAGGTGGTGAAGTATGTTTCAATACCTTTTTAATTACTTACCAACCTCTAAAATGTCATTTAAACAGTGCGGAAATATAGCAGGAATCTAGCTGACATCAATGTAAAACAACAAACGAAGATATAGGAAATGATAAAACCATCATTTCAGAACCTGTCCGCTGCTCATTATGACTGTAAATGGTATCCAGAAGCATGCTTTCAATGTTAACCTCTTATGACTTCCAGATAGTGTGGCAACCAATCAATCTTGTCAGTTTTATGATGATTGGTTGACACAAGCAAAAGGTATCATTTCAAAAACCCGAGGCCATATTCACTTAAAGATTGAAGTTGTATTTGTTGACGTTCATCAGCTGATGAACGTCAACAAATACAACGTTAGTCCTTATATTGACAGATGCATCAATCAAAACAAAACAATCCATTAAACATAAATTTTTAATTATTTAAAACGAACTATATCAGCGCGGAGAGTCGTAACTTCATCCGTCCCAAACATTCCATTTGGAGTGACATCCCTTGGTTTTACAAACGGCAGAAACTGGCGGCTACGACAACGTCATTTGCTTAAAATAAAAGTTGCACCCAGTAAAGTTAGCGTTGGAAAGAAACCCAGACCCGGCTGATGCTGAAAATGGATTGATAATATTTTAAGGCAAGAATGCAGTATACCGGACAACTTCCGCCATTTGGGTAAGGGATGTGCACGAGCTTGTCGCCTCGCTAAAACAACAGGGGTCACTCAACGGCCTGAATTAAATGCTTTCGAAAGTAAATGAAATGTTTAATTACCAAAGTTGATACAAAATACTTTATTAGTCAAACAAACATGGCGGATTGGTGTCCGGTATACTGCAGGTGTACCGTAACGTTCTGTGAACTTTGGGCGTGTCTTTGAGTGGTGATTTCTTTTGGTAAGTCGAGCATTCTCTGTTAAAGCTTCGAATGGACGCTTCATTTCGGTGACCCGACATATACATGATCTGTCTGACTTCAGAGCCTGCATCATTCAAAGCCTAAATCGATGTTGCTCTCAGTTTATGTTTTATGTTATTTTTAGACATTGAGGAATTCCCGCAAAGTAGTTCTGTATGTCTCCGCGCGATTGACAACGTAATCACGCGACACACTGACGTTCATCGGGAAATGATTGACAGACAGCTTGGTAGTCTTCACCAAGGCGAGGTCACCCGCTACTGTCAATAGAACACTTTCAAATTATATATGTTATATTGTGGACATATTAATTTTGATAATTTTATCATCATCAGATATTCTGGCTGCCGTCTTACAATGGAGTCTTGCTGGAACAGTGGTTGATGCTCAACATGCAGACAAGACCACGTGAACAGCTGCGACCAGGACCACACAAATCCCACACCAAGAGTCAAGTGTACATCTGCACCACCATGTACAGAGAGGTGACCTCGTGCATTTTTCCTGAATTCATTTTAATGTTAGGGAAACAGTTTCAAGTCAACGCATTTTTTCATTGAAGAGATAATATACAGATGTATGGGTTTTGAGTCAAAGAGTGTGTTCACACTTCAGTTCTAGTCATGTCAAGTTCTAATGGATTTAAATGAAAACGTTTACGTTTTAATATGGTCTAGATACTAGGTTGGTTGGTTGGTTTGTTGTTTTACGCCGCACTCAGCAATATTACAGCTATATGACGGCGTTGACCTACATCAACCAAGTCAGCGAGCCTGGCCACCCGATCCCGTTAGTCGCCTTTTACGACAAGCATAGTCGCCTTTTATGGCAAGCATGGGTTGCTGAAGATCTATTCTAACCCGGATCTTCACGGGTCTGGATACTAGGTATTATTTCAGTGATCTATTCATGTAAGTTGCGTACAGATTTATCTTTTCTTCCCTATGGAATCTGTTTTGGCATTAATGCGAGACTGATCAGTATCTAAGACTGGCGTTTTGTGTTTAGAAAGTCAAGGCTGACCAACACATATAAGTGAATAACCATTCTATTTTCCCCTGTAAGAGATGTTCGTGCAGGTATGAGATAATACCTGCCTCTTTTGTTATCTTGTAGTAATGTTCGCTTTTGTATCACCAGAATGAAGTGGAGATGCGACAACTTCTCCAGTCCATCAATCAAATCAATTTGGCACGTGCTGATGATGACAAGTTCTTTGAGTCCCACGTCCTCTTTGACAGTGGAATACAGAAGAAAACCATCTCGGAATTTCCGCTACAACTTCTGACTCTGATCGAGGAAACTCTAGGCACGTTTTTTTTGTTTTTTGGGGGGTTTTTTTATTAAAAAAAAAAAAAAAAAACAACTCTAGGCACGTATTTACCTGCTGGAGGTTCCCTCTGCTGTGAGGGGGGATCCACCTACGATCTGCCTTTATTGTGGAACAGGAGTGGCAAAGTCGTTTTTGGCGCCGGAATTCGAGTTGCTTGCGTTAGGCTTTCCAACAAACCTCTAACTGTGGGTTAGAATCCCGGATCGCTCTCATTGTATATTTATGTCAGCTCGGGCCTTTATACCCCAGGAAGCTGACACGCCGTGATAACATTGAAAGTTTGTTTGTTTGTTGTTTAACGCCGCACTCAGCAATATTCTAGGTGTATGACGGCGCATCCCAACCAGACAATCCAGTGATTGACATCATGAACATCGATCTATGCAACTGGGATACAATTACATGCATCAACCAAGTCAGCAAGGTTGACCACACTATCTCGTTAGTCGCCACTTACGACAATTATAGATTGCTGATGACCAAGTCCAACCCAGAATCTTCACAGAACGATACGATTGAACGCTTTTCAGAGGACATGTAACCAGTACAACTGTACTGAACTTGCACTTAGCAAATTTTTAATCGCTTCATACTAACGTAACTACCATACTTTACTATTTTACGCCATATTTGAGCAATATTCCTTCAGTATCAAAGCCTTGGGAGGGAGAGGCTATGCGTGGGGAAGAGAGGTGGCACCGGCAATTGTCGAACACATACGAGTACGATTGGGCCCTGGTAGTCGTCTGAGCGCTATTACTATCCCACACGTCGGCGAAGACAAAATCTAAGGCTCCAGGGGCCCTTTCAGCACTGACGAATTGGAGTCCCTTGCTGAGAGAATGATGTTATACAATTCACAACAAATTAAGGGCGGTCGGGTAGCCTAGTGGTTAAAGCGTTCGCTCGTCACGCCGAAGACCCGGGTTCGATTCCCGACATGGGTACAATGCGTGAAGCCCATTTCTGGTGTCCCCCGCCGTGATATTACTGGAATATTGCTAATAACGGCGTAAAACTATACGCACTCACTCACTCACAACAAATTAATGTCTAACCTCACGCCTCCTCCCCTCCAGGTATTATGACAGACAACTGCACGAAGGTGGAGACACCATACGGAATGAAGTTGAGTTGGAACCTGCCGCAGCCTTCTTCCAAAGTCAGACCAATGACGTTCAACATACATCTGAAGGACGGACGTAAAGTAAATCACGTTACATCGCATATATATTGCCATTAAATGAAAAAAGGAGAGTGCATTTATAATGCCGTTGTGGGTAAACAATAAAAATCACTGAGAACAGGAAACTGTCTTTAGTTTATACGAACAATATTATTTTGAAATGTTACGGGGTTTCTCCGCGGAGCAGGTTTCTACAAATACACGTGCAAGAGTGATGGGAACAATTCCTGTTGTTTATTAATGCCATTTAACCGTGTGATTTGTCAACTATTATCCTCGGGATGATCAAGGATAATAACAATCATGAAGATAACTCCAGTGAAAAGGATGGTATTAATCATTGAGCAGTTTTGTGGTAGAAATATGTAAAGTGGTATTGCTTGTCCAATCATATTTTCGATATGTTTACGCAACATAACTGTTTTAAAGTTTAATTATTGGAATTCTTAATATTCAAAGGAAGATACATCTCTATTGTTTTCTCCACTTTGGTGAGATTGTTGTTTTTGATGACTGACTTACACTTTTTTTATATATTTGAAGAGACTTGCAAATATCAAATGTGTGCGTCAACCTGTATGGTGTTTTTGATATCTTTTGTCAGATCAAATATCTCAGATCAACATATTGTGAATATGTCCCACGGTGTGGTTGCAGGTTCGAAATAAGAAACGATGGAGCCAAATCATGTACATGTCCTACGTGGTCGACTTCCTGATGACGTGTAAGTACATGTAGCTATCACTATGTCAGATTACTTCACTGTTTAGGGACCGACCACTGGATATTCTTGGGGATGAGATTTTGTATCGAGACTGGAGATTTATTCGGCTGCAGCCAGATAAATATTTTTAAAAACATACTGCGCGTTCGGTTCCATATTCAATTTTGCGCGGTTAAATCTACAGGTGACCTAGCTCTACATTGAAAACACAGCTCGTTTATCTCCTAACTGTGTCACTTAGGTCTGCTGGTGATATATCATGTTCTGTCAGACGGTCTGCCTCTTCTGATGTTATTGTAGGACCTCTGCGTTATAGTGTCCCATGATATATTATTCATTAGTTTGTTTGTTGTTTAACGCCGCACTCAGCAATATTCAAGCTATATGACGGGGGTCTGTAAATTATCGAGTCTGGACCAGATAATCCAGTGATTAACATCATTAGCATCGATCCCCACAATTGGGATACGATGACATGCATCTACCAAGTCAGTGACCACCCGATCCCGTCGTTCGCCTCTTACGACAAGCATAGTCACCTCTTACGGCAAGCATGGGTTGCTGAAGACCTATTCTATATTATCTACAAGAAATTAACAGTTTATGAATTGATACTCTTTCAAAATATAATCTTAGTTCATGTTCCAAAGAATATAAGGACGCTCTCATCCCCGTTATATCATCAGCGAATGATGAGGACTGCTACATCCTGACCACCGATGCCGACGTCAAATTTACTCCAGACTCGGTTGAAGCCCTCCTTGACCTCATGACACGTGACCGCTCAGTTGGCGCAGTATGCGCACGCACCCACCCTATCGGAAGTGGCCCACTTGTATGGTATCAAGTGTTCGAGTACGCTATACGACACTGGTTCCAAAAGGTTTGTGTTTTCTAGATCTCATTGCAATACAATCCAACCCGACATTTATCGTATCCGCATGTTTGTTTGTTTGTTGTTTAACGCCGCAATATTCCAGCTATATGACAGCTGTCTGTAAATAATCGAGTCTAGACCAGCCAATCCAGCATCTTCCCAAGGCAAGTGAGTTAACTGACTTTAAAAGTCAAGTTTCCAGCACTTGCATTTGTTTCAAACAAAACGGTGACGCCCAGTCAAGACGATCTGATCGATAATCAAGATCTATATTGTGATAAAACGAGTCTTACATCGCGAAGTGCATCAAATCACGTGAGCACCTTGATTAAAAACATGAAAAGATTTAGAAAATATCTGTTGACAACGAGCTAGCGGTGCACATGCTTTGCAACTCCTGCAGTCTACCGAAATCTGCATGACACTTTACGAACCGGATTTCGATTTCGGTGCGCGATTTTGATTGGACTATGCATAGACTCGTTAGTCCAGCCAAAATCTAACTCCATAATACCAGCCTAGTTCGGTAAGGGTGGAAACTGGACTTTATAGTCGGTTAACTCACTTGCCTCGGGAAGATGCCAATCCAGTGAATGACATCATGATCACCGATCAACGCAATTGGGATACGATGACATGCATCAGCCAAGTCAGCGAGCCTGACCACCCGATCCCGTAAGTCGCCTCTTACGACAACCTTTTACGGCAAGAATGGGTTGCTGAAGATCTATTCTGTTGTTATGTTCTGGTGCGGCGTTTAACAACAAACAAACAAACAAATGTTAGGTTCTGTGACTTGTGCGTCATCGAATAGTCATGCATGAGTCTTTGTTCGCATATCAGACGCTGATTTGTCTGTTCCAGAGTGTAACATATGCAGCTCACGATGATTGAAAACAAATGTTCTTATTCTTTCTGTTTGTGAAAATAATTGCTTTTTCCTACATTTCTGTAAAACACAAATAGCACAGCCGCTATAATTAAGATTGATATCCATGCATAATATATGGCTTATTTGGAAGCAACTCTTTGTGACGAACTGATCCTGTTTTCAACCTGAAGAAGGCCTGTTTAATTTCAGTAAGTTCGGGTTGGCTCATGAATTGTGTAGGTTGGATTGTCGGTATGCGAGTTCGTTTTAACACCGCTATGATGAGTATTCATTCACACCAGGGCGTGTTTGCTTGATGTGGGGTGAATTCCCGAAAACTATGCAGACCTTTACCTTTTTCATGGTGCTGACAAACCCTAAACCTGAATCAGAAACCAAATCATACATATCTAGCGTCGTAGACTACTGGTTCACCAGGGCCCCTAGTTAATTTTTGATGTTATTTTATCTAGCCTGTCATCACAAAACAACTTTTCTCTGAAACTGTTTTGATGATGAGAATTTGGATTTTTTAGGCTTGCTCAAACTAATAATAAGTTTATTGAAGTGGATTCATTTAAGTTTAGTTCATATGTATTGTGAATTGAAAAGTATCGAAATTCAATATTAGCACGGGGATTTTTTTATTTATATAAATACTTTCTTTGAAAGTGAGGCAAAATATTTTGTTCCTACCCACAAAATAATATTTTATTAAAATTTGTGTTGGTAATAGTTGAAGAATTTATGTATTTTCCAGCATTTTCAAGAACAGAAAATTAATGGTTAATAAGATGGTTAATAAAACCATTCATGAATATGAAGAAAATATGTGGCGCAGAAAAGTTTCTGTCAATACAGGTCTTTCACGCTTCATGCTAATACACACAAAGCTTACTCACCGTATATTATGGCAACTAGCATATCTGTACCCAGAACAGAGGTCAAGTTTAACATTTTGTGTTAGAGTTTCATCACGTAACAAAACTTCCAGGGACTGTTTATTGTGTAACAAGCATGCCTTTGATTATGATAATCACATCATATTACATTGTGAAGCTCTCCTGCAGGAAAGAAATGAACTGTTTTCAACCTTTATTGATCTGCTTGATGTTGAAACCTATGTCCAGTTGGAATCACAAGATGAAGAAGATATGTTGTCATTTTTCTTTGGTGCTGATACTCACTTCTCACAATGTATTGATATAGTTACATGGGAATCTGTTATACTGATATTTCCTGCTTATGTACTTACACTAAAGCCTTACCTTGATTATGTCATCTGATCTAACCTTTTGTACTGTGTGAATGGCATGACACTGGTGCTACTGTCTTTTATTGTATATATGTACAGGTAATGTGAGTTTGTGTGAATACGTTTGATTAATTATGTATAATCTTCGGATTAACTTCTGGAGGAAATAAAGAATCTCTCTCTCTCTCTCTCTTTCTTTGAAAGTGAGGCAAAATATTTTGTTCCTACCCACAAAATGATATTTTATTAAAATTTGAGTTCGTAATAGTTGAAGAAATTATGTATTTTCCGGCAATTTCAAGAACAGATAATTTTCTTTTCAAGAATCACATCAATGAATTGTAATGTTTAGGTAGACACGAGGGCAACCCAGACACTGCATTCATTGATCTCCGTGTATTTCCAGGCAGCAGAACATGTTCTGGGGTCGGTGCTCTGTGCTCCAGGGTGTTTCAGTGTGTATCGCTGTGTCGCCCTCAAGGAGATCCTCACAGTATACTCCACCAATGTGGAACATGCGTTTGACTTCCTGACAAAGGATATGGGAGAGGATCGCTGGCTGTGTACACTGATGGTGAGCAGTGCGCTGTGTTGAATGTAGGACCAAGTGTAGGATATGGGAGAGGATCGCTGGCTGTGTACACTGATGGTGAGCAGTCACTGTGCGTTGTGTTGAATGTAGGACCAAGTGCAGGATATGGGAGAGGATCGCTGGCTGTGTACACGCATGGTGAGCAGTGCGCTGTGTTGAATGTAGGACCAAGTGCAGGATATGGGAGAGGATCGCTGGCTGTGTACACTCATGGTAAGCTGTGCGTTGTGTTGAATGTAGGACCAAGTGCATGACATGGGAGAGGATCGCTGGCTGTGTACACGCATGGTGAGTAGTTCGTTGTGTTGAATGTAGGACCAAGTGCAGGACATGGGAGAGGATCGCTGGCTGTGTACACGCATGGTGAGTAGTGCGTTGTATTGAATGTAGGACCAAGTGCAGGACATGGGAGAGGATCGCTGGCTGTGTACACTCACGGTGAGCAGTGCGTTGTATTGAATGTAGGACCAAGTGCATGACATGGGAGAGGATCGCTGGCTGTGTACACGCATGGTGAGTAGTGCGTTGTGTTGAATGTAGGACCAAGTGCATGACATGGGAGAGGATCGCTGGCTGTGTACACGCATGGTGAGTAGTGCGTTGTATTGAATGTAGGACCAAGTGCATGACATGGGAGAGGATCGCTGGCTGTGTACACGCATGGTGAGTAGTGCGTTGTGTTGAATGTAGGACCAAGTGCAGGACATGGGAGAGGATCGCTGGCTGTGTACACGCATGGTGAGTAGTGCGTTGTGTTGAATGTAGGACCAAGTGCAGGACATGGGAGAGGATCGCTGGCTGTGTACACGCATGGTGAGTAGTGCGTTGTATTGAATGTAGGACCAAGTGTATGACATGGGAGAGGATCGCTGGCTGTGTACACGCATGGTGAGTAGTGCGTTGTATTGAATGTAGGACCAAGTGCATGACATGGGAGAGGATCGCTGGCTGTGTACACTCACGGTGTGCAGTGCGTTGTGTTGAATGTAGGACCAAGTGCAGGACATGGGGGAGGATCGCTGGCTGTGTACACTGATGGTGAGCAGAGCGTTGTGTTGAATGTAGGACCAAGTGTAGGATATGGGAGAGGATCGCTGGCTGTGAACACCAATGGTGAGGAGTGCGTTGTGTTGAATGTAGGACCAAGTGCAGGATATGGGAGAGGATCGCTGGCTGTGTACACTGATGGTGAGCAGAGCGTTGTGTTGAATGTAGGACCAAGTGTAGGACATGGGAGAGGATCGCTGGCTGTGTACACTGATGGTGAGCAGAGCGTTGTGTTGAATGTAGGACCAAGTGCAGGACATGGGAGAGGATCGCTGGCTGTGTACACTGATGGTGAGGAGTGCGTTGTGTTGAATGTAGGACCAAGTGTAGGATATGGGAGAGGATCGCTGGCTGTGTACACCCATGGTGAGGAGTGCGTTGTGTTGAATGTAGGACCAAGTGCAGGATATGGGAGAGGATCGCTGGCTGTGTACACCCATGGTGAGGAGTGCGTTGTGTTGAATGTAGGACCAAGTGCAGGACATGGGGGAGGATCGCTGGCTGTGTACACGCATGGTGAGGAGTGCGTTGTGTTGAATGTAGGACCAAGTGCAGGACATGGGAGAGGATCGCTGGCTGTGTACACTGATGGTGAGCAGAGCGTTGTGTTGAATGTAGGACCAAGTGCAGGATATGCAGTAAGGGACGGTTTTTTCTGAATGAAGGAAGCAAAAGATTTTAGGTGCAATCACAATACACTTCTTTGAGGATATCAAGCAAGTCATGGGATATTTCTGTATTTTTGTAAATTCATTGAACATGGGTTTTGTAGAGGCAAATGTCAATAACTTCAATGAACATCTTGGTTTCTGAAATCTAAGGGACACAACCCTGTACAGTGATTTGTGTGGTGACCATTGCCACATAGGCGTTCACGTGTTTCTATTGGCTACTTTAATATGGAATGATACATGATGTCGTGTCTGTTTTATGGGAGTGTGGGTTGTCGAGGTTGGGAGTGGGGCATTTGACAATAAATGAGAGAATCAATTTTTCAGTGTCATATTTATTTTTGATTTATTTGAAAAGTTGTGTCTATGGCGCAGAAACATGAGTCATTCAAAACCCTGGCCCACACCCAAAACAACCACTGGAACCGCCACTGATTTATTTACTTCATGTAATAGTTATCTAATTGTGCATATTCCCAAACATAATCTTTCAGGTTCAGAGCGGTTGGAGAATTGAGTACTGCGCAGCCGCTGAGAACTCCACACACTGCCCCAGTGAGTTTGAGGAGTTCTACAAACAGAGGCGACGTTGGATCGCCTCAAGTATTGGCAACCTCATGCTGCTGATCAAACAGTGGCAGATCATCCGACTGTTCAACTACCGAGTGTCCCTGCTGTACATTGTCTACCAGGGGGCGCTGCTCTTCTCCACTCTGATTGGTCCGAGCACGGTCATCTTGATTGTTTCAGGTAACACATGTTTATCAATGCCTCCTTTCTGAGGCATTCATACATGTGTGTGCACATGTAGTCCTGCACCATGACCGTGGAATATATTTATTTTATGAAAAAAACATAATCTAGAAATGCATACAAAAGCAAGTCTAGCCAGCTCAAGCTAGCTCTATTCCAAATCAGCATAGGGAATTTTATTTTTATTTTTAGAGTCAAGAAGGATATTGTGTAATATAAGATTTCAGAGACTAAATGTTAGTCTAGTGCACATGGTGCAGACTGGAACACATAATAATTTATGGAATTAGACCTTTATCTTTCTCTCCGATTCACATAAATATGAAATTATTGTCACAATAATGTGGTTTTAATGACAAGACTGTTTAACGTGAATTGCAGGTGAGAAGTATATTAGAAATAATCCTTAAAGTTAGAGTGATTTAAACAGATTTTTACCACAAAAAACTATTGCTAATATCACTTGCGTTTGGGTTTAAATACACAGTATACATATTGCAAAAAAACACAAATCACTAAAAAGGAAACATTCCGTGTTCTTTTATAGGTAATTACCTGTTTTGTTATAGAGATGATTATCGTGTTTTATTCTAAAGATTGTTCTGCTTTATTATGACGTAGATTGTTTTGTTCACTTGTGGTGATTAAACTTTTTTTATTTTAAAGGTTATTATCATGTTTTATTATAAAGGCGATAATCGTGTTTGATTATAAGGTAGTTATCTTGTTTTTATTACAAGGTGTGTATCTTGTTGTATTATTGAGGTGACTATCTTGTTTATAAAGGTGTTGATCTTGTTTTATTATAAATGTGATTTTCCTGTTGTGTTATAAAGATAATTATCCGGTTTTGTTATAAATATGGTTATCTTGTTTTATTATAAAGGTGATTATCGTGTTCTATTTTAAAGGTGATTATCTTGTTTCATTATAAAGGTGATTATCGTGTTCTATTTTAAAGGTGATTATCTTGTTTCATTAAAAAGGTGATTATCGTGTTCTATTTTAAAGATGATTATCTTGTTTTATTATAAAGGTGATTATCTTGTTTCATTATAAAGGTGATTATCGTGTTCTATTTTAAAGGTGATTATCTTGTTTCATTAAAAAGGTGATTATCGTGTTCTATTTTAAAGATGATTATCTTGTTTTATTATAAAGGTGATTATCTTGTTTCATTATAAAGGTGATTATCGTGTTCTATTTTAAAGGTGATTATCTTGTGTCATTAAAAATGTGATTATCGTGTTCTATTTTAAAGATGATTATTTGGTTTTATTATAAAGGTGATGATCTTGTTTCATTATAAAGGTGACTATCGTGTTCTATTTTAAAGGTGATTATCTTGTTTCATTAAAAAGGTGATTATCGTGTTCTATTTTAAAGATGATTATCTTGTTTTATTATAAAGGCGATTATATTGTTTCATTATAAAGGTGATTATCGTGTTCTATTTTAAAGGTGATTATCTTGTTTCATTAAAAAGGTGATTATCGTGTTCTATTTTAAAGATGATTATCTTGTTTTATTATAAAGGCGATTATATTGTTTCATTATAAAGGTGATTATCGTGTTCTATTTTAAAGGTGATTATCTTGTTTCATTAAAAAGGTGATTATCGTGTTCTATTTTAAAGATGATTATCTTGTTTTATTATAAAGGCGATTATATTGTTTCATTATAAAGGTGATTATCGTGTTCTATTTTAAAGGTGATTATCTTGTTTCATTAAAAAGGTGATTATCGTGTTCTATTTTAAAGATGATTATCTTGTTTCATTATAAAGGTGATTATCTTGTTTCATTATAAAGGTGATTATCGTGTTCTATTTTAAAGGTGATTATCTTGTTTCATTAAAAAGGTGATTATCGTGTTCTATTTTTAAGATGATTATCTTGTTTTATTATAAAGGTGATTATCTTGTTTCATTATAAAGGTGATTATCGTGTTCTATTTTAAAGGTGATTATCTTGTTTCATTAAAAAGGTGATTATCGTGTTCTATTTTAAAGATGATTATCGTGTTTTATTATAAAGGTGATTATCTTGTTTCATTATAAAGGTGACTATCGTGTTCTATTTTAAAGGTGATTATCTTGTTTCATTAAAAAGGTGATTATCGTGTTCTATTTTAAAGATGATTATCTTGTTTTATTATAAAGGTGATTATCTTGTTTCATTATAAAGGTGATTATCGTGTTCTATTTTAAAGGTGATTATCTTGTTTCATTAAAAAGGTGATTATCGTGTTCTATTTTAAAGATGATTATCTTGTTTTATTATAAAGGTGATTATATTGTTTCATTATAAAGGTGATTATCGTGTTCTATTTTAAAGGTGATTATCTTGTGTCATTAAAAATGTGATTATCGTGTTCTATTTTAAAGATGATTATCTTGTTTTATTATAAAGGTGATGATCTTGTTTCATTATAAAGGTGACTATCGTGTTCTATTTTAAAGGTGATTATCTTGTTTCATTAAAAAGGTGATTATCGTGTTCTATTTTAAAGATGATTATCTTGTTTTATTATAAAGGCGATTATATTGTTTCATTATAAAGGTGATTATCGTGTTCTATTTTAAAGGTGATTATCTTGTTTCATTAAAAAGGTGATTATCGTGTTCTGTTTTAAAGATGATTATCTTGTTTTATTATAAAGGTGGTTTGTGGTTCGCCTGTGGCGTGGGCACTTGGGTGTCGGGGTACCTGCAGCTCAGTCTCTGTGCCAGCTTCATCTTCATCTGTCTTTACACATCAGACAAGACGCAGATTCTGGTACCTAGTCATAATTTCCACATTCTCATGAGCAAATGCGTCATGGGGAAATAACAGCCTGTCTCACGTCAGCCCATTGTTTATTGACTAACCAATCACTACACTGTGTCGGCATGTACAAGTCACGGGTGTGACTGTACATTAATGAGTTGAGGTCGAATGGGATATGATTTATTTTTTTCAAGACTTAATAATGGAGTCTGGACCAGACAATCCAGTGATTTACATGAGCATGAGCATGACCACGGAGGTCGTCGGTACATTAATGATGACTAGAACACTAATAGCGTAATGTCATAGACACGATACGTTATAGGGAAGATAAAGAAAACAACATTGGGCGATACAATTCCCAAAATGTGTCGACTGCCTCTGTAGTCTAGTGGTAGAGCTTCTACCCGGAGAGCGAAATGTCCGGGGTTCGATCCCCGGCCGCGTTATGCCAAAAGATGTCAAAAGATGGTAATTGTTGTTACCCTGCCATTGAGCTCGGCATTAAGGGGGTAAAACAAGGACTGGTCGGCTCGGAGTCAGTATACTTTGTCTGAGTGGAGTATTCATGTTAAACTGCGGCATCGTATCTCAGTTGGCTAGCACTATAAATCGGCATCAGTCCGGACTAGTACAAGCAGCCACACACACACACACACACACGCATGTACGTCGCTATATAAGTGCAATAATCTTGGACGCGACGTTTAACCCCATTTCACCTCACCTCACCTCACCTCACCTCACCTCACCTCACCGAAATGTGTCATTGTTGTTTTGTAGACTGCGAAGCTGCTGACAGTCATATATGCCATGGTGATGACGGCACTGGTCGTGGGGGCGACCATTCAGATAGCGGACAACTTTAACCAACTAAAGTCGGGTAGGTTTCCAAGTTTCACCAAGGGGATTTCAGGCTGGTGAAAGTTGAAGCGTTTGGTCACTCGTCACAGCAGAATGTATCAGTATAAGGTAATCTAGAACTTGTGTGAATCATTCAACTGAATAATGGTTATTCATAGATCAAAATTTTAAGATGCCAGAATGTGTTGTAAGGATATTATATTCCTGCAATTCCTCTTTACTGCCACTCTTAGAGGATCACAGTCATGCTCACTGTTGCATATCATCATCTTCAGTTCACGTGAAGATCCGGGAAGGAGTAGGTCTTCAGCAACCTTTGCTTGCCCTAAAAAGCGACTATGCTTCTCGTAAGAGGTGACTACGTCCTTGGTTAATTAGTCATAACTACTTCTTAAGTTACTCACAGACAATATCATCCGAATGGTTTTTCGTTGGCAGATGGCCGTTGGATATGTACCTCTACTAGTACACCATCTTCATAGGGCACCAACCATTTAATATCCTGAAGGATAGGGAGGTTGGAATATATGTTTGTTTTCTAGCGTCAGTGCTTCAAGAGGTGGGGTTTAACGTCGCGTCCAAGATTATTGCACTTATATAGCGACGTGCATGTGTGCGTGGCTGCTTGTACATGTCCGGACTGATGCCGATTTATAGTGCTAGCCCACTGTTAAACATGAATACCCCACTCAGCCACAGTATACTGACTCCGAGCCGACCAGTCCTTGTTTTAGCCCCTTAATGTCGAGCGCCAGACAGTGTAACAACAAGTACCATCTTTTAACGTATTTTGGTATGACGCGGCCGGGGATCGAACCCCAGACATTCCGCTCTCCGGGCGGACGCTCTACCACTTGATCACGAAGGCGCTCCTGTTTTGTTTGTAAAATCTAGCGATACATTACTAAATTACTCTAAAAAAATATAAAAGAAAATGTATACACATTATAACAACATTATAAATTCACAGCTCCGTTGGCGATACTGTCAAGGATGGTTAACTTTATTCTTCAGATGATGGAACTGGATTTCAAGTATCAACGGAGAACCTTTTTGTTTCGGATAATGGATCGGGTATCCCACATTCAGTGAAATCCTTTCTTGGAAGCAGTACGTCCGTGTCACCAACGACAATCTACCTGTCGTCAATCGCGTCTGTGTTCATCGTGGCTGCTCTGCTTCACCCGAAGGAGATGTTATGTCTCATATACGGCATATGCTATCTTCCGTGTCTGCCCTCCGGCTACCTGTTACTGATGATCTACAGCGTGTGCAACATCACAGACAGAAGCTGGGGTATACATTGTACATGCTGGCAGTGAGTGAGGTCGATTTTACGCCGCTTTGAGCATTAATTGGGTTACATCACGGCGTGTAAGCTTGGTGTTAGGGTGAGTAAATGAGTTTGATTTTACGCCGCTTTTAGCAATATTCCAGCAATATCACGGCGGGCTTCACATATTGTACGCATGTCGGGAATCGAACCCGGGTCTTCAGCGTGTCGAGCGAACGCGTTAACCACTAGGCTACCAGACCGCCCCCTGGCTGGGTGTTAGAGAACATTTTAACCACGTTGGTGAAAGGAACCAGAACAAGGATCTAAACGTAGAAACACGAATATATGATGCCGACCAACCATTCTCTCACACTTAAGGTACGCATCAATAGCGGCGCCTTGTACCTTATAGCCTTATAGCCCCTGGCCCACCCCTGAGCCCAAATGTTGATATGAGTAGAGTTTTGAGTCACATGATTCTTTGTGTGTCAGCGTCGAGGGGAGATTGCCTTAAGAATGGACTACCATGGGGACCGGGGGTTAGACTCGGCGACCTCACTGAAAGTGTATCATAGTGCCTCGATGACGTGTAATATAGCAAGAATGTTGAGCTAAATAACAGTTATACCTTAAATTCAGAAAATGATTTCTTTTTGGTCAATCAGAGTTATCAAATCACGACTTAAGCAGCAGAATTGACAAATAGCGAATCTCACCCGAGTGTCTTTTGATATCAAATATATCAACACGAGTTGATAAAAGTGAAAAAATTCCGAGGCTTGCCGAGGATTTTTGCCACTTTTATCAACGAGTGTTGATATATTTGATATCAATAGACACGAGGATGAGAATTTATTTATCATCCAACATCATTCTTCCAACTTTTTCAATTTGTAGACATTAATTAGCAGTGTCTTCAGTGTAAAAAAGTACTGAAAACAGCTTCAGTGGCAGAGCCATTAGTGATGTCATTTGATTGTGGCGTCATGGTAACCAGTGACATCACAATGGTCTGCAAAACATTGTGATGTAATTTCATTGCAGCGATATCTAGAGTGTAGATATCGCTTGATCTCATCCAAGCGATATCTCCTGTGGGAGCCAGTTTCGGATGATAATACGTCTTATCAATGATGGTTGGTATACTTTCAAAGCATGTACATGTACAATTATGAGTGAGGATTACAAGTCAAAGAATGGGTGACAACATACATATAGGGCGGATTATGTATTCCAAGCCCTGAGGAGATTAACTTCGGGGCGTCCACTTCGGGGCGCACACTTTCGATGTCTTAAATATACTTGAGTAAAGTATATTCGTGGGAAAAATATCTTTGAGAATATACAGCGCCACACATTGTTTATAGGCTACTTTCGTGATGTCCTTAGTTTAGATCTACAATTCAATTAAAACATTGAACACAATCAGTCCTGCTTATTATCCTCGCTAACACCAGAAAGTCTACGTTGAAGACTGTCAAGGCTGCGCGTTCGTTTGCACACTCAACCTAGCACATAAACATTAACAGACAACCAAGTGCTATCCGTGAAGGTGCGGGGTTGAATAGGTCTTTAGCGGCCAACGGAAACATGATTAACCTGTAAATGTGAAAAGACGCCCCTCCCTCGCTTCTTGTTTACTTTGAGAATGTCTACATATTCAGATGACAAAGACTTGAAAGACATACTTCACCAATTCCATACTATTTAACCATGTAGTTTACCCGTGAAGATCCGGGGTAGGATAGGTCTTCAGCAGTCCATGCTTGCCGTAAAAGGCGACTATGCTTGTCGTAAGAGGCGACTGACGGGATCGGGTGGTCAGGCTAGCTGATTTGGTTGATGCATGTCATCGATCCGAATTGCTCATAATGTCAATCACTCGATTGTCTTGTCCAGACTCGAATATTTACTGACCGCCGTATACCTGGAATATTGCCGAGTGCGGCGTTAAACAAACTACAAACAAACAAACAAAACATTGCAGACACAGAATGTTGGTGTCCTATACAAACACAACAACAGGTAGGCGAGGCTGTTCACTAACACTTGGTAACGCGTCTCCAGGTACTCGGGAGAAGAAATCGTATGGAGAAGACCAGGGGAAACCAGGATACAAGCGGCTACAGAAGATCATGGAGATCATATGTTTGTGAGGCATTTAATTTGTACCATTTATATTTTCCTAGAGTGAGTGAGTGAATATGGTTTTACGCCGCCTTTAGCAATTTTCCAGCAATATCACGGCGGGGGACACCAGAAATGGGCTTCACACATTGTACCCATGTCGGGATTGGAACCCGGGTCTTCGGCGTGACGAGCGAACGCTTTAACCACTGGGCTACCCGACCGCCCCTATTTCTCCTAGAATAGCTATGACTATCATATTGTGTTTTCGGAAATATCTTTTCAATATCCTTCATACAAATCTAGAAATTCATACTTGATGTTAATTTATTGAAATGGGAAACCTAATGACTGAACCGCAATGCATGATGTCTTAACGACAGTCAGCAAGAGTCAAACTATTTCACGGCGTCCTGTAAATGCCCGAGTCGGGATTAAACAAACAAGACCAAATCAGTCACGCCTAAGATCCAGTCCACGGAACCTTCATACAGCCTGTATTGGAACTTGGGGTCTTATTCGTACAAAATGCCGCGATCGGTTGGTTTCTGTTACGCCGAGTGAGTGTGGTTGTACGCCGCCTTTAGTTATATTCCAGCAATATCACGGCGGGGGCACCAGAAATGGGTAGGTCGGGAATAGAACCCGGGTCTTCGGCGTGACGAGCGAACGCTTTAACCACTAGGCTATCCGACCGCCCCCTGGCACCCCGAAGTGCATCAACTTGAATAAGTATTCATACCAATTCAATCATCTGTTACTTTGCTGCAGTTGCTGTGTGAAACGGCCAACCCCCGCTGACAAGTCCCTCGTAATTGAAGTGCCCCCTTTTGAGAAATGGGCGTCAAGCGAGGATCTAAGTAAGTCACTTAGCAACGTACTTCAACATCTAACTTTACCACGTATTTCAGCATGTGCAATATGCAGCCTCAAAACAATGTATTTTAGCCCACCTCACTGACCGTGTCATTCCGTGATCTATAGGGTATTTGTCGCAGATATCTAGTTTTATCTCTATCTGCAACTTTTCAGGACAATTAATCAAAAATGATAATATATCATCTGAAGTTTCCTCAGAAAACAATATGTGGAATGCTGGACTTCCTCATAGTTCATATCAATGTGAAATGTTTGGATATATCCTCGGCTTTCTGCTGATGTGTTTCTTTTAATATAAAACAGAATATCTGTTCAGATTGACAAAATCAAAACAAGGGAATTTGTCCAAGAAGTTTAGTTTCAGGTAAATCGAAGATAATTGTTCAAGAATTGTCAAGTAGACAATTACCTTCCACTGATCGGCACACCTCAACTATAACAACCAGAGCCCAGTGAAACTCATCCTTTGTTTAAAATATAGATGTATGCAATAAAGCTTTAGAGTGACAAACACTGTATGACAAAAGGGAGGACTTTCAAATAGCAGACTTTCTCTTAATATCGAGCAAAACTGCAGCATTTCACTTTTGAGGTGCAAGCGATCTTGCTCTTTCAGATTTCAAACAGCGTCATACAACTCTTGCTCAGAGGACGTTTGATAAGGGTAACACCATCCAATTCCTTATATAAGTGAAGCTTTTATGACCTGTTACCTTGGACACGTGGTGGACATTTCCAACTTTGACGCATCGGTGACAAAAAATGTGTCCGATGCAATATCCCTATATATCATATTTCCAGGTGTCATTTTCAGTTGAACGATTTAGTAATTTGCTGGGGCGGGCATATTTTGGTTGTTGGGAAGTTATCCCTGACAGTTTTTGCTCCCAGTTTTATCAAACATTGACGGTAAGCCCGTGAAGATCCGGGGTAGAATAGGTCTTCAGCAACCCATGCTTGCCCTAAGCGGCTATGCTTGTCGTAAGAGGCGACTAACGGGATCGGGTGGTCAGGCCTGCTGACTTGGTTGATGTATCCCAATGGTGCGGATCGATGCTCATGACATCAATCACTGTAGTGTCTGGTCCAGACTCAATCACTTACAGACCGCCCTCATATAGCTGGAATATTGATGAGTGCGGCCATAAAGAACAAACAAACAAATCTTTCAACCTCAGATTTAAAAACATTGTTCGTACATCATCTTTCAACCTCAACCTGATATTTCATTTAGAGCCTGGCTCTAGCAGCGAACGGCGTTCGGTGGATGATGATGATGACGATGACGATGACGATGAGGTGTACATACCTATCCCCGTGGAGGAGTGGCTTCCCCCGGAACTCAGAGTAAGAACATACACACGTATCTTCATAGAAGGCGAACAGTAAGATCAGATACTTTAACATGTGTCTCCACAGATAACCATGTATCTTCATAGAAGGCGAACAGTAAGATCAGATAGTATAACATGTGTCTCCACAGATACACCCGTATCTTCATAGAAGGCGAACAGTAAGATCAGCTACTTTAACATGTGTCTCCACAGATAACCACGTATCTTCATAGAAGTCGAACAGTAAGATCAGCTACTTTAACATGTGTCTCCACAGATACACCCGTATCTTCATAGAAGGCGAACAGTAAGATCAGATACTTTAACATGTGTCTCCACAGAACACACGTATCTTCATAGGAGGCGAACAGTAAGATCAGATACTTTAACATGTGTCTCCACAGAACACACGTATCTTCATAGGAGGCGAACAGTAAGATCAGATACTTTAACATGTGTCTCCACAGAACACACGTATCTTCATAGAAGGCGAACAGTAAGATCAGATACTTTAACATGTGTCTCCACAGAACACACGTATCTTCATAGAAGGCGAACAGTAAGATCAGATACTTTAACATGTATCTCCACAGAACACACGTATCGTCATAGAAGGCGAACAGTAAGATCAGATACTTTAACATGTGTCTCCACAGAACACACGTATCTTCATAGAAGGCGAACAGTAAGATCAGATACTTTAACATGTGTCTCCACAGAACACACGTATCTTCATAGAAGGCGAACAGTAAGATCAGATACTTTAACATGTATCTCCACAGAACACACGTATCGTCATAGAAGGCGAACAGTAAGATCAGATACTTTAACATGTGTCTCCACAGAACACACGTATCGTCATAGAAGGCGAACAGTAAGATCAGATACTTTAACATGTGTCTCCACAGAACACCCGTATCTTCATAGAAGGCGAACAGTAAGATCAGATACTTTAACATGTGTCTCCACAGAACACACGTATCTTCATAGAAGGCGAACAGTAAGATCAGATACTTTAACATGTATCTCCACAGAACACACGTATCGTCATAGAAGGCGAACAGTAAGATCAGATACTTTAACATGTGTCTCCACAGAACGCACGTATATTCATAGAAGGCGAACAGTAAGATCAGATACTTTAACATGTGTCTCCACAGAACACACGTATCTTCATAGAAGGCGAACAGTAAGATCAGATACTTTAACATGTGTCTCCACAGAACACACGTATCTTCATAGAAGGCGAACAGTAAGATCAGATACTTTAACATGTGTCTCCACAGAACACACGTATCTTCATAGAAGGCGAACAGTAACATCAGGTACTTTAACATGTGTCTCCACAGAACACACGTATCTTCATAGAAGGCGAACAGTAAGATCAGATACTTTAACATGTGTCTCCACAGAACACACGTATCTTCATAGAAGGCGAACAGTAAGATCAGATACTTTAACATGTATTGACGGGGTAAAAAGAGAAACTTCAACATGTATCTCTATTGGGTGTTGACGGGGTAAGAGGAGAAACTTTAACATGTATCTCTATTGGGTGTTGACGGGGTAAGAGGAGAAACTTTAACATGTATCTCTATTGAGTGTTGACAGGAAAAAGAGAAACTTTAACATGTATCTCTATTGGGTGTTAACGGGAAAGAACGAAGATATGAGAAGTGTGAACAGTGTGACTTCATTGACAGAGTCATCATTGACAGATTACGGGTGTCATTTTACCCATGATATCCCGCATCCTTGAATGAGGACGCCCGTAATACAACATCATTGGTTTGGGTACCCCAGGTGGACATAATTTGACCATGACTATGAAATAGCAGTGTCTTTGTTTTCAAAGTTAATTTTGTCATAATGTCAAGAGAGAGAATCTCGAGGAAGCTTCACAAACAACAAACAATAGTTGAGTGTGGTCTCTATGTTCTTCAAAAGGAACACGGCTCACTATTCAGGCAGCATGGGTTTCACACTACTCTCTTTATATCTGGCATGACCGAGAGCGAGCTGGACGACATCGGCATCAAGGGCAAAGGGCCCCGCCAGAACCTGCTGCAGATGATCGAGTCACTGCCTGCCTTTGAGATAGACTACAAAGTACCGGTAAGATGAGTGAGCGAGTGAACGCCACTTTGTGTATTATGTCAGTTATATCACAGGGTGTAAGCGTGATGTGGGAGGAAAGCCTCACATGAAGACTTAGAAGCTTACCACTTTGGTGAAGCCCACAAACATGAGTATGGCGATTACAACAATAGAAACATAGCCATGGCGCACCGGGATTCAAATCAACTTGAAACCTACACAGAGGTAATTCGATGAGTTTGTGAAATAACTTCAGACAAACCAGCGATGGCTATAATTGTGAGCAACTATCAAATCAAAACAAGAGAACTTGGTCAAGAAGTGTAACGTTTGCTTCAGGGATGTCGGTGAGCAACGATCAAAGCCGTCCAGAATGAGTGAGTGAGTTGGGTTTAACGCCGCATTTAACAGTATTCCAGTTATATAGAGGCGTGTCAGCTTAATGTGGGAGGAAAGCCCGAAGTGATGCAGGTCTCAGACGTTTACTATTTCGGTGAAACCACCCGATGTAGATTGTTCGAGACCTTTTCTAACCCGGAATATTGATCATTTGAGAAAATCAACATCTTGGTTTTCCAAGTGACAATAACGACATGTTTCTTTCAGAGCAGTGTTATAGAATGGCTGGAGACTATCGGCCTGTCTGAGTATGAGCAGAACTTCAAGAGGAACAACATCAAGAAGACCAAGGATCTCAGTCTACTGAAGTCATTCAGGAGGAAGGAGATAGAGAAGAAACTCAAGATCACAATGACCGGTGAGGGTCTGACTGCTTTATACTAATTATTGGATGGAACAAATGAGGTCCTGAAACTTTGTGTTCTTTCTAACATCATGTAAAAGATTTATAAATGAAGTCAGTTATGAATGGGTATATACCAAGTGAAGACAGTCCTGACAAGATTGAAGTTGGTATACAATGAAGGAGAAGCTAATGGACAGGACAGGTGTTATAGGAGGCTGGGAAAAATGTGACGTAATAAACAAGGGATCAAAACTGTACTTATACAATAAACTCAGAGAGTGGCTAGCTTGATTGTAAAGTGGATTTAGATTAAAGGATTATATTATATTCACATGTATTGCGGAGGAAAACTCCCTGGTCACGATTGAATGATGGCTGTTTTATGTGATAGGCTCTCACGTGGAGCTTGTGCTTTCTCCAGTTACTATTTATTACATAAATTGCATTTATCAGTTACTGTCCTTACACTGGAAATAATCAGTAAACTCCGAAAGTCCAAACGGTTCCTCCTATGCTGTGTGGGTGAGACTGGGACTATGACTGTAGGCACATCTGATACGTTATTCCCCAAGCCACCGAGTCTCAGCTGTCAAGCCACCACCTCGCTTCTCACGACATAGATTGCTGGGGACAAAGCCTAACCCATATTAGCCACAGGATGCTGCCGAGGTTAATAATCCTATGGCAGTATTTTATTGCAGGTCACATCAAACGGCTGATTTACGCTATACAGAAGCTGCGGCAACCAACTAAAGGTAACACATCTTCCTCAGTCCCTCCCTGCACTCACTCACTTGCTTGATAAAGATTGGAACTTTTAGAGAGTTCTAGGCTACGTGAAGAACAACGTTCCTGTGGCTATATTCATGCGGGTTAGTCAGGTAAATGTCGAATGGATGCATCACTTCGGGTTTCCTCCAATATAAAGGGCGGTCGGGTAGCCTAGTGGTTAAAGCGTTCGCCGTGCAGTGTGTACATAGGTATGTCAGGTGCAGTGACATGTGTTTGTCAGGTATAGGGTATATTCAAAATGTGAATTCCAGAGCATAATCGTCCTGGATTATCTGCCCCTAAGGTTGTGACTAAAATTATATCGATAGATCAGTTTAAATCAGTGATGACACCAGGTGCTCTCCAAAAGGGTTCGACCCCTGAAGATTCAGGGGTAGAATAGGTCTTTAGTAAGCCATGCTTGCCGTAAAAGGCGACTATGCTTGTCGTAAAAGGCGACTAACGGGATCGGGTGGTCAGGCTCGCTGACTTGGTTGATGCATGTCATCGATCCGAATTGCGTGGATCGATGCTCATGATATTAATTCCTGGATTGTCTTGTCCAGACTCGATTATTTACAGACCGCCGTCATACAGCTTGAATATTGCTGAGTGCGGCGTAAAACAACTAACCAACCAACCAAAAGGGTTAAGTATATTCTGCCTTACCGGCAACACTCGCTACTCAGACGTTGCACATAAAGAACTCGATGAAGTATTGATGTACGTCTTCATACTACCAGCTGAGAAGAAGGCGGCCGAGATGAAAGCTCTCGTGGACAGGTCACCAACACGACTCCTCAGAAATTCAAACATTGCCGAATATGATTTCTGGCAACGGCTGATTGACGAGTGCCTGGAACCTGATAGCAAGGCCTTCGGCATTGAGGCAGAGCTGAACGGTACAGTACCAATACTACATATACTGACACGATGCGTCACTGGTGTGTCTAGACTTTGGCTGGTGTATTGCCGAGTGACATTATCGACAGAAGATCCCCCGATTATAAAACATAGTTTGGCGGAATCCGGGATTTTTTACCAAAGTTGTAGACGTGTGGTAATTGTGTCCATTTAGACATTCCTCCACAATTAGTCTGGGAACTGGCCATATAATTAAAACAGTCGGGATCAACAGGGATAATTCACCATGTAGTTCACTGGTAAAATAGCTCAAAGATCCTTTGTCCAAAGTCTGTAATCTAAAAGGTCTAATATGTAAGTGATCAATTTTTCAATGACGTAAACATTCCGTCTGCCATGTTCCAGTCCGCCTGTCAGGTCAAATATTTTATTTTCATTTATTTATTTACTCTCCACAGCTAGACTAGGCGAGCTGAGGAATACGTGGCTCATGATTCTGGTTGTCAGCAACTTAATGTGGCTCATTCTCATCATTACTTTACCCCAGCTCACCGTCCTGGGAACAAGCCCATTAGGTGCGTAGCCCGTAATGTCTGATGAATGGTCCACAGCAACATATTCAGGTCGTAAGAGAAGACTTGATCGATCCAGTTGTCAGGCTCAGTGACTTGGTAGATTGTAGCATGGTACCTTGATGGCGTTAATCGCTGCTCATGCTATCATCCTCTGGTTTGTATGGTTCGAATACTTACTGGCCACCATGATATGGCTTGAACTGGCGAGTTTGGCTGCAGCTGCTTGTGTCAAACAGCACTCACCTGTTGAATGTTATGTCATTCCTAGATTATGATCTGAATGAGTATTTGTATATTGTGGTCCTCATTTCGAATCCATGACATTTCTGGAATTTATACAGTAGTCATCATATTGTGCAGTTCATCATATTGTGTGTTTTTTTAAAATTTCAATTCAATGTCATTTATTTTTTCTGTACTTTAAAGTCACATAAACTCCACATGCTCTCTGTTACTCAAATGGGTTTGTTTGTAAACGGGGACGGTGGGGTAGCCTAGTGGTTTAAGCGTTCGCTCGTTACGCCGAAAACCTTTCGATTCCCAACGTGGGTACGATATGTGAAGCCCATTTCAGGCGTCCCCTGCTGTGATATTGCTGGACTATTGCTCAAAGCGACATAACACCATACTCAATCACTCACTCACTGTTTGTAAACGTGTGTCACCTCTGATGTTGTTTCAGCTGTATATTGATGTGATTTCCAGTTCTGAGTTTGCTGCTTATCTTCGGCACCCTGCTGGGGATCCAGTTCCTGGCGATGCTGGCCCACCGTCTCTCAACCCTCGTCCACTTCATGGCCAGGGCCCCCTTCAAGTGTGGCGCACCGATGAAAACATCCTGGTCCTTCGAGGGCCAGCGATGCTGTCATGATCATGAGACCCAAGATGATGTGGAGGCCATCAGAACAATAAGGAATGATGAGGCAAACATTCACGAGTCACGGAGAAGACAGCTGATAAGAAACAGTTCTTCTGGAAGTATTTCTGAGACAGCTCCCTTGATAAGTCATTCACAAGAGAGGGAGCTCAAAACACCACCATTCTTGTAGCTAAGCTTCGATGATTTACTGCTTTTCTGTCCCCAGTTAATTAGCATGTGGCGTGTTGTACTTTGTTTATGTTTACATTTCCGTTACATAGTGTCACAGTTGTTATACGTCTCTGTGTAGACACATGTTGAATACCCATGCATCATTCACCTCATCAAACGTATTACATAAAAGCGTTATTTAGTCAGGACAAAATCATTGAAGCTGGTGGACCAAACTTCGACAAAATATTGTATTTGCATTCCGTACAGATATGACTTTCATTCTGTAAAATTGTTGGGTAATTACAACTTTCACAACTTTAAAACGTGGAGAAGTGGTTTGCCATACACATGACTTGAGGTGTGAGGTGAAATTGAGTTTAACGTCGCGTCCAAGATTATTGCACTTATATAGCGACGTGCATGCACGTGTATGTGTGTGTGTTGCTGCTTGTACTAGTCCGGACTGATGCCGATTTATAGTGCTAGCTCACTGAGATACCATGCCGCAGTTTAACATGAATACCCCACTCAGACACAGTATACTGACTCCGAGCCGACCAGTCCTTGTTTTAGCCCCTTAATGCCGAGCGCCAGACAGGGTAACAACAAGTACAATCTTTTAACGTCTTTTTGTATGACGCGGCCCGGGATCGAACCCTGGACCTTCCGCTCTCCGGGCGGACGCTCTACCACAAGACCACGGAGGCGGTCCACACATGACTTGAAGTCATGTTTAATGCTTTAATCTATTTCGAAGCTTTGCAAAGGATATATATGACGTTTTTTCAAGCACTTTCAGTGTAACGCTCTCTTTGTTGAAAATACGTCCTTGTTCAACTCAGTTATGTAATATTATGATATAATTTCAATCTACAATGGACTTTGTTTTTTAACATTATATTCATGACTTTTGTTGCTTTTATTGTGAAGATGGAAAGGGATTTGTGGCATTTATCAACATAGAGTTTCTAAATAAAATATTCATTCATAGAATAAAGCTTGATTATATTTTGATTGCGTTTGTTTTGGGGCACAATTAGCTTTAGCAAGGCACATATTATCTCCAAAAGCTACAATATTTCCTTCAACCCTGTTGGGATTCCCCGTTATAACATTCCCCAAACACACTGTGCTGGTCTTGCGATGTGACTAAATGGACAAATTGAACTTGAGTGTCTGGCCCAGACTCAATTATTAAAAGGTCACCCGGCATTTCGCTGGAATATTGCTGAGCGTGGCGTTAAACAACACAACGCACACACAGACACGCACGCATGCACACACACCCTTTAACTCTTCCTGTACCATACTTGTACTTGAGTCACACTTCAACTTGGTTATTTGAACGTGTAATCTGTCAAGAGGTGATATTACAGAAACTATGACACTACACCCAAGAGCAGTTAGAAATACAGTAGAACACGGATATAACAAACACGGATAGAGCGAACAAACGGATACAACGAACTGTTACATAATATAATCCCCGATGTATCTCCTGTTTATGACTTCTGTTTTTTTGGCACATTGAAGCCCGAAAATGTCTCCACTTATGTCTTTTTTCTGAATTGTCAAAAGACGAACACATTCAGGTACGACGTCGTCTGTTAGCCAAACAGGCTCAGGCTGGTTTGAGTGTTGTGTTAACCTATGCTCTCATAGAGGGATATTAGTGGAGGGTTGATCGATCTTAATATAAGTTTGGTATGTTTAGTTTCTGACAGTAATTGTCGAATTTTCCTCGTTCAGTCTTTTTGTGATCTTTTTTACGTAAGTGTTTTATGTACACTGCATAATCTACTATGAAAAGGTTTGGGTCTCATTTGAATATGTCACGAAGTAGCAGTAACCCTGTCATGTCAGCGCTCACCTGGGTCAACTTTGTATACTTTAGGAACCTTCGCCACACAACCGTTAGATATGTATGTTTGATTATCCGGTACATTTGGATATAAACTCACGATCTGCTCGAAGCAATTTACAATAATGACCTTGTAAATGTCGAGTGTAAACGTTGTTTTACCTCAACCGATTTGTCGACAGCGTATTGCGGTACAATGTAAATAGGTCTTCACAATGCTTTCGTTATCTATGTTGCATTCATTCTCACAGAAAATATAAATAATTATTAGATTACTCCTCTGCATTCTTAGTAGGCAAACTAACCGATTTTATGTACGCTTCAGATGGATGGAATGTTACATTCCTCGACGCTTGTTAAGATAGTTGTTGTAATGGTATTGATATGCAACTCTACATCACCCCTCAGTGTGTCGACTATTGGGGTTGGTTGGTTGGTTTGTTGTTTAACGCCGCACTCAGCAATATTCCAGCTATATGACGGCGGTCTGTAAATAATCGAGTCTGGACCAGACAATCCAGTGATTGACATTATGAGCATCGATCCACGCAATTGGGATCGATGACATACATCAACCACGTCAGCGAGCCTGACCACCCGATCCCGGTAGTCGCCTTTTACGACAAGCATAGTCACATTTTACGGCAAGCATGTGTTGCTGAAGGCCTATTCTACCCCTGAATTGTCGACAGATGATAGTGCAATGAGAGTATTGCGGTAAAATCTAAATGGCCCTTCAAAAGATTTCCTTTAACTATGTTCATAATCACAGACAAATATGAGTTATATTTAGATTATTCCTCTGCCTTCTTAATTATCTGCGTGGGTACTCCCTGGCTCGCATTCTGCGTTCTTCATCCACTAGCATGTATTTGATCATCATATCTTGGAATGACGTTTTATGGCATGGAGCGGTATCCATCTGTTGCTATGCCTTCATGTCTTTCCTGTAACACTGGTTGGGCACCCCCTAAATTGTCACTGCCCCCCTGGTAATATGGATGTAGAATACTAGTACCGGAAAGCCTCTAGAATATGCTGAACCAGCATGCGAAGAATGAGAAGCAATCATTGAAAAACACTAAGATACCCTCCATCAATCTGGAGGCCACATTTAGACTAATGTGTCACCGATATCCAGTTTACTGACTTTAGATTTGCCATGCCAACTCAGGTCTGTCACCATTCTAACTCTACCTGTTGTAGTGAACGTGAGTTCATATTCTAATATATCACCAATGGCTGCCTGGTGGTAAGACATGTGAGTCTCTAGTATCTAAAAGCCGAGTAGAATGTAGAGACGGTTACCAAATGCATCCATTAAGGGCACGTCTTTTAACATGGGGAAAAATTCCATCTGCATCTTGTCTATGGCATTACAATTCTTGGTACACGAAATGTCTGATCTGATCCGGTAGGAACAAAAGTTCCATCACACAAAGCTAGATTGTTTTTAAATCATAGCTTTTTGTTTCGCATCAAAATAGATATAACGGCTTTGAAAGCTGGACTGGGAAGTGTTGTACATGCTGTTGACTAATTTAACCTTGACTGAAAACATTATCACAAGATATTTATATTATAAGTACTGGTTTCCAATAACCTTATTCATATAAGTCCACTTTTCACACCTCTTAACGATACCACCTTTTCTACACACCACTATCTTTCTTTTATCCATATTTACCTCTAGACCCAATTTATTACAGAATGCCTCTAAAATATTTAGGTTTTTTTCTAAGAAGTATACTGTGTATGAGAAAGGTATTACATCATCAGCAAATAACAGTGACGTTATATCTTTTATATAATCTGTAATAAATATATTCCATGATCACATTTTCACACATAACACCAGCTCATTCATTTATAAAGAAAGTAAACAGTACAGGCTCAGAATACATCCTTGGCGTACACCACATGATGAAACGAACAAGTTACAGTTTTTTTACACACGACTTTAAAGCAGAATACATATTTCTTAAAACATTAAACATTTTACCTTTGTTACCCTTAGCATGTAGCAATTGCAATAGTTTTTTTATGTGCACAAAATCAAAAGCTTTGCTCATGTCAATAAAAGGAAGAATCTAATCTTCCAGATTTGTAGATAAGCATGCCAATATTCCAGGCATCAGGGAATTTACCTTTGTCAAGTATTTTAATGAACAGTATATGTATCAATGTGTAAATGTATCAAACATTTTAAAAAGTTCAGTAGGGATGCCATCTTCCTATAGTGCCTTCCAAGCTTCCAATGACTCAATAGCTTTGATAATTTCACATTCGGGTATTACACCAGATAGAAGATCTTCGGTAAAAGGTAAATTTAGACAATCTAGATTTACATAAAAATCACTACAGTTTATCCTCACAGCAGTAAAAGTCAAAGTGTTATGTTCACTGCAGTGACATATCAAGTGTTATGTTCCTTGCAGTGAAATATCAAGTGTTATGTTCACTGCAGTGAAATATCAAGTGTTATGTTCACTGCAGTGAAATATCAAGTGTTATGTTCACTGCAGTGAAATATCAAGTGTTATGTTCAATGCAGTCAAATATCAAGTGTTATGTTCACTGCAGTGAAATATCAAGTGTTGTGTTCACTGTAGTGAAATATCAAGTGTAATGTTCACTGCAGTGAAATATCAAGTGTTATGTTCACTGCAGTGAAATATCAAGTGTTATGTTCACTGCAGTGAAATATCAAGTGTTATGTTCACTGCAGTGAAATATCAAGTGTTGTGTTAACTGCAGTGAAATATCAAGTGTTGTGTTAACTGCAGTGAAATATCAAGTGTTATGTTCACTGCAGTGAAATATCAAGTGTTGTGTTCACTGTAGTGAAATATCAAGTGTAATGTTCACTGCAGTGAAATATCAAGTGTTATGTTCACTGCAGTGAAATATCAAGTGTTATGTTCACTGCAGTGAAATATCAAGTGTTATGTTCACTGCAGTGAAATATCAAGTGTTGTGTTAACTGCAGTGAAATATCAAGTGTTGTGTTAACTGCAGTGAAATATCAAGTGTTGTGTTCAATGCAGTGAAATATCAAGTGTTGTGTTCACTACAGTGAAATATCAAGTGTTGTGTTCACTGCAGTGAAATATCAAGTGGTATGTTCACTGCAGTGAAATATCAAGTGTTGTGTTCACTACAGCCTTTCTCACTGAAGTATATAACTAATCGCTAAAATAATTGAGCCAAACATCAGCAGAAATGATATTTCTAGACATTGTTTAACTGAGGACTATTTTCACTGTCATATGATAATTGTTATTTCTTCATTAGTCTTTCTTTCTCAGATTTCTTTCATTTCATTAAAGCATCTCTAGAACTCAGATTCGTCATTAATACACTTCTTGAAATTTTCCACCCACTTAAAATGTTTGAAAGGGTTCATACATGATTACCTTTTGAGTCTGTCGCAGTCACTATCAATCCATGCTGGTTGTGATTTGCAGTTTTCTTTTCTAAAACCTGGATGAAATTAGTGAGTGAGTATGGCTTTACGCCGCATTTAAGAATTTATCACGGCAGGGGACACGACAAATGGGCTGCACACTTTGTACTCATGTGGCGAATCGAACCCGGGTTAAGCATACGTTAGTAACTCGGCTACCCTACCGTCCCTGATGAGTGAGTGAGTGAGTTTGGTTTAACGCCGCTTTTAACAGTATTCCATTTATATCACGGCGTGTCAGCTTAATGTGGGAGGAAAGCCCGAAGTGATGCAGGTGTCATTAGTTAACCATTTTGGTGAAACCCACGAGCACTCGTATGTTGCTGACAAACCTAGAAACATAATCGGGGTGAACCGGGATTCGAACCCACAGTCATCGGTTTCTGGCGTGCCCAAGGGACGCAAATCTGCACAGCGAATCGCTGCGCCTTAGACGACTGGGCCACCTGTGCCCCGTCTCTAATGAGACGAACATTAGAAGGAATATATTATATACAAATAGGTCGGTCAAATTGTAAGTTGCTCGATCTATATGATCTTTCATTAAATGGGTGAACTCGCTAAACATTTCATTCACAATTTGACAAGGAATTAATTCCTGCTTTTACATACATTCCTCCTAAGTACTCAGTCGATATCGTGTGAAGGAAATAGAGGTACATGCATTGTAGAGTTTTCTTCACATTTAAGGAGGGGGCACGGGTGGCCCAGTCGTCTAAGGCGCCGCGATTCGCTGCGCAGAGTTGCGTCCCTTGGGCACGCCAGAAACCTATGATTGTGGGTTCGAATCCCAATCGCCCCGATTATGTTTCTAGGTTTGTCAGCACCATATCCGTGCTCGTGGGTTTCACCGAAGTGGTAAACGTCTGAGACCTGCATCACTTCGGGCTTGCCTCCCACATTAAGCTGACACGCCGTGATATAACTGGAATACTGTTAAAAGCGGCGTTAAACCCAACTCACTCACTCACTCACTCACATTTGAGGTGTTATGGTGAGATAGGTAGCTGTGTGACTTGGATAAGAGCTGGGGCTCATTCTTCCACGTATCCTCCTTACTTGGTTTGTTGGTTTGTTGTTAAACGCCACACTCAGCAATATTTCAGCTATATGACGGCGGTGTGTAAATAATCGAGTCTGGACCAGACAATCCAGTGTGTGACATCATGAGCATCGATCCACGCAATCGGTATTCCATGACATGCATCCACCAAGTCAGCGAGCCTGACCGCTTGTACTACCCAGCACTTATTGAGTATGGACTTGTATTACCCAGCACTTGTTGAGTATAGACTTGTATTACCCACCACTTGTTGAGTATAGACTTGTATTACTCAGCACTTGTTGAGTATGGACTTGTATTACCCACCACTTGTTGAGTATAGACTTGTATTACCCAGCACTTGTTGAGTATGGACTTGTATTACTCAGCACTTGTTGAGTATGGACTTGTATTACCCAGCACTTGTTGAGTATGGACTTGTATTACTCAGCACTTGTTGAATATAGACTTGTATTACCCAGCACTTGTTGAGTATAGACTTGTATTACCCAGCACTTGTTGAGTATGGACTTGTATTACCCAGCACCTGTTGAGTATAGACTTTTATTACCCAGCACTTGTTGAGTATAGACTTGTATTTCCCGCTGGGTAAGTAAGAACACAGTACGCTGGTTGTGCGGGATCAGACAGGATCAGTTGTTGCACGAAGACAGTTCTCTGGGGTAAGATGAAGTTCATTGTCGTAAACTGTACTTGTGAACCAGAGCTACATGAGGTTATTACTGACGTAAACACCAAGCTTATAGATTATAACTCATGCTGTTTTAACATAATTCTTTTAACGCACAAATGGTACCTATTTAATTTCAATATTCAACCATACACTTATAAATCACTGCCTAACTGTGTCAGAAGGTTATTTTGTATGTCATTGAAGTAAAATCCACTTGTAGCTCTTAAATCTAAACAAAGTAATTACTATGTTACCTGTTTATGTTGACGTCACACCAACCTAACGCGGTTTGGACGACATATTTAAGCGCAACAATCATAATAACAATATATTGTGAGAGGATACAATTCAAAACGCTGACAGAAAGCTATGAAAGGAAGTATTACTCCTTTGAAATTTCAAGCTCTTGGCTACTTGTTGACAGATTATTCGCACACAACAATATTGTTCAGCCATTGAAAACTCGGTGACAACACATTTGTTGACTGCTTAATAAAACGCCTGTTTGGAGTCACGAGTGAATGGATGTGAAGGCGTTGTTGGCAATCGCTCAGTTATTGTGACGGGTCGTTATGTTGTTATGCCGCGGTAAAGTCAGTGTTGTAGAGTACCCCTACGTAGTGGCGTGGCTAGGCGGCCGGCGTGTTAACTTCCTGGTCCTTCTACAAGCATGTGCCACCTGGCCGACCACCTAGTTATAGGCTACTCAACGTCAACCCAAAGTCTGTTCCAACAAGCAAAATAAGAAGACACGGATGGAAGCGACCGCGCACTCTCTTCTCCAGGCAAAGAACACGCACACGAGCACGCACACACGCACGCACAGATCCGCACTCGCGAACGAACAGAGGCGCACACACATACACAAGCATACACACGCACAAATGCAGACACACGCACGCACGCACGCACACATACACTCACAATGCCTTTACATTAAACGGTGTAATATATTCATTTGAAAATCTGTGTTTTATTCTTAAATTGTTTAATCTATGCTTAAATATCTCCAGGATCGTGCACGGAAACAATGAGTCTACAGACGTTAGGTGAGTCCACGAACTATCAATCATTTATCAATGGATTACCAAAGAGCACTTGAAAATGTATCAATGCACAATCAATGAACAGTGTATGAACACACATTATGATTTCAAATCCCGTTATATTAGAAGGCATTACGCAGTTTACACTGAGAATTGGAATCGTCACATGTTTCACATTTACATAATTTAAAATGTTGTAACGCCAGGGAACTTTACGTATATGTACGTGTTGAATGATCTACATGTATGCTTGACATCAGTCAGAGGAATAATATTTAGGTTCAAAAGGAAATTCGTTTGTTTTTATAACGCAGCACTCTATTAATATGACGACAGCCAGTAAATACACGCTTTTGGACAAGACAGGCGTGTGGTTGATATTAAGAGCAACGCCCCACGCCATCAAGGTGAGGTGCTGCGCTACCAACAAAATGACCCAGTCTGACCACCCGATCTATTTTAGTCGACTCTAAGGACAAGCACTGTGTCTGGGACCTGATCTAACCCGGAACCTCCACGAGGGAGATGAGGGCTATGTGGGGCTTAGCCACTTCATACATGTGTTAACTAGCCGCGAATAGCTGGAATATTGCTGATGCGGCTTAAAGCACCACTTATTCACTCACTCACTCACTCATGTGTTAACGGCAATATTCTGTTCAAAGGATGCGAGCGATCTGAGCGGTTTGACACTGGACCGCCTGTCCACACCATACGTCTATACCTTCAGACAGGTCAGTAATTATTAGCAATGCATTATCGTTATGTGTCATTAACCACTTGTATAATACTGATATTCCAATATGTGCTGATGAATATGTCCGGATAATTCTGTGTCGTGCATACTGGCACCGTGATAATTCCGGAAGAGTGTAGAATTGTGTACTCGAAGGTTAAAATATGCGGACAATTTAAAGTATACAAATACACGATAAAGAAATACAAATTATTTAAAATGAAGATCATTACTATTACCTATTACCTATTACTATTGAAATCGTTATTACTTAAATACCAATGTATATTCTAGTTAACAAGGGTGACAAATGACGATTTAGCAACTTATTGTAACAATTCAGGAACGTTCTCTGCAAACTTGGAGGGAGCACGAGAACCTATTCTTTCGCCATGGAAAGTTATGGTTGTAAATCACCACGTTGGTAAATCAGTATATCACAACCCCTATTAGTCCTCTATCAACAGGGTCACGGGTGGCCACCGTAATTCATTGTGCAGGAACCTGGGTTCAAATCCCGGTTCACCCTGATTATGATTCTAGGTTTGTGGGTTTCACGTGGGTTGTAAACGTCTGACTTCAATTCAAGTTATCCTTCATACCACGCTGACACACTATGATAAAAGATCCAAACTCACTAACTCTATTGTCAGGACGAGGGACAGGTGCTCCCCGCAAGGTGTGGTCAGACAGGGCGCCCCCCGGGATGGTGGTTGCTGATGGTGGCAGTGGACACACGTGGACAGGTGAGGTTCCTCGGATTGTATGGAGACCAGGTGCCGTTGTACAAAACAACCTTAGCGGTACGACTGTCGTAAGTCTGTTAATAAGTAATGGAGTTACGATCACCTCAGCGTTAAGACCGCTTTGTATAACGGCACCCAGATATCTTTTTCGGCTACAACTGCCAAACCAGCTATTTCATTTATTAAAACAATGAGCCAAAATCTTCTCTTTTTTAAAACAACAACAACAACAAAACACATTGCAACAATGCAGTTTTTGTGACAGATAGTTTCTCTTTTTCTAACAATATGAAGCAAAAAAAATTTCTTTCAAAATCTCGGAGTTTATTTTTATTAAAATCCCAGCGCCCCTCCTCCCTTCCCACAAGAATAAAATATATATTTGTGTTATTTTGCCCCACAGGAAGGAGAATCATCCCGGTTCCAGGATGTTCGATGTCCACAAATTTGACTAGTACATATTTTGAAGTTGCATTTATGTTGCAGTTGGTTTGAAAATGTCTCTCAACAGTAACTGAAATTACAATAACTCTCTCTACTCTGAACCCTGAATGCCGCTGTTTCGACGACACCGGAGAAATTGCTCTTTTGTGTGACGATGATTTTGTGACCCAGACACAGACTTAGCCTGTGTGTCACTAATTTGTGTGCGTTCTGAAACAGATTTCATCAACTTTGAAGAGCTTTTGTTCCCATATTGAAGGCATACAATTCTATCGGGTTATCGGCAGTCACTGCTATATGCATAGATCGCTAGGCTGAAAACAGATCGATGTTAATTTAAAGAAGGTGTCAGTCGGAAAAGGATACCTCTTATTAACCAATCAGAATCATGCATTCTTCAATGTCATAGTGGGGCGGTCGGGTAGCCTCGTAGTTAAAACGTTCGCTCGTCACGCCGTGACCCGGGTTCCAAATCCGACATGGGTACAATGTGTCAAGCCCATTTTTGGTGTCCCCCGCCGTGATATTGCTGGAATATTGCTAAAAGCGGCGTAAAACCATACTCACTCACTCACTCAATGTCATAGTAGAATGATCCATCAGCTTCAGCAGAAGTCAGCAATACCTGGACTACTGTGGGTCTCTATTTTCAGTTTGTGAACGATCTGAACGGTTTGAAGTTCAACCGGAGCATGGCGCGATATATCATCGAAATACAAGTGAGACTTCGTAGATAAAGGGACACGTGTATCACGTGCACTGTAACTGGCACCTATCTTACACACTGCTGCACATACTCTGTAAATGATCATATGGTAGAACATGACTTCATTGAGCAGGAGGCGGTCGGGTAGCCTAGTGGTTAAAGCGTTGGCTCGTCACGCCGAAGACCCGGGTTCGATTCCCCACATGGGTACAATGTGTAAAGCCCTGGTGCCCCCCGCCTTGATATTGCTGGGATATTGCTAAAAGCGGCATAAAACCATAAAACTCATTCATTGAGGGAATCAGGGTATATCAGTGGTCTGTGTGGGAGGGATTCAGGGTATATCAGTGGTCTGTGTGGGAGGGATTCAGGGTGTCTCAGTGGTCTGTGTGGGAGGGATCCAGGGGTGTCTCAGTGGTCTGTGTGAGAGGGATTCAGGGATGTCTCAGTGGTCTGTGTCAGAGGGATTCGGTGGTGTCTCGGTGGTCTGTGTTAGAGGGATTCAGTGGTGTCTCAGTGGTCTGTGTGAGAGGGATCCAAGGGTGTCTCAGTGGTCTGTGTGAGAGAATTTCAGTGATGTCTCAGTGGTTTGTGTGGGAGGGATTCAGGGGTGTCACAGTGGTCTGAGTGCGATGGATTCAGGGTGTCTCAGTGGTCTGTGTGAGAGGGATTCAGGGTGTCTCAGTGGTGTCAGAGTGATTCAGGGGTGTCTCAGTGGTCTGTGTGAGAGGGATTCAGGGGTGTCTCAGTGGTCTGTGTGAGAGTGATTCAGGGGTGTCTCAGTGGTCTGTGTGAGAGTGATTCAGGGGTGTCTCAGTGGTCTGTGTGAGAGTGATTCAGGGGTGTCTCAGTGGTCTGTGTGAGAGTGATTCAGGGGTGTCTCAGTGGTCTGTGTGAGAGGGATTCAGGGGTGTCTCAGTGGTCTGTGTAAGAATGATCCAGGGGAATCTGGGCGGTGTGTCACAGGGATCCAGGTGTGCAAGTTGGGTCCCGGGATGGCTGAATGATTTCTGTCACTGACATTCAGCGGTATCTCACTTATTTAAAAGGGCAAAACTAGCTGATGTGTATATATTATGTCTGAAATCTGATAGTCCTATGTTCGAATCCCATATTCGCCCTGGTTCAATGCCAATGGTCAATAAATGCTACACGTCTACAACATGGCACGCCCTCCCTCATGCATGAAGATTAACTTCAGGTGCGTCCACAGTGCTGGGCGTTACATGCATGGCATCGTGATGGCATACTGTTGATTAACTTGCGACGGTATTGAAAATGTACACCACAACGACAGCTACATTCAGGTCTATATCATTGTTTTGTCGGACTTATATATGTATCAAAATTCATTTGTGTCCAGATTTCCTGTATTGGTTCATTTGAAAACGGAGTATAACTGCATGTACACATTGACTGACACCATTCTGAGAACAACGATCCATGATATCCAGTGTACGTGACAGCAGGAGGAGGTCATGCGTGACCTATGGTTGTGCTTGTTTTCAGGGTGTGAGCGATCTGAACGGTTTTATGTTCTGCCTAAGCGCAGTAGCATACAGCACCAAACGAGGGGTGAGTCGTAGCAGATCAAGAGACAGATCCATTATTCGAAATACTAGTTAAATATATAACATAGTGATAGTTGTACAATTTCTAGTACTTTTTGGGCGGGGTCCGATTCGGGACACTAATGGCCAGCACACAAAACCAGCGACCTACCCTACTCTGACACCCAGGCTTCAACAAAACGGAATCCGACAACGGGGACAGCCAAGGTAATGACTTCTACGAAACTGGGATATAATCCCTCCAACAGCTTTAGCCAAATTACTTCAATCTGGGGGGTTTTGAGTTGAAAAATAGATCATTCCAATGTCTTTAGGTCAAGTCTTTTTATGTGAAACTAAGAACTTACCATTCAACCCTCCTTTCTTAGTGGTTAAAGCGTTCGCTTGTCACGCCGTGACTCGGGTTCGATTCCCCACATGGGTACAAAGTATGAAGCCCATTTCTGCTGTCCCCCGCCGTGATATTGCTGGAATATTACTAAAAGCGGCATAAAACCAAACTCACTCACTCACTCATAAACTCTGAGGATTAGTACGTTTATATTCATTGCGAGGATAAGTGTGTTTAATCTTTCTTTAGCAGGCAAATGGGTCCATATATCCTTCAGAGACGTCTTATGTTCACTGTTGTCTGTACCGGTAGGAACTGCACTTACTGCAGATGGAAGGTGAGATATATTGCGTTTGTAACGGTGTGGATGTACCGATATAGAGACAGTGGGAGGCTGGTTTAGACCCGCAATAAGCAGTATTTAAGCATGTGTCAGATGACGTGGACGAAAAGATTGAAATGCTCGCAGTTTGTTTACCAATGTATCACTGCTGCAACGTATATTCAAGTAATGGTGATGTTAGACAATGCACCATTATCAGGGAGACTCCGGTATTCAAGTCCACGACCTGCACTTCCACGTAATGAGTAATGTATGAAGCGTGTAGCCAACGAGCAAGCATATACCACCCCGGAATAATCTTATTGGTGAAAAGAATTTTCATTTGTTTCTTGAGTTTGTTTGGTACATTTCCAGGTCCAGTAAGCCCGGGACTCCCTGTTTAAAGGATGTGAAGTAAATACAGACACCAGTCCCAGTGTTGGCCTGTGACCATGCACAAAAAGATTTCCGCCATATCTGTAGATGGATTATCAACAACCGTCGTCGTTGTGCGTGGTTTTGCGTCAGGCGTGGCGTCACAGAGGATGGAAACTTTTACGATTCCTGTTGAATTTACCGGTTACCTGATCATTGATCATTTTAATTCCATAATTCGTGCTACGATATTCTTCCCATGAATATTCTCAAACACGTGAGCCAATGTATGGTACAATTGGACGAATGGATATCTCGACATAGAAGAAAATGCTACACAGTGTAAATCTAAACTTTTCTTTGTTTACGTTTTAACAAATAGTTTTCCGAGCACAGTGTTCATTTCCACACCTTTTATTTTTGCTTGATTTCATCTAGATAATTTGTATTGGTGACAAACACAATTTGTCATTTGATTCTAAGATACTAGTATGTGATGGATGCATGTATCGCAGTTGAGTTTGACATATACGTGATCCAATAGTCGTCTCATACGTAAAACGTGATTTTGTTAACACTATCAAATATGTGGGACAGTACACTTCGGCGTTTGTGTTTGTGTATTTTCTAAAACATTCTAAACGATTCTAGGCTTATCGGCAACGTTTCAGAATTGTCATTGGTGATTTAATGAAAGATACCCGCAATACTCACTAATATGCTATTTTTGAAATTCCAGTAATAAAAACTGTGAAGTGTATTAGTGTGTGTGTGTGTGTGTGTGTGTGTGTGTGTGTGTGTGTGTGTTCGATGTTAAACGCTGCAATATCCAAGGTAAATGACGGCGGTCTGTAAATAATCTAGTCTGGACCAGACAAGCCAGTGATAACCTTATGACAACCGATCAGCGTAATTTGGGTACGATGGCATGCATCAACCAAGTCAGCGAGCCTGGCCACCCGATCCATTTAGTCACCCGACCCTAAAAAATTACGACCAGCATAGGTGGGTAGATATTCTTACCCGGGACCCCCGCGGGTACATATCAATAGTCAAACTGGGAAATAGCCATGATGGGAGTGAATGGCTCTACGCAGGGGTACTAAGTGTCATGGATCGTAAGGACAGGCTCGGTGAATTCGTTGATAGCGCGTTGTCATGACGACATTATCATTGTTCAGAATATCAATCACTGATAATGAAAAGTTTATTAGTAAAGTCATTACACGCATTTATCACAATCCCACCATGCGTTTGTTGTTAATTGTTGAGAATTCTGGATTATACCCACATCCTGTATTATTCCAAACATCTCATGACAGTGGACTCTTTCACACCCAGACTGCCCACTTCTGTGATGCCAGCCAAGCATAGCAAACCCACACCGCCTCATGACCACCTGCGTCTATCGTCTACATATTTGACGAATTGGGTGGACACACGTTATATAGAGGTATTCCCCAAAAGTCGGACCCGTGAAAATTCAGGGGTAGAATAGGCCTTCAGCAACACATGCTTGCCGTAAAATGTGACTATGCTTGTCGTAAAAGGCGACTACCGGGATCGGGTGGTCAGGCTCGCTGACGTGGTTGATGTATGTCATCGATCCCAATTGCGTGGATCGATGCTCATAATGTCAATCACTGGATTGTCTGGTCCAGACTCGATTATTTACAGACCGCCGTCATGTAGCTGGAATATTGCTGAGTGCGGCGTTAAACAACAAACCAACCAACCAACCCCAATAGTCGACACACTGAGGGGTGATGTAGAGTTGCATATCAATACCATTACAACAACTATCTTAACAAGCGTCGAGGAATGTAACATTCCATCCATCTGAAGCGTACATAAAATCGGTTAGTTTGCCTACTAAGAATGCAGAGGAGTAATCTAATAATTATTTATATTTTCTGTGAGAATGAATGCAACATAGATAACGAAAGCATTGTGAAGACCTATTTACATTGTACCGCAATACGCTGTCGACAAATCGGTTGAGGTAAAACAACGTTTACACTCGACATTTACAAGGTCATTATTGTAAATTGTTTCGAGCAGATCGTGAGTTTATATCCAAATGTACCGGATAATCAAACATACATATCTAACGGTTGTGTGGCGAAGGTTCATAAAGTATACAAAGTTGACCCAGGTGAGCGCTGACATGACAGGGTTAATGCTACTTCGTGACATATTCAAATGAGACCCAAACCTTTTCATTGTAGATTACTGCAGTGTACATAAAGCACTTACGAAAAACAAGATATACTTTCGACTACAAAAAGACTGAACGAGGTAAAATTTGACAATTGCTGTCAGAAACTAAACATACCAAACTTATATTAAGATCGACCAACCCTCCACTAATATCCCTCTATGAGAGCATAGGTTAACACAACACTCAAACCAGACTGAACCTGTTTGGCTAACAGACGACGTCGTCCCTGAATGTTTTCGTCTTTTGACAATTAAGATAAAAGACATAAGTGGAGACATTTTCGGGCTTCAATGTGCCAAAAAACCAGAAGGCATATACAGGAGATACATCGGGGATTATGTAACAGTTCGTTGTATCCGTTTGTTCGCTCTATCCGTGTTTGTTATATCCGTGTTCTACTGTAGTTGAACTGCTCTTGGGTGTAGTGTCATAGTTTCTGTAATATCACCTCTTGACAGATTACACGTTCAAATAACCAAGTTGAAGTGTGACTCAAGTACAAGTATGGTACAGGAAGAGTTAAAGGGTGTGTGTGCATGCGTGCGTGTCTGTGTGTGCGTTGTGTTCTTTAACGCCACATTCAGCAATATTCCAGCGAAATGCCGGGTGACCTTTTAATAATTGAGTCTGGGCCAGACACTCCTGTTCAACTTGTCCATTTAGTCACATCGCACGACCAGCACAATGTGTTTGGGGAATGTTATAACGCAGAATCCCAACAGGGCTGAAGGAAATATTGTAGCTTTTGGAGATAATATGTGCCTTGCTAAAGCTAACTGTGCCCCAAAACAAACGCAATCAAAATATAATCAAGCTTTATTCTATGAATGAATATTTTATTTAGAAACTCAGTTATATTGATAAATGCCACAAATCCCTTTCCATCACCACAATAAAAGCAACAAAGATCATTAATATAATGCTAAAAAACGAAGTCCACTCCAGACTGCAATTATATCATAATATTACATAATTGAGTCAAACAAGGATGATGATGTAACAAAGATAACGTTACACTGAAAGTGCTTCAAAAAACCTATTAGATGTCCTTTCAAATTTGTTAGCTTTCTAAAGATATTACAGCAATATACATGCCTTCAAGTCATATGTATGTCAAGTCCACTGCAGACTGCGATTATATCATGAGCCCTTGTACATGAATAACAATCACATAGTGAGGATACATGTGTTCACGGCGAGGCCAGCGTTACCTGACCAACCTGCATCATCTGTGAACTGATATCTGTATTTTGAAAGGCCGTTTTTTGTGAAAAGGATTCCATAGATATTTGTGCACTGAAGCCATCCAAGCTGTGTGGAGTTGGTATCGATAGTAGGAAATGGTATATTTTTGTCCTTTTTTTTAAATTCGAGTGTTTAGTGTTTAATCGGACCTAAAAGTGTCACCTGGTTTGTTCTATGGGTGAAGTATTAGTATGGTGCATTCCTATGTAATTGTAAGTATAAGTAATATTTATTGACTATGATGAGCTGCATTTTGCATCAAAGGGTCATGAAGGCGTCTATGAATATCGATAACAGAGTGGAACAAGGATGCATAGTCAACAAAGTTAGCTTTACATTAAACGTGCTTTAAAAACAACTTCGCAGATGTCCTTTCAAATGTGTTAGCTTTCTAAATATATAATAGCGTTACGCTGAAAGTGCTTGAAAAAAACGTCATATATATCCTTTGCATAGCTTTCGAAATAGATTAAAGCATTAAACATGTCTTCAAGTCATATGTATGGCAAACCACTTCTCCACGTTTTGAAGTTGTGAAAGTTGTAATTATCCAACAATATTACAGAATGAAAGTCATATCTGTACCGAATGCAAATACAATATTTTGTCGAATTTTGGTCCACCTGCCACAATGGTTTTGTTGCTGACTGAATAACGCTTGTGTGTAATACGTTTGATGAGGTGAATGATGCAGGAATATTCTGTATGTATCTACACAGAGACACCATGTAACTGAAATGTAAACACAATCAAACTGAAACACACCACATGCTAGTTTACTCGGGGCAGAGAAAACAGTAAATCATCGAAACTTAGCTACAAGAATGGTAGTGTTTTGAGCTCCCTCAGTTGTGAATTACTTTCAGAAGAAGAACTGTTTCTTATCAGCTGTCTTCTCCGTGACTCGTGAATGTTTTTCTCGTCATTCCTTGTTGTTCTGATGGCCTCCACATCATCTTGGGTCTCATGATCATGACAGCATCGCTGGCCCTCGAAGGACCAGGATGTTTTCATCGGTGCGCCACACTTGAAGGGGGCCCTGGCCATGAAGTGGACGAGGGTTGAGAGACGGTGGGCCAGCATCGCCAGGAACTGGATCCCCAGCAGGGTGCCGAAGATAAGCAGCAAACTCAGAACTGGAAATCACATCAATATACAGCTGAAACAACATCAGAGGTGACACACGTTTACAAACAGTGAGTGAGTGATTGAGTATGGTGTTATGCCGCTTTTAGCAATATTCCAGCAATATCACAGCAGGGGACGCCTGAAATGGGCTTCACATATTGTACCCAGGTGGGGAATCGAACGGTTTTCGGCGTAACGAGCGAACGCTTAAACCACTAGGCTACCCCACCGTCCCCGTTTACAAACAACCCCATTTGTGTAACAGAGAGCATGTGGGGTCAATGTGACTTTAAAGTACAGAAACAATAAATGACATTGAATTGAAATATAAAAACAACAATATGATGAACTTCACAATATGATGACTTTTGTATAAATTCCAGAAATGTCTTGGATTCGAAATGAGGACCACAATATACAAATACTCATTCACATCATTATCTAGGTATGACATAACATTCAACAGGTGAGTGATGTATGACACAGGCAGCTGCAGCCAAACTCGCCAATTCAAGCCATATCATGGTGGCCAGTAAGTATTCGAACCATACAAGCCAGAGGTTGATAGCATGAGCAGCGATTAACGCCATCAAGGTACCATGCTACAATCTACCAAGTCACTGAGCCTGACAACTGGATCCATCAAGTCTTCTCTTACAACCTGAATATGTACATGGGTTGCTGAAGACGTCTTTAATGTCGGATCTTCACGGGGACTACGTACTGCCCACGCTTCATCAACGGAGGCACGGCTTCAGTTGTTTTGTTTGTTTGTTGTTAAACGCCGCACTCAGCAATATTCCAGCTATAATATGGTGGTCTGTAAATAATCGAGTCAGGCCAGACAATCCAGTGATTGACATCATGAGCACCGATCTGGGACACGCAACTGGAATCGATGACATGCATCAACCAAGTCAGAGTGCCTGACCACCCGATCCCGTAAGTCGCCTGTTACGAAATCTATCTGAAGAATAAAATACTTCTGTCGACTGAAAGATTTAACAAAGTCATGGTTTTCTCTCCTGATTTTTTATTATACAGTTCGCCCCTGCATGGATGTTTTTTTCAAATCCTATTAATTGTCAGTAAATTATTTGAATAAGGTATTCCTTTTTCTGACATGAATTTCAAACCGAATAGGATACTGAGTTCGAAACAACTGAAGTCACGTGATCAACCTCGTCACCTGAGAAGTTAAATCTTTATTTATCAACAAAATGATGTCGTAAACAATGCAGTTTAGTAATGAGCATACGTTTTGAAAGAATGAGCCTCAGTTCTTTAAAAGACACACATACGTTACATATCTAGGGAAGGTTTTTGGATATATCGCTAATATAAGAATGCAGTTATCAGCACGACATCGAACGGTTTTACGGCGCGTCGTTTATCCAGACGAAACATCTGCAGTAGCTGGATAATCGATATTGTAAACAGGCGCCCCTGCGCTCGCGAGCTGAACTTTAGACTTTTGCTGGAAAGTTTTCAAAGCGAGCAGCGATTTATCCATGTGTCAGCATTTTCTGTGCGATGTGATTTAGTGACACTATTCGAGAACAGTTTCCTGCTAACCGAACAAAATGTCACTGCTTGTGGACTGTGTGAAATTCATCGAAACGTACCGAGGCCGCGACAAGATCATCCGGCTATGTTCTTACGCAGCAATGTTAGTCGGTGGGGACAACACGTCTCCCATCTCCGAGAAGGCACGTGTGATCGGTCGCGAGTTGAGCGCATGCAGGGTGATACTTCGCCTGTTCGATGACCTGCCAATGCTAGCGTATAACCTTCAGTACGGACTTGGCAGCAAGGTAAACAAAAGACATAATTTGTTTGAAACAATGTCTCTTTAATATTGTTTCTTGTTGCATGGTCACTGTAAACATCAGGCATTGACAAAGCATCAGGGAAAAGACGGGCGGCAGGCCTTATTTAATGCCTTCTCAGCGGATCGGGTGAGGTGAGGTGAAATGGGTTTAATGTCGCGTCCAAGATTATTGCACTTGTATAGCGACGTGCATGGACGTGTGTGTGTGTGTGTGGCTGCTTGTACTAGTCCGGACTGATGCCGATTTATAGTGATACCATCCCGCAGTTTAACATGAATATCCCACTCATACACAGAATACTGACTCCGAGCCAACCAGTCCTTGTTTTACCCCCATAATGCCGAGAGCCAGACAGGGTAACAACAAGTACCATCTTTTAACGTCTTTTGGTATGACGCGACTGGGGATCACACTCCGGACCTTCTGGGCGGAAGCGCTATCACTGGACCACGGAAGCGGTCTCAGCGGATTGGGGCTAGTATCTGATTGACTGGCTATAGTATATATGGTGATATAACCTACACTGATCAACTGGCTAGTATATATGGTGATATAACCTACACTGATCAACTGGCTAGTATATATGGTGATATAACATACACTGATCAACTGGCTAGTATATATGGTGATATAACATACACTTATCAACTGGCTAGTATATATGGTGATATAACCTACACTGATCAACTGGCTAGCTAGATAATAGACTAACATTGAGTCCCAGAAATAAATTTATCTTATTTAAAATATATCTACCATCTACAAAACTGCACCCAGTACAATGCTTAGAGGGCAGCAATTAATGCCCCATTCTGAGTCAGCTCGCAGCGCTGCGGTAAAAGGACAGTACATCAATGAATCTGTCTGTTTATATCCAGGCATTAATTACAAGTGCGCTGGTCACGTGATAAGCCCCCACCCGCAGTATGCTCACTGGAGCAAAAAAAATTCCTCGCAAATAAAATGAGCAGATCCGAGTAAGCTTGGGGGTTATCGGCTATTGAACAATCGATGTCCTGTCCGTTTTAAGAAATCAGCAGATGCCAAGAATGCTGAACACAAGTCAACGCAAATTTTGAATCTGTGAATAGGAAGGCCATCCATATTTTAATGTTTTCACAGTTGGAATGTTGTTGCCTTTTAATTTCCTTGAGCTGAGACAATCTACTCTAGACTTGAGTTTTATTCCTTTTTTGAGAGTCTGTATTCAGTGATTAAAGACAGATGATGTTAGATTCGTGCTTGGTAGTAACACGTGCAGTAACACTAACATGTTGGGAGACCTGCTAGATCTGATTCAGATATAGTACACAAATGAAAGCATGTCACAAGTAGGGTAGCAGAATTATTCTCAGTGGCCGTGCATGGTATGAAATACTACAAGATGCAACATTGTGTACTCATCTGATTAAAATTACTATCTGACATCTATTAGTAATTAATATGCTGCAACAAAATATACAAATATAAATCCTTTTCCTTAGGTCATTTTGTAATGACCTACACCAAGGCCGGAGCCAGTATTTTTAAAAGGGAGGGGTCCAAAATGTCATAATCCTCTCTCGGTCAATTTTGGAACAAAAGTTTGTTGGCTACACTGTCTATATATACATACAATTTTAACAATTAAGTGCTGAAATTTTCTATTAAACGGTCCGGTGGGAAGGAATAAATTTTGTCAGAAATGTGACAAACCAACGGGATATCACGCAGGCAGCTATTTGGGACACTGTCTGGCCATAGTGTCACAAGATGCAGCACCCCATTGTGTTAACATAACAGCTCACAGCTGATTGCCTATTGAAGTAGAACGTTGAAGAAAAACATCATAACTTCATGCACATGTATAGCCGATTGTTTCTTTCCAGGAGAAGAACCCGTGCCTACGTGTGTGTGAACTAGGCTCGAACTTGGTCAACCAGCTGTACTACCCCATAGAGCACATTGCCTGGTGTGCCGACAAGCAGCTCCTCACCATCAAGTCGGGCAGCTTCTGGCTGGCGGGACTCATCCTGTGGGCCATCTCCCTCACGCTGCAAGCCGTCAAGTAGGTCTTCCAGCACAGGTCAGCTGGTAGCAGCTTTAAGAAAAGACACCTTTAAAAACTGAAATCAGTTCATCTCCATTCTGCTTTCATCTTCCCACGGCAAGGGGTGTAACTGACTGTACAGCCGAACTAGGCTGGAGTTATGTTTTAACTGGACTTAGGAGTCTATGCATAGTCCACTCAAAATCGTCTAACCAATTTGACATCCAGTTCATTAACTTCAGTTCAGATTAAGGTCGAATGCAGGATTTGCAAAGCATGTGTACCACCAAATCGGCGCCAACAGATATTTCCCAAATCTTTTCATGTTTTTAATTAAGGTGCTCACCTTAATAAGAGGCGACTAACGGGATCGGGTGGTCAGGCTTGCATGGTTGATGCATGTCATCGATCCCAATTGCATGGATCAATGCTTATGATGTCAATCACTGGATTGTCTGGTCCAGACTCAATTATTTACAGACCGCAGTCATGTAGCTGGAATATTGCTGAGTGCAGCGTTAAACAACAAACAAACAAACCTTAATTGATACACTTAACGAAGTGAGACCTTCTTTATCACAATATAGATTTTGATTATGAATCAGATCGCTTGACTGGTTGTTGCCTTTTTGTTTGAAGCAAATGCAAGTGATATGAGAGGTGGAATCAGATTAGTCAATAGGAGAAACATAGAAGGGACATATCTAGTAATAGTCATAGATGGTGCTTCGATCGAGCCCAGAAATTTCAGCTTAATTCGGCAGGGGTGGAAACTGGACTTCTGTAATCAGTTACAGACACCAAGAGAGAAATGCAAACTCTTTATGATAACAGAAGTGATGAGTTATTTAAAGTTGAAAAGACTATCATGTCCTTGACATGTGCTTGCTGATCATTGCCAAGTAACTAGAGCTGTTCTGTGTTTACAGGTGCTTGCTGTTCATTGCCAAGTAACTAGAGCTGTTCTGTGTTTACAGGTGCTTGCTGATTTGCCAAGTTACTAGAGCTGTTCTGTGTTTACAGGTGCTTGCTGTTCATTGCCAAGTAACTAGAGCTGTTCTGTGTTTACAGGTGCTTGCTGATTTGCCAAGTTACTAGAGCTGTTCTGTGTTTACAGGTGCTTGCTGATCATTGCCAAGTAACTAGAGCTGTTCTGTGTTTACAGGTGCTTGCTGATCATTGCCAAGTAACTAGCGCTGTTCTGTGTTTACAGGTGCTTGCTGATTTGCCAAGTTACTAGAGCTGTTCTGTGTTTACAGGTGCTTGCTGATCATTGCCAAGTAACTAGAGCTGTTCTGTGTTTACAGGTGCTTGCTGATCATTGCCAAGTAACTAGAGCTGTTGTGTGTTTACAGGTGCTTGCTGATCATTGCCAAGTAACTAGCGCTGTTCTGTGTTTACAGGTGCTTGCTGATCATTGCCAAGTAACTAGAACTGTTCTGTGTTTCATGGGTGCTTGCTGATCATTGCCAAGTAACTAGAGCTGTTGTGTGTTTACAGGTGCTTGCTGACCATTGCCAAGTAACTAGAACTGTTCTGTGTTTCATGGGTGCTTGCTGATCATTGCCAAGTAACTAGAGCTGTTGTGTGTTTACAGGTGCTTGCTGATCATTGCCAAGTAACTAGCGCTGTTCTGTGTTTACAGGTGCTTGCTGATCATTGCCAAGTAACTAGAACTGTTCTGTGTTTCATGGGTGCTTGCTGATCATTGCCAAGTAACTAGAGCTGTTGTGTGTTTACAGGTGCTTGCTGACCATTGCCAAGTAACTAGAACTGTTCTGTGTTTCATGGGTGCTTGCTGATCATTGCCAAGTAACTAGAGCTGTTGTGTGTTTACAGGTGCTTGCTGATCATTGCCAAGTAACTAGCGCTGTTCTGTGTTTACAGGTGCTTGCTGATCATTGCCAAGTAACTAGAACTGTTCTGTGTTTCATGGGTGCTTGCTGATCATTGCCAAGTAACTAGAGCTGTTGTGTGTTTACATGTGCTTGCTGATCATTGCCAAGTAACTAGAGCTGTTCTGTGTTTACAGGTGCTTGCTGACCATTGCCAAGTAACTAGAACTGTTCTGTGTTTACAGGTGCTTGCTGATCATTGCCAAGTAACTAGAGCTGTTCTGTGTTTACAAGTGCTTGCTGATCATTGCCAAGTAACTAGAGCTGTTCTGTGTTTACAGGTGCTTGCTGACCATTGCCAAGTAACTAGAGCTGTTCTGTGTTTACAAGTGCTTGCTGATCATTGCCAAGTAACTAGAGCTGTTCTGTGTTTACAAGTGCTTGCTGACCATTGCCAAGTAACTAGAGCTGTTCTGTGTTTACAAGTGCTTGCTGATCATTGCCAAGTAACTAGAGCTGTTCTTTGTTTTTAGGTGCTTGCTGATCATTGCCAAGTAACTAGAACTGTTCTGTGTTTACAAGTGCTTGCTGACCATTGCCAAGTAACTAGAGCTGTTCTGTGTTTACAGGTGCTTGCTGATCATTGCCAAGTTACTAGAGCTGTTCTGTGTTTACAGGTGCTTGCTGATCATTGCCAAGTAACTAGAGCTGTTCTGTGTTTACAGGTGCTTGCTGTTCATTGCCAAGTAACTAGAGCTGTTCTGTGTTTACAGGTGCTTGCTGATCATTGCCAAGTAACTAGAGCTGTTCTGTGTTTACAGGTGCTTGCTGATCATTGCCAAGTTACTAGAGCTGTTGTGTGTTTACATGTGCTTGCTGATCATTACCAAGTAACTAGAGCTGTTCTGTGTTTACAAGTGCTTGCTGATCATTGCCAAGTAACTAGAGCTGTTCTTTGTTTTTAGGTGCTTGCTGACCATTGCCAGGTTAAAGCGTTCAGCCAACAGACTGAAGAAACAGAGGTATCTTGATGGGCAAGACCAATAGTATGTAGACTGTTATTTTAGAATATTAATTCGAAACACATCCATGTTTTGAAATGTGACAAGTGTCAGGTCTGTTGCAATTTTTATGCATTTGGTTGTTAAAAGTTCTGCCACTTATACTCCATGTCAATATTGTGGACCAGAAAAGATGGAGGTGTGATCAGACAAGCGTTGATAGAAGTAAGGGGAGATAATGTTGTAAGAGTTACCTCCCTTCAAGAACTTCAGCTTTTGGGTTGGAATATGGCCAATTTGTTCAGTGTTTGTTTAATATTTTCATTGATATGAGGAGCCAGCTAGGTTTATCTCCTAGTTTGTGTAAATCATTCAATACAGTAATATGAAACTAAGTTTGAAAGCCCCTTCATTTTTCATTATTCCGTGCCACAAAACATGGCACATAGAAAGAACTAGTGATAAACTGGTGCCTTTTGATAGTTTGGGATTTTTGAAAAAAATATTTTTGGAGTTTCCATTGAAATGACTTTGACTTAGACTGAAAATGGCGGTAGTGCTCATTTCGGGGGCGGATCTTGAATACCGTACAATATTTCTTGCCTTTCACACAACCGGACATGTCATATTGGCGGGGGATATGAGTATTTCATGCTTGTTGGTGTTGTTATTTTAGTGACAAGTCCCCAAAAGGCACACCATTAGTGTTAACTTAAATTATATGAATATATATAATTCCAAAACGTTTACTGACATTTGCTGCAGAATATTGAATACTGGCCTCAAAGAGGCCTCAATAAATCCCTGAGAGATTTAAACTGACCGAAATATTTCTATACACAACAATGAACCTTTGTTCAACTCTCTTGGCTGTAGGAGTTCTTGAAGATCCGGGTTAGAAACCAAGCTTGCCCTAAAAGGCGACTCTGCTTGTCATAAAAGGCGACTAACATTATCGGGTGATCAGGCTCGCTGACTTGGTTAATGCATGTCATCGATCACAATTGGGTAGATCAATGCTCATGATGTCAATCACTGGATTGTCTGGTACAGACTCGATTATTTACCTACCACCGTCATATAGCTGGAATATTGCTAAGTGTGGTGTTAAACAACAAACAAACAAACAAACAGTAGGGGTTCACAATGGTTTTGTATTCTTCCAGTTATGAGAACTCCGAACAGCGGGAAGAGTTGTGGTTGCAGCTGCATGGTGTGCAGGCTGACATCTTCAGCCAGTACCTGCTCCTGCTTCAGTCGATGGCCGACCTCCTCAACGCCATCAACTGGCTGCCCAAGGGATGGCTGTGGGGGGGGCGCTTTGGTGCTGCCAAGTCGGGGCTGTTCGGCCTCGCCTCCTCTCTCATCATGCTGTTCCGACACTGGTATTCCCGGTCCTGATGACTGCTCGTCCTTATCTAGCAGAGATGCTACCATTACAATATTGAAGCACATTCCACGAATACGATTATGTGAAATATATTACGAATTATGTGAAAAAACATTTCCTGTAATTAAAACCTACAGTCGTTTTAATAATAATTATTTATAATGTTATTAACCAATTAATAGTATATTTTTCTGTTTTGGCATAGAAAGGTTTACATATTTCAAGGAGTTTTAATATGTGATGCAAAATATTATTTTTTTCTCAGCAGTATTGTTTAGTCAGAAATGCTACCAATGATAACCTATTACTGATTCTAGATACCCATTAATAATTCAAGATATTACTTATTGCTTTATATTGGTGTTGACATCTCGGCATTATGTTGTCCCAACACTGCTATGCCAGGTCGTGAGAACAGAGACCATATGACAGACGGTGTGTTACATGTATATCGTCTCTGGTGAGAAGTGCTCTGCTTACAGAATCAGGGGCAGGTAACTCCGGGCCTTCAGGAAAGATCCTGACATTCAGACTTTGTTACTCACAACGCATGTCTTCCATTAAAACATGTGGGAAAGTTTCCACTTTCATTTGCATGCTATCATGATTATATACACCTGGAAATTAATTAAGCATCCCCTGGTTTTTTTGCCATGTGTGTCTAACAACATGGTATCACTCACACCAAGTCTAAAATATGATGGAAAAATATACGCCATGTTGAAGATGAGACTCCCGACTAGCGAAAACACAGAGAATGTTGACAATGGTCATTGTTTTAATTATGGGCATGACACAGTGCCAGCAGTACTGTAAATGAGACAGAATGGGAACCATAGTAACTAGGGATTGGGAAAGTTGACTTTAGATTGCAAAGTGGTTTAGGGCGCTGTAAAGGGAGACTAGTCAGAATCAGTTGACTGTCTCCTACGTTTAATTCAAGCTACAACTTTCATTATTTATGAATTCATGTGCCTTTGTTATGAATAATGTTAGGGGAGAATAATGTTAAGGGAGAATAAGGTTAAGGGAGAATAATGTTAAGGGAGAATAATGTTAAGGGAGAATAATGTTAGGGGAGAATAATGTTAAGGGAGAACAAGGTTAAGGGAGAATAATGTTAAGGGAGAATAATGTTAAGGGAGAATAATGTTAAGGGAGAATAATGTTAAGGGAGAATAATGTTAAGGGAGAACAAGGTTAAGGGAGAATAATGTTAAGGGAGAATAATGTTAAGGGAGAATAATGTTAAGGGAGAACAAGGTTAAGGGAGATTAATGTTAAGGGAGAAAAAGGGTTAAGGGAGAACAAGGTTAAGGGAGAATAATGTTAAGGGAGAATAATGTTAAGGGAGAACAAGGTTAAGGGAGATTAATGTTAAGGGAGAACAAGGTTAAGGGAGATTAATGTTAAGGGAGAACAAGGTTAAGGGAGATTAATGTTAAGGGAGAACAAGGTTAAGGGAGATTAATGTTAAGGGAGAATAATGTTAAGGGAGAATAATGTTAAGGGAGAACAAGGTTAAGGGAGAATAATGTTAAGGAAGAATAATGTTAAGGGAGAATAATGTTAAGGGAGAATAATGTTAAGGGAGAACAAGGTTAAGGGAGATTAATGTTAAGGGAGATTAATGTTAAGGGAGAATAATGTTAAGGGAGAACAAGGTTAAGGGAGATTAATGTTAAGGGAGAATAATGTTAAGGGAGAACAAGGTTAAGGGAGATTAATGTTAAGGGAGAACAAGGTTAAGGGAGAATAATGTTAAGGGAGAATAATGTTAAGGGAGAACAAGGTTAAGGGAGAATAATGTTAAGGGAGAACAAGGTTAAGGGAGAATAATGTTAAGGGAGAATAATGTTAAGGGAGAACAATGTTAAGGAAGATCAATGTTAAGGGAGAATAATGTTAAGGGAGAATAATGTTAAGGGAGAATAATGTTAAGGGAGAACAAGGTTAAGGGAGAATAATGTTAAGGGAGAATAATGTTAAGGGAGATTAATGTTAAGGGAGAATAATGTTAAGGGAGAACAATGTTAAGGGAGAATAATGTTAGGGGAGAATAATGTTAAGGGAGATTAATGTTAAGGGAGAATAATGTTAAGGGAGATTAATGTTAAGGGAGAATAATGTTAAGGGAGAATAATGTTAGGGGAGAATAATGTTAAGGGAGAATAATGTTAAGGGAGAACAAGGTTAAGGGAGAATAATGTTAAGGAAGAATAATGTTAAGGGAGAATAATGTTAAGGGAGATTAATGTTAAGGGAGATTAATGTTAAGGGAGAACAAGGTTAAGGGAGAACAAGGTTAAGGGAGATTAATGTTAAGGAAGAATAATGTTAAGGGAGAACAAGGTTAAGGGAGATTAATGTTAAGGGAGAATAATGTTAAGGGAGAACAATGTTAAGGGAGATTAATGTTAAGGGAGAATAATGTTAAGGGAGATTAATGTTAAGGGAGAACAAGGTTAAGGGAGAACAAGGTTAAGGGAGATTAATGTTAAGGAAGAATAATGTTAAGGGAGAACAAGGTTAAGGGAGATTAATGTTAAGGGAGAACAAGGTTAAGGGAGATTAATGTTAAGGGAGAACAAGGTTAAGGGAGATTAATGTTAAGGGAGAATAATGTTAAGGGAGAATAATGTTAAGGGAGAACAAGGTTAAGGGAGAACAAGGTTAAGGAAGAACAATGTTAAGGGAGAACAATGTTAAGGGAGAATAATGTTAAGGGAGAATAATGTTAAGGGAGAATAATGTTAAGGAAGAATAATGTTAAGGGAGAATAATGTTAAGGAAGAATAATGTTAGGGGAGAATAATGTTAAGGGAGAATAATGTTAAGGGAGATTAATGTTAAGGGAGAATAATGTTAAGGGAGAATAATGTTAAGGGAGAACAAGGTTAAGGGAGATTAATGTTAAGGGAGAATAATGTTAAGGGAGAACAAGGTTAAGGGAGAATAATGTTAAGGGAGAACAATGTTAAGGGAGAATAATGTTAAGGGAGAACAAGGTTAAGGGAGATTAATGTTAAGGGAGAATAATGTTAAGGGAGACTAATGTTAAGGGAGAACAAGGTTAAGGGAGAACAAGGTTAAGGAAGAACAATGTTAAGGGAGAATAATGTTAAGGGAGAATAATGTTAAGGGAGAATAATGTTAAGGAAGAATAATGTTAAGGGAGAATAATGTTAAGGAAGAATAATGTTAGGGGAGAATAATGTTAAGGGAGATTAATGTTAAGGGAGAATAATGTTAAGGGAGAATAATGTTAAGGGAGAACAAGGTTAAGGGAGATTAATGTTAAGGGAGAATAATGTTAAGGGAGAACAAGGTTAAGGGAGAATAATGTTAAGGGAGAATAATGTTAAGGGAGAACAAGGTTAAGGGAGAATAATGTTAAGGAAGAATAATGTTAAGGGAGAATAATGTTAAGGGAGATTAATGTTAAGGAAGAATAATGTTAAGGGAGAACAAGGTTAAGGGAGATTAATGTTAAGGGAGAATAATGTTAAGGGAGAACAAGGTTAAGGGAGATTAATGTTAAGGGAGAATAATGTTAAGGGAGAACAAGGTTAAGGGAGAACAAGGTTAAGGGAGATTAATGTTAAGGGAGAATAATGTTAAGGGAGAACAAGGTTAAGGGAGGTTAATGTTAAGGGAGAACAAGGTTAAGGGAGAATAATGTTAAGGGAGAATAATGTTAAGGGAGAATAATGTTAAGGGAGAACAAGGTTAAGGGAGATTAATGTTAAGGGAGAATAATGTTAAGGGAGAACAAGGTTAAGGGAGAATAATGTTAAGGGAGAACAAGGTTAAGGGAGAATAATGTTAAGGGAGATTAATGTTAAGGGAGAATAATGTTAAGGGAGAACAATGTTAAGGGAGAATAATGTTAAGGGAGAATAATGTTAGGGGAGAATAATGTTAGGGGAGAATAATGTTAGGGGAGAATAATGTTAAGGGAGAATAATGTTAGGGGAGAATAATGTTAGGGGAGAATAATGTTAAGGGAGAATAATGTTAGGGGAGATTAATGTTAAGCGAGAATAATGTTAGGGGAGAATAATGTTAAGGGAGAATAATGTTAAGGGAGAATAATGTTAAGGGAGAATAATGTTAGGGGAGAACAAGGTTCGTACCAATCTGCAGTCCTAGATCCAAGTCATTTAATTCTTGTGTGTGTTTGCTTAAAGTTTATTAAGTGCATTGAAACCCTGTTAATCCAGACACTGATTAACAGATGTCTGGATTAATGAATTCTTTCGGAAAGAGTTATGCCACTTTGTATGTATATAACCAGTAAATGTCCTGAAAGGTGAGTTTCCAGATTACAGAGGTATCACTGTAACAGCAGTCTTACAGTTACCGTCATTACACATGGCAGTTTTATCGCAGTTTGGAAAAAAATAATGATTGTGGGTAAAACTCTGTACTCTGTCAATGCTCCATTATTTATTTAAGCAGATTGTTTCAAGAAAGACTTCCACAAAGACTCGGTGGAATTGAAAGTGACGGAGAAGGAAACAATGTCGAAAATAAGCAGTATTTGATTGAGAAGTTGTGTATGCATGCATCATCATCATCATCATCATCATCATCATTGCCCTCCTCCTCTGTGCAGAGTTGTGTCCCTTGGGCTTGCTTGAAACATGATCTTGGGTTCAAATCCTGGTTCGCCCTGATTATGTTTCCAGGTTTGTCAGCACCACGTTGCTTGTTGGTTCAACAAAGTTGTAATTAAACATCTGAGACCTGCATCACTTCGGGCTTTCCTACCACATTAAGCTGACACTCACTCATTCATTCGCAGGCTCGCTCGCTCACTCACTCACTCACTCACTCACTCACTCACTCACTCACTCACTCCCACACTCACTCACTCACTCACTCCCACACCCACCCACCCACCCACTCACCCACTCACTCCCTCACTCACTCACCATCCTCCTCATCATATCCCTGTGTTGACCCATGTTACTGTATCAATGCTCTTTTATTTAGTACATATTACACAATTAGTGTGACACAATCCTATATGGCAATGGGATCTCTTATTCAGCACATTTATACAGCTTACAAATATTACACCTAGTTATTCAAGATTTGCAGATGTATATTTATTAAGTCTTCTTCAGATGTTGGATTTCTATCAAGTTTTATGATGACTAGATGTGGCATTTTCAGTGCCTCTGCAATACACTGTACATTATAAATTCAATCCTTTAACTGGCAATCCATTTATTAATTTTATCCAAAGCTGGATTAAATTAGATTTCCGTTTCTTGTGGGGTCAGATGATATTCCAGTTGATATTCCTCAAAAACAAACATTGACCCAAAAGTGGAATCAAATTCTTCGACCGAGTCCGTCGAACACTGTCCCCATTAGACTTCTCAGCTGCCTCATGACTCACCCAGCATTGTTTTTATCTGGCTTTCATGTCCTGCAATCAGCATTACTGCAGGTGACACCCTCGTTCCTCCTTTACTCTCTGCACTGTTATTTTCTCACAGGCGATAGGGTAGCCTAGTGGTTCAAGTGTTCGCTCGTCACGCTGAAAACCTGGGTTCGATTCCCCACATTCGTACAATGTGTGAAGCCCATTTCTGGTTTCCCCTGTTGTGATGTTGCTGTAATATTGCTAAAAGCATACTCGATCAATATTTCGTCATATTTATATAAGGGGAGACAACCCCGTCACATCTCTGTGTGTTTTTATGATACGCAATTTTTAACTGTTGTTGCACGTGTGGTGTATAAACTGACTCAAGTCTGGTGTATGAAAGGTGTGAGAATACAGGAATAAAGATTGTGAAGAAGACACCTGTCCTTATATTGTCTGTCACAAACTGGATTATTACGAACATGGATCAAAACACATTTCGCGTATGTGAATAAAATTCAAATTTGGATAAGAGTCCCGCACCAAATTTGTCAACTGATTTCAGTGGTAACAACTGAACCTTAAAAAATGCGGGTAGAGGAAGGGAAGTAACTGTAATGAATGTTCCAGCAGCAAGCTTGGCACCAATAAGCCTTTTGAGGGTCAATTGCTGAAATTGTGGGGGCACTGATGGCCCGGTTGCCCGAGGTGCCATAATTCGCTTTTGGCCTGCCAGAAACCTATGATTGTGGGTTTGAATCCCGGATTATGTTTCTAGGTTTGTCAGCACCATACCCGTGCTCGTGGGTTTCACCAAAGTGGTAAACGTCTGAGACCTGCTTCACTTCGGGCTTTCCTCCTATATTAGCTGACATGTGATAAAACTGGAAAACTGTTCAAAGCGGCAATAAACTTACACACTCATTTACACACACCTAAGTTGTCATTGAGTAGTTTTTTCATTGAATTTCGCGCAACTGGAAAATTTCAGCAGTTATTTTGTATTCTAACCACTAATGCTGTGGTTTGGGAAAAAAATTATTAAAATGTAGATAACTTTGATGTTATGTTTGTTTCTTGTTTAATGCCGCAGCTATATGAAGCGGTCTGTAAGTAATCGAGGCTTGACCAGACAATCTAGTGATTGATATGAGCATATTGCTGAGTGCGGCGTTAAACAACAAACAAACAAAACATGGTGCTCCCAAGCTACCGATTTGAAACCATGCTTAGCAGAACCTGGCCGGCATAAGGGAAGCAACTCTGAATAGAAAGCTGCATCACCTATGACCACCAGGCCACTCCCCGTAGAAGATTCACTGATCAGTCTGGCCAGTTTGTGATATCTCCTTTGTCAGGTCTGGGATACCTTACATAGTCTGGCTTAATATTACCCACACTAGATGATTTAGCATCTCCTCAGTGGATGAGTGTGAGGTTCCGTGCGTCTGGTCCCCTGGATTGTGTTGTATTACAACCATTGGAGTAAGTGATTGGCGTGGGTTTAGATCCCACTTTGTCCTGATTATTTCCTTATCACAAGTAACACTAATAACTAACAACTCACCAATGATATAGTATCTTGTCTGTTTAATATAGAGTAAACCCACCCACTCTGTTTGTTTCCATAGACACTTGAGCATCCATTATTAAGTCAACAAGATTAGCCACACATTTAATATGCCAAGATTGTCAGTCTACCTGGGAGTCTTAGCCATTAGTGTCGGAAGCGCGTGTAAAATCTCATGATTTATGAAATATATTTAAAGGGGAGTAACTCCGTACTTACTGTTTGCAAGTGGTCCCGTGCACTGGTCATAATCTCTTGGAGGGAATTGGTGAGAGAATGTTGGTTAACGTCACAATTTGCAATATACCTAAATAATCGAGTCTGGACCAGACAAACCATTGACTAAGGGACGGATCATCAATTAATTGGACAAGATTGGTCTTCAGAGTATCATATTTATTATGAACCCCCCATTGTTCTGTTCCCCGTCTCTATTATACATAATCAGTCCCTAAATAACCTTTTTATTACTTTTGTTTTTTTAGAACTGTCCTTTTTGTCATGCCCAACTAGCATCACCCCCACCCACATAGTTTGATATATTTTGGCGACTCCCCTTTCGCTGTTATTTTTATGGCACCCACCCTTAGTCCCTCCTTCTCTGAAAGTGAACATTTCCGATACAAATCATTCGAAAACTTCGTAGAAGTGTGCCTGATATCTGATCATGTGGCCAAAAACATCCCAAATGTGAACAATAACATTCCCTATCTCTAGCGTAAAACGCTGTGAGTACATCACGGTTGTCTTTTCCTATTTAGGTGATGACCATGCCCTTCGATCGAAGCTGTCACGTCTTCAGTATAGGGTGGTACAGTTAACATGAATGTCTTTGGCGAACACTCTGATTTCCCTATTCAAAAATGGTACCGACATGATATAAATTCAGCTGATAGATCAAGGAAACCGAACCATTTTGATTGCACAGACGGGATCCCGGTAGTGCGACTGACCGACTGTTGGTCCGATATTCAAAGCCCGGTGCTAATGTGACTTTTCAAATTTTCTTACAGGTGTCCTGCGTACTTACAACATGGCGCTTGAATTACCATTAGTTGAAGAAATTCTTCGAAAAGGATCTTGAGCGTCGGTGCTGTTATGTTTTCAAACACAACTGCAGGCACATGTTGTTAGTAATGCGTATGCATAGAAATGTCAACAATGCCCATATTTAGGCATACATCAATATTCATGCGTAACCAGATTTTGCAGCCGGTTTCCGTTTAGTCTGACAACGAACGGAAGTTATGTAACTAAGGATAAGAATTTATGGATGAACAACTTCTTTATTACAATTAAGAGCGACGTTTCCTTGTAGGTTCTAACACCGTTATCAAGCAAGTGATTCATCCATAAATTCTTATCCTTACACAGTACTCCAACTTCTAAATGCCTATCAAAGAAAGTTGTTATATATGTACTTACACTTAAATTATAAATGAATATATATTTAACGTGGGTAATAAATAAAATACAACACTCATTCTCGTTAGATATCATTTTTACGAAACTCGTGAACTTCCTTGGTATTTGACCTCGCTTTCGTTCGGTCAGATACCATAGAAAGTCCACTCGTTTCCTAAAAGTGGTATCTAACGAGAATGAGTGTAGTATTTTCTATATCTCACCCGAGCGATATCTCGTGTGGGAGCTAGTTTGGGATACTGATATGTTGTAGTTCCCGCAGTTGTCTGGACAAGTTTTACTTTCATCAGTAGTGTTTGTTTTCTACTAGTCTCTGATATCAACGTACAAGTTACTGTACATGTTTTTTTTGTCAAAATATTATTTATGATGTCTTATGTAATGTATGCGATTCCTGGTAACAGCACGTGGTTTTGCACTGACGTCATGTACAGAGCTGTGCTATGTGTTTTCTCTCTGTCAAGGTCGAAGAAGGATTATACACAACAGCTGAGATAAGTGACCATGATACGTTAAGTTTTACTCTCACACAATACAGGTCTAGACGTGTGTACATCATTGAAGTACCTTGTTTGAAATTGAAAAATAGGCTTATCATTAACAAGTCAAATAGATAGTTTATTCCCCGCGAACATCAGGGAACTCTTACTTGGTTGATGCATGTCATCGTATCCAAATTACGTATACTGAACAAGAAAGGTTACGGATCATGAATATGTTTGGGGATATCTTTTGCTGGTGATGACAGAGCATACAATTTCATAAATATATTCATTTTTTTGTTCAGTGTAGGTTAATACTCATGATGTCAATCACAGGATTGTCTGGTCCAGACTCAATTATTTACACACAAAAAAAGCGCAGTCAAATAGCTGGAATATTGCTGAGTGCCTCGTAAACCATAAAAAAACAAACATCACAAAACGATTTCATTAGCAGACAAACAACCCCATGTACTTGAATTAAACTCGGGGCTGCCTTGTTATCCGACCTTTACAAGCCGGCATACCTTTTTTTATTACAAGGAGGGGTGCGTTTTGGTCCTAAAAGTTAAATTAATAAATGCAAATAATTCCCGAAAAAAATCGTTTGTAAGTCGTGTTATGTTTGTAAAAAACCAATCACTTGATAAGTTAGTTTCAACACACTGACACAAAGTGTATCGAATCATGTAAAAATGCCCACATGGAAACATGGTTTTGATGCGTATGCTGATTTGAATATAACTGGCAATAGGGATCTTGTCACTTAGATTCCAATATACCACTGAACAGGCATTTGATGGCAAGAGATTGAACTATTTAGATAACTTGACATCATCCTTCATCCTTCATTCCACTAATGCTGTACCCGTGTGGAATTTGTCCCCAAGCAATCTATGGTTGTGGAAATAACTGGGTCAGGTGGTCTGACAAGGTGACTTCGTACCCTGACGGTATCACTGGTTTGTCTGGTCCAGACTCCACTTACCGACCTTACCGATCGTCATATACCTGGGTGCCATTGTACAAAGCGATCTTAGCGCTAAGGTGATCTTAACTCCCATACCTTAACATAGACTTACGATAGTCGTAGCGCTAAGGTTGTTTTGTACAACGACACCCTGGAATATTGCCGAGTGCGGCGTAAAACAACATACATTCCACTCGTCTTGTTATATACTCGCCTAAATGTCTGTCACAGTTGTATCCTTGCTAGTTACGCGTTGACAAAGAGATCCTGGTGCTGTAACTTTCAAATCAACTGCAGTAATAATCCATTCTTTGCCTTATACTAATAATTCTCAATTTTAAGGTATTATCATAATTAATCATCAATAACAGAATAACTTCATTTGTATTCTCATTTATTGTATTTGTACATTATATATATATGTATATGCAAATATGAAAATGAAAATATGAGCAAAAATACTGTTTTAAAAATTCATTTGTATATGTACATGGCTATTTACATTTAATTCAACTATTGTATATGTATATATACACTCTGAAGGCGTCGGCGTGACAGGCAACTGTGCTAATGGGTTATCTCCCTTCCGGAAGTAGGCACGTCTGGACCTTGGTTCATCTAGCATAGCGTGATGTCTATCAATGGACGATATTTAATACACCAATATTCAATTTAAAATAAACATCAACCGAAAATTATACACGTATATAAACTCACGTACTGTCAATGATAATGCTAAAAAAGTCTTCATCTTTGGGAACTTGTTAAGTTAAGGCGTCACGTGATTAATGTTATAATGTACATGTTATACCGCGTGTAAAATGACCTCGGGTACTTTGGCCACAGTTGCATTGAGTGACAAATGCATTGATCCCGGTAGATTGGCCACAGTTGCATTGAGTGACGGATGCATTGATCCCGGTACATTGGCCCCAGTCGCACTGAGTGACGAATGCATTGATCCCGGTAAATTGGCCCCAGTCGCATTGAGTTACGAATGCATTGATCCCGGTACATTGGGCCCCAGTCGCATTGAGTGACGAATGCATTGATCCCGGTACATTGGCCCCAGTTGGACTGAGTGACGAATGCATTGAGTAACGAATGCATTGATCCCGGTACATGTACCTCTGCTGGATGTACTCATGTGCCTTGACCGGGGTTGAATTGACCCCGTTTGCATTAACCGAAGGTACACGGTCCGCCAGAGCGTTGACCTCAGTCTAGTGCACTGACTGCGGGTACATTTGCCCCGCTTCCAAGACCGCGGGTACATTGACCGCAGATGCATTGACCGAGATTACATTGGCCACGGGTACATTGACTGAGATTACATTGACCGTGGATACATTGACCGCAGATGCATTGACTGCGGGAATATTGGCCCATGTCATATTGACCCGAGGTGTTAGAACACGTCAGAACAACACAAATGTATAAATATATTTAAGAGCATCGTAAACAATAATTAGTATAAATAAATACGATAACTTAATATCAAATCAGTTCAATTTACACACTACATGCATCAAACAGATTAATGAGTATTAGTAGCTTGGGGGAGGGTTTTATTTCGGTAGAGAGCTCCTATCATTGCATAGTCTCATTGTGATCAAACTGCAACCCCACACACAACATCGGCGTCACGTGCTGGTATAAGGAGCATGCGCAGAACATACAGGAAGCTACAGAACGTCATCACACCGTGACGACGTAAGGAAATTTCCCGATACATGTAGTTTAACACTGATCTAATAAGATGCCATTCCTTCTGCTAGAGTCTAACATTGACTTTTTTCTCTAGCAGAAGTTCTAATTTCGAAGAGGTAGTGTAGTCTGTTAATATGTATGTTTGCGGTTGATAATAATACGAACTACATCTATGTACTTTCGAGACATTTGTTATACCGATACTGCTCATGTGAGACACTTATGTAATACCAAACTATCTCCCTTTACATAGCAAGGCTTTAATACTCCGTTAATGAGACACGTGGCGTATATATAAATTTCGGAATACAGTTCAATGCACAATTAAACATTACCGGACATTGACGTTGTTGACAAAGGTCATGTATTTGAGCTTATATCACAGGATTCAATAATACCAGAACCAATTCGGAATCAGGAAGGGGTTTGAGGAACGGTGGGGATAGTGGTGGAGGGGGTGGGGTGGGGGGTGGGGGGTGGGGGGGTACAAGAAGGGGGTGAGGGTGGGGGTGGAAGGATGACGGTGGAGTGGGGAGAAAGGGGATGAGCGTTTAAGTAAAGAGTCTTTGAGTGGGTTTGGGGGGGGGAGGGGGAGGGGGGGCGGGCTAATTGTGATGATCATGGTGCCAGATTACCTAAATATTTCCATGATGGAGTCTTCTGTGTCTAGTAGAGTGAGGTGACACCCACCTAATGATACTATTAGCCTTATAGAATGACACCGGCCCCAACTAACGGATGATTCGAAGAGGGGAACAAATAACCCCTGACCTAACTAGGCCTGAGTCTGTATATCAGTGGCGTATCCGAGCCATACATCAGATCTCTTTGTCCTATCTACTCTATCTCGCCTTGTCTGATTACATTTTTCTAATCAATGTCTCTACATCATGTACAATTTACAAAACAGTCACCTACAACTCACCCACACACATATTGCATAGCGACATCACTCGAGATCTTCCTATAGAGTTATCTCCCCTTAGTGCGAGGAAAATTCATGACCTTAACGGTTTTGTGACCTTGACTTTCTTACCACCTGTATGACGGTTCAATCCTTCTTTAATGGACGCATCAAAATTGTTTCGTGAAATAACAAGTGTGTACTCTCATCGTAACTATTGTTAATCTTGTAGTCGCTCACGACCACACAACCACACAGCCGCCTTATCCCAGACAATCGCGGAGTTCCTTTGGTACATATTTTACGTCAGCATTCAGTGACGTCATTTCTTTATCTGCATCAAAGTATCTAGTGACGTCAGGGTCTGAATACGACTAACGTTGTCATGGAATGGCAGTATAGGTGTTCGACGTCAACACATTTTGTTCGTAACTTCATTATGACGTCACCTAATGGTTCCTTCATATCATCAGTATGACGTCATCAAAGCCTCGTCTCCCATGCTTCCTGGTCCTCGTTGTATAGGGTCATGATGTTGTCATTGAAGAACACGACAGCATTGTTGGTAAATCCAGCACGTTCACTTCCGGGGCGTCCATTTCGCAACTGTAAACCAAAGCCAGACTCTATACATCTATGCATCAATAATCTATCCTACAGCAGTAACTTGCCTGTGTTTTGTATGCCGCTTCTATAAATTGACATGGCCACCAGTGTTGCTTCGTTCATCGGGGCGCATTTCTACTCATTAAACCTATGGGGATAACAACGAATGGATAACCGAGGTATGATTTATGCTTAAGGTTTCTTTACGTTTTGCCACATACCAGTTACGTGAGAAACTTACACACTGCAGGTTATTCCGACAGTTGTACTTTAGTTAAAATATCCACAAATAAACAGAAAAAATCAATAATGTTTTTGTTTTTTAAATATAAAACGTCAATGCCGACTCAGATTTAACGACGCTTGTAACAGTATTCCAGTCATATCGCGGCGTGTCAGCTTAATGTTGGAGGAAAGCCCGAAGTGATGCAGGTCTCAGACGTTTACCACTTCGGTGAAACCCACGACCACGGGTATGGTGCTGATAAACCTTGAAACATAATCGGGGCGAACCGGGATTCGAACTCACAATCATAGGTTTCTGGCGTGCCCAAGGGACGCAACTCTGCACAGCGAATCGCGGGGCCTTAGACGACAGGGCCACCCGAGCCCCGATTTCATTAGGCCCTAAAGTCTGCCAATACTTATTTATATAACTTGTATACTTGTGTAACACGTCTACCTCAAACTGGAGAAACGGTGAGTTATCCACCAACACTACAGGTATAGCTATGTATAGTAGCAAGTCCATCATACTACAAGTATAGCTGTGTATTGGGGCAAATCCGTCTACACTACAGGTATAGCTGTGTATTGTGGCAAGTCCACCACACTACAGGTATAGCTATGTATTGTGGCAAGTCCATCATATTACAAGTATAGCTGTGTATTGTGGCAAGTCCATCATATTACAAGTATAGCTATGTATTGTGGCAAGTCCATCACACTACAGGTATAGCTGTGTATTGTGGCAAGTCCATCATACTACAGGTATAGCTATGTATTGTGGCAAGTCCATCACACTACAGGTATAGCTGTGTATTGTGGCAAGTCCACCACACTACAGGTATAGCTATGTATTGTGGCAAGTCCACCACACTACAGGTATAGCTATGTATTGTGGCAAGTCCATCACACTACAGGTATAGCTATGTATTGTGGCAAGTCCACCACACTACAGGTATAGCTGTGTATTGTGGCAAGTCCATCACACTACAGGTATAGCTATGTATTGTGGCAAGTCCATCACACTACAGGTATAGCTATGTATTGTGGCAAGTCCATCACACTACAGGTATAGCTGTGTATTGTGGCAAGTCCACCACACTACAGGTATAGCTATGTATTGTGGCAAGTCCATCATACTAGAGGTATAACTGTGTATTGTGGCAAGTCCACCACACTACAGGTATAGCTGTGTATTGTGGCAAGTCCATCATACTACAGGTATAGCTATGTATTGTGGCAAGTCCATCATACTACAGGTATAGCTATGTATTGTGGCAAGTCCACCACACTACAGGTATAGCTGTGTATTGTGGCAAGTCCATCATACTACAGGTATAGCTATGTATTGTGGCAAGTCCATCATACTACAGGTATAACTGTGTATTGTGGCAAGTCCACCACACTACAGGTATAGCTATGTATTGTGGCAAGTCCATCATACTACAGGTATAACTGTGTATTGTGGCAAGTCCACCACACTACAGGTATAGCTGTGTATTGTGGCAAGTCCATCATACTACAGGTATAGCTATGTATTGTGGCAAGTCCATCATACTACAGGTATAGCTGTGTATTGTCGCAAGTCCATCATACTACAGGTATAGCTATGTATTGTGGCAAGTCCATCACACTACAGGTATAGCTGTGTATTGTGGCAAGTCCATCATACTACAGGTATAACTGTGTATTGTGGCAAGTCCACCACACTACAGGTATAGCTATGTATTGTGGCAAGTCCAACACACTACAGGTATAGCTATGTATTGTGGCAAGTCCATCACACTACAGGTATAGCTGTGTATTGTGGCAAGTCCATCATACTACAGGTATAGCTATGTATTGTGGCAAGTCCATCATACTACAGGTATAGCTGTGTATTGTGGCAAGTCCATCATATTACAAGTATAGCTATGTATTGTGGCAAGTCCACCACACTACAGGTATAGCTGTGTATTGTGGCAAGTCCATCATACTACAGGTATAGCTATGTATTGTGGCAAGTCCATCATACTACAGGTATAGATGTGTATTGTGGCAAGTCCATCACACTACAGGTATAGCTATGTATTGTGGCAAGTCCACCACACTACAGGTAGAAAGTCCACCACACTACAGGTAGCATGTCCACCAACACTACAGGTATAGCTATGTATTGTGGCACGTCCATCATACTACAGGTATAGCTATGTATTGTGGCAAGTCCACCACACTACAGGTTTAGCTATGCATTGTGGCACGTCAATCATACTACAGGTATAGATGTGTATTGTGGCAAGTCCATCACACTACAGGTATAGCTATGTTTTGTGGCAAGTCCACCAACACTACAGGTATAGCTATGTTTTGTAGCAAGTCCACCACACTACAGGTAGCAAGTCCACCAACACTACAGGTATAGCTTTGTTTTGATGTATAACATTTTCGTTCAGTGTTTCCAATGTTGGTGTCTTTATGTTAACATACTGCAAGAGATTCAGTGTTCTCAATGCCTCCAGCAGCCTTCTGCTCTGTGCTATAAGCCGTTGGTGTGACGGAAAGGGAAGCCAGATATAAGATAACAACACTTATCCACTGCACAAAGAAAGGACGAGGTGGAATAATCTGGGTAGCATAGAAAATATACAGTGTAAAGACAATATATAACAGTTGATAGTTGCACTGACGATTTGTAGTCCATGATCTGATAACTGTGAAAGGAAACATCGACGTCTACAATCCCTTTACGTTTACTAATGGACACAGCATTGAGAATTGACGTAAATTAGAAAAGGTTTATTACCTTTTAATGAATATGTTTCGTTTATTTTATTGATCACATTTCAGGTTGCAGGTTGATGTGACAGGTTATGGTGGGTTAAGCAACAGGTTAGGTACAGCTAGTATTGAACTCATTAGAGAACACGGTCGCTGGCAGTTTCAAAATATCAATACTTCGATTATTCAGAAACCATTTTAGAGTCTAGTAAGGCGGGTTAGATGTCAGCGTTAGATAACACCTGGAAAAAAACAGATTACGTCAACAACAACTGACCAGGCTTCCGTCTGTCGTTTCCGTTGTCTGCACCGACTGTGGGTATTGCACTGCAAGATGGTGATTGGTCGTCCCATAAGTAAGAGGATTTTTTTATGCTGCTTAGTGCAAACATCCTGCTTACCACGGCACGAGAAGCAGAGAGTGGTTTGAAATATCTTATCAAAGTGGGTTTCGAACCAGGGTTTTCAGGTTGGCGATACATCGCTTTAACCACTAGGCTTCTGACTGACCCCTTGTCGGTCTGATGCAACACAAGTTTTCCCCGAGTGGAAGACACAAGTACAGCATTTGTGTTGCCTGATATTCGATACATTAACAATTGCGGCGGCCATCACAGTCAGTGCACATTGCTTCGCGGAACAGACATCAGGATCAGGCAAAACGTATAACTGGTGCATCTAACTACCAGTAAAGTCACGTGATTACAACGAAGGGTTAGTGAAGGGTAGGGGGTCATTCATCTGATTCAGGCAGCCATGGCGATATTTGACACACAACTCAGGGTACTCATTGTTTTATTTATCAGGTTTCCAGAAATGCCAAAATATGGTCAAGTATTAATTTGCAATAGTTCATCTTGTGGCCATTACGTCTGATGTACGTAGCCACGCCCCTTTTGAGCGTGGTGACGTACTGCGTGGTGACGTATTCCATGGTGACGTACTGCGTGAATCTGAGAAGGGGAGTTAGTGCTACGACATACACCAGGTTCCACTACGATACTTACACCGTCAAGACTTGCACATCACTTACTCATAGTGATGTGGTTCGTTGCTAAACAAATAAGGAAGGTGACGTCATGCATCGTATACAATGGAAGGGAGGTAACCCCACCTGAACAGACCAGGTTGCTTCGGGACGTAAGCATACATTAGAAGGCTCAAATCAATGGTTTCATACATCTAAAGATGTTGTTCAATTTTGTTTCTTTAATTCTCAGAATATGTTATGAATATTGAGATTCTAACTGCCGGGCATAAGAAAGTATACACCCATGTTTGATGGTGGCTAAAAATGAAACAAACTAGAAATAGTTGTATGTGATGTGATGTATCAATACGGGTTGATGGTTGTGTTTTGGAACAAAAGTTTGCAGTGATCTAGCGACTGATTTCAGCGTTGTAACGTTTTGATAACGTTTGTAATGTATTGGTCAAATCCAATTTTTAAGTGTATACTTTCTTTTACCCTATATTTCTCATGTTAAACTCAGTAGTGGTACATTTGGAGTGAGTGAGTGAGTGAGTTGGGCTTAACGCCGCTTTTAACAGTATTCCAGTTATATCACGGCGTGTCAGCTTAATGTGGGAGGAAAGTCCGAAGTGATGCAGGTCTCAGCCGTTTACCACTTCGGTGAAACCTTCGCGCACGGGTATGGTGCTGACAAACCTAGAAACATAATCGGGGCGAACCGGGATTCGAACCCACAAGCATAGGTTTCTGGCATGCCCTAGGGACGCAACTCTGCACAGCGAATCGCGGCGCCTTAGACGACTGGGCCACCCGTGCCCCCGGTACATTTGGACGTTGAGGTAACACGTGGTCATCACGGGTAGGCCTCTCACATGGCGTGGACTCTAATATATTCAGAATACGTTTACATTATTTTGTCAAAGGGTACTTTGATATTATTTTCTTCCTGCCACAGCCTAGTCTGTTCATATGTATTTATACCATAATTTCTCAGACTTGAAGTCAAGCGTTTACACCCTGGAAAGATGGCTGGAACGTTCCGAGTGAGCGTTGTTTTAGGCCGTGTCAAACAATATTCCAGCCATATCACGGTGGACAAACCAAGCATACGCTTCGCACTTGTTTGGAAACGAACCCGGGTCCTCTATGTGGTGAGCGAAAGCTTCAACCACTGAGCTACCGTACCTCTCTTTGAGGTTCACGATTCCAACCATCTTCATCCACGAAATGGCAAAGCATGAAGTGTCCTTCAAGACAGCGAACACAGCAACCATAAACAAAATCACAGTCTTGTTCTCGCCATGCATCTAGCCCTGAACTACAAGCATATGTGCGCGGGAATGAGTGAGTGAGGGACATGGGGAACACAGATGGCTGACAGCGTGAGGATCATGATTCCGGCTATCACCTGGGAGGGTAAACCCGCGGGGTGATAGTGTGAGCACCGACCTGGAGAGTGAGTTTTGTTTGACACCGCAATCAACAGTATTTCAGCTGTGTGACGGTGGCTTGTACATAATCGAGTCTGGGCTCGGCAAACCAGTTGTTGACATCACAAGCAACGGTCATGTGGTAGGCGCACAGTGACATTCGCGTCACACATTGAAACCATCCGATCCTCACTTTAGCCTCACGCCAGTCTGTGGTGCTGGGGCCGCTTTTGTACCAGAAACCCTTCCGGAGATCCGAAGTAAACCACGGAAATCCCCAATACGACACTAGACACTACGATTGCTAGATAACATTGAAACAAGAATCAGCATGTTAGCTATGTCGATACACACAGACACACAGGCACACACACAGGCACACACACAGACACACACACACACACACAGACACATACACAAGCACAGGCACACACAGACACACACACACACAGAAACACACACATGCACACATACAGACACACACACACATGCACACCCACACCCACACACACACAGACTAATACACACGCACGCACGCACGCACACACACACGAGAGCATCCGCAATGTTATGTCTACATTCTCTATGACACACATTCTACAAGTTGGCGACCAAAACTTAACTCCAGACACACAGAGAATCTACAGTACTACAAAACAAGTTCCAAGTCATCTACACACATAATCATCAGATCCAGGCACCCCAAAGACGTGCAACTGAGAACGACTTCGGCGCGTTACAAGACTGCGTCACCCTTGTCCCCCGTCAACAGAACGTGTGTTATTGACAGAACATGTCGACACAATCTACACACACATCCCATGTCCGAACTACATTACATCTACGTCACTACTGAAAGAGAATCCATCAAACTTCATAAACAAAACCACACCCGAAGACGACACACAACCCCATCCACGTTCCTTACACCATACGTTCTTGTCCGACATCACCGACCAACACGCTCTGATCCCTTCTGACTGCGTCACACATCTCGACTGGGTACCTTCACATCAACACTCATCCTAAACATCCTAAACATCCCCCCCCCCCCCTCAACCCCCCCCCCCCCCCCCCCCCCCCTCCCCTACACACCACACACACATACACTTAAGCACATGCCTCCCACCCAACCTCTCACTCACCACGCATTCAGAGTGAAAAGCTCACCTGATCTCTGGGTAGTGTGTCCGCCATGTCGTATCTAACGGGCACGTCTTTTCCGTTTTCGTTGCTCTCGGAAACTGCCAGTTTATTGTCGTAGGCGTATTCGTGGGGGGAGTCGGCCCAGGTCCGCCTGTAGCCGATGTCGTCGGGATCTTCTTCCATCCGGTACTTCTGTCGTGTATGACGACGCGAACACTGAAGGAGACGATTTGTGATAAATGAAGCTCTAGACGCCCATAGTGGAAAACTGACAAATCCAGGGGAGGTGTTGAGTGTGTGAGAGGGGAGGGGGATCTTTGTGCGACATAACAGTCTGCCCGGGACACAGTGGTTATTTACATACACCCTCCCTCATCCAAGCCTCTACCTTCATCTTTTGTTACCGTTTTGCAATATCGTTCATCGAGCGAGTCGGCAACATATCGGCGTATGTTAAAAATAGGTAGCTTGGTGAATTTATTTAGTATTAAGGATGAGGTACAAAGACTTTTAGCGATAACAGTTTCCGTAATGTGAGAGATGGAGCTGGCAGGTGCCCCAATACTGACCAGGACGCAGATCATGAAGAACAAGAAGATGAGGAGGATGGAGCCGCACACGATGACGGCGATAGCCCAGTTCGGGAATTCGTCTTTGGGCACTGGTGTTGGCGCCGGCGTCGTTGCTACTGTTGGCGCCATTGTCCCCGGTACGACTGCAAGGATTGACGTTAGAGAATGTTTAAAGGCAAGACAGACCATACAATCATTGACATTAGAGAGGTCAGAGAAAACAGTGGCGACGCAAGGGTTGACGTAAGATGTTACAGGCGATACAATACAAGACGCTGGATAATCGAGAGTGGGGATTCCAGGATTTAAACATGTTCTTGTTGGGCCATTTAATCGGATCTGTGTATGAGGTTGATACAGCAGTCTATTCCCTCACCTTCATGGCTCACGGTGTCGTTGTTGATGGTGTAGTTGCCCAGTTTGTCACCGTCACTGAGGCCGTTCATGAACGCTGATGTTACGCTCTCGCCCGTCACGTTGCTGCTGCTCGTGAACTCAGCCGTGTAGCTGACGACGATGCTGCCCTGGCTACAAAAATGCAAGGTTACAATGCCAGTGAAATTTCTTTATTTTTTTTGGTTTGTTTGTTTATTTGTTTTTTATCGCCGTTTCCCGCAATATTCCAGTTATAAGGCGACTAACGGGATCGGGTGGTCAGGCTCGCTGGTTGATGCATGCTATCGTATCTCAATTGAGTGGATCGATGCTCATGATAATAATCACTGGATTTTCTGGTCCAGACTCGGTTATTTACAGACCGCCGTCACATAGCTGGAATATTGCTGAGTGTGGCGTTTAACAACAAACAAAACAAACACTACAGTGACATCGAAGAGCATGGACAAACCAAGAAAAATATATCTCACACTGAACGATATTCGAGTGAGTAAATACCCCGCCTTTAGCACAATTCCAGCAATGTCACGGAGGAAACACCGGATATAGGCTTGACACATTACCCATCTGGGCCATAGAACCCGGGCTTGACGAACGAACGCCCCGAACAATTGAAGAGCGGACGCCCCGAACAATTGAAGAGCGGACGCCCCGAACAATTGACAAGCGAACGCCCCGAACAATTGACGAACGAACGCCCCTAACAATTGACGAACGAACGCCCCGAACAATTGACGAACGAACGCCCCGAACAAGTGACGAACGAACGCCCCGAACAATTGGCGAGCGAACGCCCCGAACAATTGACGAGCAAAAGCCCCGAACAATTGACGAGCGAACGCCCCGAACAATTGACGAGCGAACGCCCCGAACAATTGACGAGCGCACGCCACGAACAATTGACGAGCGAACGCCCCGAACAATTGACGAGCGAACGCCCCGAACAATTGACGAGCGAACGCCCCGAACAATTGACGAGCGAACGCCCCGAACAATTGACGAGCGAACGCCCCGAACAACCTAAGATCATAGGTTTCTGGTACGCCCAATAGCAAAGCTTTGCATTGCGATTTTCTGCGGCTTAAGTCGACAGGACCACCCTAAACTGGTGCTGAATGACAGCAGTACTTGTCTGCTTGGTACTCACCTGAACGTCATGACACTGATTCCCAGGAAAAGGTCCTTCAGAGTGCTCATCTTGTACAGGCCCTCCAGCTAAAACAAGACGGGGAGCATGTCAACACTGATAATAGAGGAATCAGTTGGTGCTGGAGTAACCTTTTTTACAATATATATATAAACAACGTTTTTCTATGAAGATGGGAGCCGATCAATTCCGCTTCTTTCTCAACAATTTCCCAGGACTACCAGTACATCGAACATACAATTGAGTGGGTTAAACTCGAGCAAAACAATCATTTTCAAATGCTTTTCTGGAACAAACGATTTCAAGTTTTGTTAAAGATTCACAAGCGCTCCAGGACATAACATAGCCAGTTCCCAATGCCACATTGATCAGCCGACAGCCTAGTGAGTGAGTGAGTGAGTGAGTGAGTATGGTTTTACGCCGCTTTTAGCAATATTCCAGCAATATCACGACGGGGGACACCAGAAATGGGCTTCACACATTGTGCCCATGTCGGGAATCGAACCCGGGTCTTCGGCGTGACGAGCGAACGCTTTAACCACTAGGCTACCCGACCGCCCCCCGACTGCCTAGAGTGAGGAGGGTAACAGATTAAACGTTAGAAGGAGGAGTACATTTCCGCTAATCTCCGGGTGACTTTAAAGATATTTTCTACAGTGCTGACTGACTTACTTTTAGTTTGAGATCCTGTTTCAGCTCGATGTACTGAGGGGACGACGTATTCAGTAACTCCTCGGTGAAGTTGCGACCCTCAACGATGGAGAACTTGCCGTTCACATCCACCACCGCGGCTGCTGTTGTCGTTGTTGGAGCACTCGTTGTTGTGGGTGTCACAACTGTTGAAGAAGTCATCACCTCTGTTGTTGATGGGGAAATGGAGGATGAGGAATAAACGCTGCTGGTTGGTGTCATCACAGAACTTGAAGATGGCATTGATGACGAGGAGGACATTGATGAGGAGGACGTTGATGGTGGGAGCGGTGCGACTGATGATGTCAATACGGCGGTTGTTGTCATAGCAACAGGCATGCTTGAACTCTCCATGGAGGAAGAGATGGGTTGTGTGGGAGGCAGGGGTAACAACGTCGAGGAAGATTGCGAGGTGGAGGGCATCGATTCAACCATCGAACTTGTAAACATGGGTGACGCACTGCTTGATTCAATCATTGAACTTGTAAACATAGGTGGTGCACTGCTTGATTCAATCATCGAACTTGTGAAGACAACTGGCGCACTGCTTGATTCAATCATTGAACTTGTAAACATAGTAGGTGCACTGCTTGATTCAATCATCGAACTTGTGAAGACAACTGGCGCACTGCTTGATTCCATCATTGAACTTGTAAACATGGCCAGGCCACTGCTTGATTCAACCATCGAACTTGTAAACATAGGTGGTGCACTGCTTGATTCAACCATCGAACTTGTTACGACAACTGGTACACCACTGGATTCAACCATTGAACTTGTTACGACAACTGGTACACCACTGGATTCAACCATTGAACTTGTTACGACAACTGGTACACCGCTTGACTCCATCATGGCACTGCTCGAATCAATGACATGCGTTGCAATATACGTTGTCACACTCGGAGAGTCCATTGCAGACGATGCTTCCATAGGTGGCTGGGCCAACGAGTCGGACATGCTGGACATCTGACTGGACATCTGACTGGACATCTGACTGGGCATCTGACTGGACATCTGACTGGACATCCCCGAGGCTGGAGGCACACCTGAAGACTCTGTGGTGGAGGAGAACACAGGGACAAACACTCCAGACGTAGACGTCGATGAGGACGTTGCCGCGACGGTGCTGGTGGCAGGTTGGACGACGACGACATAGGATGACGAGTCAGTTGGTGGGATGCTGGGTACAGCGGTAAGGGATGAGGAACTGGTTGACAGCGGAATTGACTCAGATGACGACTTGGCTGTCTGCGATTCCATCCCTGATGTAGATACGGGCAAGGCGGACGTTTGTGGTTGAATTACTTCAGATGTCGTTTCCATAGCAACAGGAGTCGACGCAGACATTGGGACAGAAGAAGCCTGGGTAACCTGGTCTGTTACCGGTGGGACAACGATGACAACATCTGAAGACGTCATAGATGTCATAATGCTTGAATGTGTAGGCATCGTTGGCATTGCTGCGGATGAGCTGACCATTTCTGTCTCCATTTGGGTGGCGCCTAATGTCTCCGAAAGTGATGACATTGACACTGCAACAGATGCTGATGCTGGCGACGTTGCAACGGGTTCCAAGACAGGTGTAGACACAGATGTGTGGGAGGTCACCTGGGACTGTACATAGACGTCAGAAGATGAAGGAACAACAGCAGGGGAGGATGGTTCAGTCGCCATCACATAGGAGGATTGTTCCATGGTTTGAGATGTTGCCATTTGATCCCCAGTTGAAGCAGGGACGACAATAATCCCTCCGTCGTTTGACATACTAGAAGATGATTCCATTAATCCTGTTGACATACCGGCAGATGATGTTGTCACAACTTCACTCGGGACCATCACAGACCCAGATGACCCAGAGGCAATAGGGGTAGAATCGGATGCCATGCGGACAGTTGACGATGGTTCCACGGAGGAAAGTACTTCACTGTGATATTCAGACATGGCAGAGCTTGGGACCACCTCTGACATGTCCTTACTACTTGCGACAGGCCTCACTTCACCCTGTGACTCTGACGGCAATACGGAGTAGGAGCTGGTGACGGAGGATGGCATTTCCGTCACAGCTGGCATACTGCTGGTCGACATATCAGACACCTTCTCTGAGCCCCCTGGGGTAACAGCAACAGCTGATGAAGACGTCGGACTCTCTGTCCCAGGCGTTTCGATAAGCCGTGAACTTGTTGTGTCAACTAGTTGTATTACCGATGTTGAGGACTCCTTCACTGAATGTTGTCTAGATTCAACAGGCATTGTTGATACTGCCATGACTGCGGAAGACTCGACGTTGGCCAATGATGAAGTGGGAGTCTGTTCTGAGGACATCAGCTGGTGGGATGAGGACATCAGCTGGTGGGATGAGGACATCAACTGGTGCGATGAGGAAGAACCAACCACAACCCCGGGTGTGCTCGTGTCCGGGAGTGGTGTGGAGGGTGGTGTAATTTCACTTGAGGACGGAGCGATGACAATGACCGGTGAGGACGAAAGTGAAGCTGATCCTGTAGGCATGGTCTGACTAGAAGACCCTTCCAATGCTGATGCTGATGTTGCTTGACTAGACGTTTCAATACCGGGTGCTGACCTGGACTCTGGCATCGCAGGTTGGGTGGAGCTGGACTCCAGGGGAGAAGGAGATGAGGATGACACCACGTCGGATGAGGGCATGGTTGTGGTCTGCATGTCAACAGCACTAGATTGAATTGCTGAACTTTGTACAACATCCGTGGACGTCACCTGTTGGTGAGAACCTTGCACTGTTGAGACCTGGGCATCGACAGACGCAGCTTGGGATGATGACGGTGTGGGCACCTGTTCTGACGGTGACACAAACTGCATCATAGATGATGATGACCCTTCTGCCATTGAACTTGACTGCGGTGCACGGTCAGCCTGACTAGAGGATCCTGGGGCAGCTGTATCTGGGGCAGGTGATGACGCTGTAATTTCAGGTACTACACTTGAAGAGTCAGGTACAACACTCGAAGAGGCAGGCACAGGGGGAACCGAGCTGGAAGCTCCTGCTGCAGACATTGTAGATGTAGCCATGATGTATTGGGACGATGATTCTTGGTCTCCTGTCAGTGAAGTGGAGGCTTGACCTTGAGCCTGCAAGGATGATGTTGATGATATCTCAGTTGATGATGAAGAAATAGCTTGGTGTGCGCTTGATGAGCTTGATGTTGTCATCTCGGACTGAACCACTGAGGACGAGACTTGAGTGAGAGTTGAGTTGGTCACTTCGCCGTTCATTCCCGTCGTTACCTGCGATGTCGACGTTGCCTCTACGCCGCCTGCCTGAGACGAAGAGGACACGAAGGACGAAGAGGACATGAAGGACGAAGAGGACACAAACGACGAGGACGTTGCAGATGACTGGGTCAAGATCTGAGTTGCATTAAATGCATCTGAAAGAAAGGACAAAATGTATTCATATGTAATTACCACTGGTAGATTTCGTGCGCTAAAATGAGTATGTGTATACGATTTAAAAAGTACATACAGCGAGAGACCCATTAGCTCTAAATCTTGGAGACCATCAAATACATACTACTCAATTTATTTAGAAGTACATGTGGAGCATTCCTTGGTCACGCTTGCTGAAATGGAATTTTCCCAGCAACTTTAAGATTAAATTTAACCGTTACGTCGAGATAATGGATTTCGAAATAACGAAGTTTCACTTGCTACAGAAACAGTCAACTCAGGGGAACACATTTAAAAGTACTGCTTATTTTACATTCCTGGTAGGTGGCAGGGGTTTTGTGTTATATACGCCACAGTCACATATACCGAATTCTAGCAACGCCTGTCAGCGAGCGAGTGGGTGAAAGTCAGAATTACTCACTGACAGTGGCTGTCAGATTACACCTGGCCAAAGTTACACCAGGGGCCAAAGCCGTCTGAAGGTCGACCAGGCTAGTTCCAGGCAGATGGATGGTAACATCAATGTCAACTGTGCTTGATTGCAGCCCTTCTCTGAAACATAACAGGACATTTTACACAAACGAGGCACCAGCGTCCTGGTTTTAAGTATTCCATTCCTACATTTCTAGTGACGCACATAACCCCTGAAGATGGAGTTGGCCGTAAGTTGGTTGGTTTGTTGGTTTGTTGTTTAACGCCGCATTCAGCAATATTCAAACTATATGACGGCGGTCTGTAAATAATCAAGTCTGGACCAGACAATCCAGTGATTAATATCATGAGCATCGATCCACGCAATTGGGATCGATGACATGCATCAACCAAGTCAGCGAGCCTGACCACCCTATCCCGTTAGTCGCCTTTTACGACAAGCATAGTCACCCTTTACGGCAATCATGGGTTGCTGAAGACCTATTCTAACCCGGAATCTTCACGGGTCGTTGGCCTTAAGGAACCCATGTTTGTCGTTAGAGACGACTAACGGTATCCGGTGGTCAGGCTCGCTATCGTGGTTGATGTATGTTATCATATCCTAATTGCGTGGTTATCGATGCTAATGATGTCAATCACTGGACTACCTTAGTTACGATTATTTACAGACCGCCATCAATCTGTAGTATTGCTGAGAGCGGCGCTATACAACAAACAAACATAACCTAAGGCGCACTAAACATCTGAAACCCATGTCAGAACAAGTACAGTGTTAAGTTAGCATAATGTCAGCTGTTCATGAAAATACAAAGCATTTTATTAACATACCTCTGTTTAGGTAAAAACAACAAGTGAATGAGAGAAGGTAATGAGCCCTACAAGGAAACATAGCGACATGTGGCAAACTAATCGTGACTGGACGAGTTACATCAATGTTTATACAGCAGTCTGTGAGATAATATTGAATACAATGTCCACACCAATAGACCCGCCAAGATCCGGGGTAGAATAGGTCTTCAGCAACCCAGGCTTGCCGTAAAAGGCGACTATGCTTGTCGTAAGAGGCGACTAACAGGATCGGGTTGTCAGGCTCGCTGACTTGGTTGATGCATGTCATCGATCCCAATTGCGTGGGTCGATGCTCATGATATGAATCACTGGAATGTCTGGTCCAGACTCGATTATTTACAGACCGCCGTAATATAGCTGGGTTATTGCTGAGTGTTGCGTTAAACAACAAACCAACCAACCAACCATCCATACCAAAAACATATTTGATCAAGGATGCCAGAAAGAGATGCCAGTTGGATTTAACTACAGAGCACAGGCCAATCTATTAACTATAACGACCGCACCAAATGATGGTGAATAAAAGAGTTCACTCTATCAACCAGACATCCCCCACTCACCTTATCTGTGACACCGCCACCTGCTCCACCTGGAGGCTCTCATTCAGGTTACATGATATCTGAAACAGAAAACAGGCACTGAAGGTGGATGTACAACGAACCTGTTTTGAAAACAACGCGTTCAAGATTATTTCACTAATATAGAGACTCTGTGTGTGTGTGTGCGTGTGTGCGTGTGCGTGTGCGTGTGTCTGTGTGTCTGTTTGTGTGTCTGTCTGTGTGTCTGTGTCTCTGTCTGTCTGTCTACGTCTGTCTGCCTGTCTGCCTGTCTGCCTGTGCCTGTGTCTGTGTCCTCTAGTATTAGTCTAGAATAATGCCGGTTTTATATGGGTTGCCCACTGCTATACCATGCCACAGTTAAACATGAATACAAAACTCAGACACAGTGTTCCGACACCGAGCTAACCCGTCCTTGTTTTATCCCCGCAATGCCGAGCGCAAGGCAGGGTAACAACAAGTACCACTTTATTGTAAGACGCGGCATGAAATCGAAACCCGGACCTTTCGCTCTACGTTCTGACGCTCTATCAACTGGACCACGGAGGACGTCACTTATATCACTGACTATGGGAAGAAACACGAGACAGGTTGAAGATAGACCTCGTTTTTGTGGAAGAACAGGAATTGTTTTGCAATCAATGGATCACAATCAGGGCGAATTTGGGATTCGAACCACGACTTACTTGTCTTGTTATCTCTGTAGCTGCTGTGGAGAAGGTTTGGCTGGAGTTGTCGGCATATTCAGCATTCCAGGTATAGTTCTCCACAGTCATCTGTACCTGCACCTCATAACGGCTGTCTGAAACAAGAAGCATGGCGACTGTCAACATATGTGTTTGGAAACATACAGACGGACAGCCTTTCCGGGACACCTGGTGTCACTGATTTTCAGTGAACCATTCATGTATTTACCACTATATTTCCTTTTCCGCCCAATGGAATCTGTTCCGGCAGATATTCCAGACTGATATTTCTCTGGCGTTCACGTTTTATACCGTATATAAAGTATACATCATTACACGGACCGCGAAGATCCGGGTAGTATAGGTCTTCAGCAACCCAGGCTTGCAGTAAAAGGCGACAATGCTTGTCGTAAGAGGCGAATAACGAGATCGGGTGGTTGATGCATGTCATCGTATCCCAACTGAGTGGATCGATGCTCATGATATCAATCACTGGTCCGGACTCGCTTATTTACAGACCACCGTCATATAGCTGGGATATTGCTGAGTGCGGCGTTAAACCAAAAAACAGAGACTGGAGAATGGAGTATAACGTGGCTTTGAACACTATCACAATTATATCACTTGTCACCTTGACGTAAGAGTGAGTATGGTTTTACGCCGCTTTTAGCAATATTCCAGCAATATCACGGCGGGGGACACCAGAAATGGGCTTCACACATTGTACCCATGTCGGGAATCGAACCCGGGTCTTCGGCGTGACGAGCGAACGCTTTAACCACCAGGCTACCCGACCACCCCCTTTGATGTAAGAGGGTTATAAAAACATCATTTGTTGAATTCTACAAGTTGAGACTCAAATATGATAATTTGTCTGTCTGCCATCACTGGTAAGCAGTCGGTTTACGGCCAGGGGGCAGTGTAGGTAACCTGACTATCTCACTCCACAATCAGGGGCAGACGTGACCCTTACAGTAATGTCGCTCGTATCACGTTGTGCCAAATTTCCCGCGCCACAAAAGTTTTACTGTTCTACTGATTATATACATATTTTGGGGGTCGGTTGGTTTACTGTGATCCCGGTACACAATTTGTGGGTAACGGCACAAGTCGAGGTGAACGGCATGAGCCATAATGTAGTGTTGACACGTCCGTCTTATCAGAGAGGGGTGGAGGGGTGGAGGGGTGTACGTGTGTATGAGAGAGACTTATCTCGCGGTATGTAGGGTGACGGAGTACTAGGCCGGTATTAGCCCCTCCAGTTGTCCCAGCAGTCACGATCTCGACACCAGTCAATATTGTTACGCATGGCAATAAATAAATTTCATAGCTGACGGTTTATCGCATATGAACTCCATGTTTTTATATCAAGAGCAGTTATGGCATGATAGCAGTATTTGTTTACATTTAATGGTGTTTGCTTGTATCAGTGTTGTTGTTTTTATAGTCTCGTCATGGACGCAATAACAGCGAGAACACGCAATGTGGGGATCGGTTTGAGGGGATCGGGCGGTCAGACTGACTGACTACGTGTATTTAAAGATTCGCCCATTTCTGGTGATATTGCTGGAATATTGCTAAAAGCAGCGTAAAACTATACTCACTCACTCAGTTTAAAGATTCGGTTTTTTTGTATCTAAATTGGTTTGGTTTACAAAGCACGTAAAGCAAATACCGGCGCGGGGGGGGGGGGGGGGGCGGGGGGGGGGTCTTGTACCACAATTGAGTTTGACTCACTGTCGCCCTTGTGTAGAATAGAACTCCCCCTATCGCGGCAAGCGAACGTTTAAACCACTACCCAACTGCCCTAATACCCTCAAACATTAATATTTCGACATAGAATTTTCCCAATTAAATGACATATTCCGCGGCCATACATTGTGTTCCAGTAACTTTCATTCGGCCTTGTTCAAGCCCGTTCGAGTAGACAATGGAGTATTAATAGTTGTCTGGTAATTCCTACCGGAAGTGATAGAAATGTTGACACCAGAAGCGTTTCACAAGTATTGACTTCAATGTGGACAAAACGATAAATAGGTGATTTATTATCAATCCCAGAAGCTAGCTTAATCGATGTTGTCGTGGAGATTCACAAACAACATGGCGACAACAGGGGTTGGGGTTGGGGGTCCTGTTTAATGATCAGGTGGGGAGTGTTGGGGAGTGGGGAATGGGGAGTGTTGGGGAGTGGGGACTTCGCCGACCTGTTATTACAACACATACAACAGTATACATAGAGAAATACAGACATGGCGTTGCTGTCGCTGAAATCAAAGGGTTGCCCGCTGTGCAAGTGGCCGTGGTATTCAAGGAGTAATAAAATCGATATTTAACCATAGCAGAGAAGTGCTGTTTTGTTATCCGTTGATTCTATAACTTACTCATCTAGGAATTAAACACGGGTCGACAACAGACATGTAGGGTAATGGGCTTGATATACTCAATTCAATACTAGATTATGTCACGGGCAACAACTAGCATGGTCATAATTGTTGGGTAGGGGATGTCGAATCCCATTGATTTTTTGGTGGGGGTGGGTGGGGGTTGGTTGGTGGAGTGGGTGGGGTAGGGGGGAGGTGTTGGTATGTAACTGGGGTGCTATCATATTATTTCAGAAAATGCTTGAAACACTTCATTGCGCTTCATTAATGTGGAAAAAAATTGGTTGCAACAAAAAGTATTTAGGATCATAGTTTAAAAAAAGATATCTGGTTCTGCAGCTATAGCTGATAATATATCTAGTCCCCACAAACTCCCAGAATATGTGAAATGGTCGGTCCTTGGCGCACTGATGGCTGATGTGCACACCCCGCCAGTCTGAACAAGCACTACACATGCGCAGAAAGTCGTTGAGGGAAATAAAGAGGCATATTTACGTCCAGGACATTAGCAGGTTTGCAATCTGATTGTGGCCAGCCGAAACATCACACAACGCCAGTGTAATGGCCATACCGTGTTATTCATGCTATGTTGATAGTGTTATTGTGATAGTCAATGGGCGCGTTGTATAAACTCATATCAGAATTCCGAATGGCGACATTTCTCGCCTACAGCATTGTGAACATGTCCACTGTACTGTTATCCTGATATGGTTCGATTATCGATCAGCTGATTAGCTGATGGAATTGTATTAATAAAAAAGTGAAACATTGCTTCTTTAGCACATTGGGAACAATATATTGTGTGGATCGATGTAGTGACTGAAATCAGTGCAGCCAATTCAGTCCACAGCGCGTATATTTAACTTCTCAATACTACTAATTCATTTAACGGTAGCCTGTGTCACCATGGTAACGGGGATAGACTTGAAAATGTCTCGCTGTATCTGCTAGGTTGAATCCGAAGTGGGGTAGCCTTGTGGTTAAAGTATTTGCTCGTCGCCGCGATGACCCTGGTTCTAATCTCCACATGGGTACGATGTGTGATGCCCATTTGTGGTGTCCGCTGCGTGATATTGCTGGAATATTGCTAAAACCGGCGTAAAATACAACTCACTTAATCGTACTACCTCACAAGATTTCCTTGTCAAGGGGACGCAACTCACGATTGTTTCATGTTTTTTCACATCGGTATTTGTCCTAAGTTATGTTTCTGTCGGTGGGAATAAAAACAACTACTTTCATTACGTTCAATGTGTTAACCATAATGCCACAGCCATGACACAGACAGACAGGGAGGATGTCAGTGTGTCACATCTTTCGGGGGACAACAAAGGAACATTGATCGCGTTCATCAAAGCGACATATGTCCAACCAGGAGCATCCATACTTTGATAGACGTTGGGCGCCGACAAGGATATCTTTGAACTATGACAGGAAGTAGTCGCTTCTATTTCCTTGACAGGTGTGAGAGACACTATGCATAAAATTGTCACATGAGATGTAATTTTAGCATTTTGATTTTGACTCAGAGACCGTAAGGAACTTGCCATGTATCACTTGGGCCAATAAATCAAAAAGACCTGTATGGTGTATTGTGTCTTGGATGACTCACCATAGTTTAGTCCTGGAGGAAGCGTTTCTGAACGAATGGGAATCAGTAAAGTGGGTAAAAACGCACAACGACGGATTTGATCTTGACAAACCTTGAAACATAGTCGGGCCAATCTGGGATTCGAACCCACGATCATATGTTTCTCAGAAGGCAAAGGGACGCAACTCTGCACTGGGAATTGCGGCGCCTTTAGACGAATGGGTGTATTAACGCCGCTTTAAACATGAATTTCAGTTACATCATGGCTTGCGATCTTGAGGGTTCGATCCCCGACCGCGACATTCCAACAGACGTTAAAAGATGGGGCTTGTTGTTACCCTGCCTGGCGCTTGGCATTAAGGGGCTATAACAAGGACTGGTCGTCTCGGAGTCAGTATACTGTGTCCGAGTGGGGTATTCATGTTAAACTGCGGCATGGCGGACGCTCTACCACTAGACCACGGGGGCGGTGGGGAACGTGGGTTTCACCAAAGTGGTAAACGTATGACCCTTCCATCACTTGGGGATTTCCCTCCCAAATTAAGCTGCGAGCTGTGGTAAAACTGGAATAATGTCAAATTCAACCCAATCCCCCACTCATTTTGCTGTTGGGTAAAACCAACGAGAGCAGGTGTTGGCGACTCCTTTCAGCTGTGACACACAACGGGTAAGGCAGAGGAGAGTTATTTCCCTTTCTTACGACATATACCAAGCGCTCATTACTTTCACTTAAATCAGTGATTATAGAATTTGTAATCCAAGGTGGCAAATTTAAATTTGTATCCATTAAATTATTATCTCTCTGATTAAAATTTATATTTAATAAAATATACTGCCTATGTCACTTTGCGGAGATGAGACGCACGGAATGACTTTGGGGTCCGCTGCGGATCTTCGTGTATTTCCGGCATGTGTTAAATCAATCTCGCCCCGGGCTGTCTGCCTGTGCTCAGCCACGTGTGAAGGACGTGTGTCTGAGTCACGGCTCACTGATGACGTGAGTTAAGTTGCACTCTATATGTGGTAGGGGTCATTAATCTGGATCACGAGTCTTGATAGACACTCTTTGTTACGGGAGACACAAGACTCACTTGCAACCATTTAAGGTGAGTGAGTGAGTGAGTATGGTTTTACGCCGCTTTTA